GGTAAAGCTACACTTAGGCTTAAAAACTGCTTTGACAATGGACCCGCAATCCTGCTCTGGCAGCAAAACTACCAATACTCCCCACAAACAGTCAGAGGATGCATGTTTCCCACACTCACTGTTTTAATAGCTCTTGGAAAACAACGGGTGCCCAGCATGGGACAACTCTGAAGCACAGCCAACTGTACATGAATCTAGCCATTGTATTGCCTCAGTCAGGGGTCTGCTCTCCCTCCTCCCAGCCCTCTTTGAAAAAGGATGTTCTCCAGAGTCTGTGCATGTATTATGCTGCTGGGTTCCTGTTTGCTTTGTTCTCAACACCAGCAAGCAGAAAGCCTAATGTAGGTGGCATACAAATGACTCCAGGAGCAGGGGAAGAGGTCAGACTTGTGGGTTTAATAATGCCAAATACCATTGAAGGCCTATGTCTACACTGCTAGGAGCAATGCAGTTGGATACTTCTCTAATAATTATAACTCAGTAGCTAGAAGGGGAAGAGGTTATTTGTTCTGCTCCATCAGAGGCTGTAGACAGCATGTCCTGAGGTTATTTGTTCTGCTCGATCAGAGGCTGTAGCCAGCATGTCCCTTTTGCCATACCAGCTGCTAGGATTTGTTTTTTCCAGAAGGGAGTGTAGGAACACAGCCCAGGCTCAAGGAATAATAGTAACAGTTAGCTCACACTGCCAGTAGCAGAGCTCAAGCTTACAGACATCAGGGCAGAGTGTGCCCTACAACCACCCTTTTTGCCCTCTGGGCAGATCTTCAGAGATGGTAAGAAGTCATAAACCTGCTCAGAGTCCACAGATGCTAGGCTTCAATTCAGGAGTGGCTGAAACACCCCATGTCTCTAATTGTGTAGGCTGCAGGAAGCCACGCAGACTGCCCAGGTTGTGGAAAGCCAAGACAGAGTAGATAAACACAGTCTGTGAGAGACCTTCTTAGAGGCACAGTACAGAAAAAAGCTAACTCACCATTAAGCATTCACTGCTTACTGCTGTGAGGAACACCAGAGGGGTTGCCAACAGACTTTGACAAAAATCACTTCACCATGAGCCCATGTTTTCCAGAGTATTAAGTGAGATTGGCCCTTAGGTAAGTTAGCCATGGGAATCTGCTGGGAACTTTACCAGTATAAAAAAGCTAGTTAGCCTGCCTGCACTAGTGAAGGAGGAGCTATAGGTCTCTCAGTGCTAAGAGAAACATGATCAATGCCTAATGACAAATGCAAAATGCAGTACAAAGTGGCTGTGTCATAAAGAACCATTACCTGTGCAAATCGAGATCTACATAAGGAAAAATCAGCTTTTCTTTAATCAGTTCCCAGATGACACGTGTCATTTCATCTCCTTGCATCTCCACGACAGACCCTCCATGGATTTTTTTCGACATCTTGAGCTGCAATAGACATAAAGGCCAGCCTGAGTTAAAAACTGCTGACACACCTCACCAATACATGTATCCTGTATTTTTACATCACAGCTAGAAGAGACGTATTAACATAGCATATAGGATCTCTCCTAAAAGTCTTGAAAATAACCACAGCTTATCCTCAGTTTCATGCTCACTGGTGTTTTTCTTAAAGCTCCAGCTCTCAGGGAGATCTATCCAAGGGTAGAAATACAGGTTAATATCTGAGATTTCAGGGCATGTGTTCTAAGGGTATGAGCTTTAATTATGGTTGTACAAAAGAATTTGAAAGCATGACCGAACTCTTCCCCCCAATTCTGCAGAACAGATGAGCATTGTTTATTTTTAGATTTTATGAGTTCCAGTCCAATTGCCTGTTTCTCCCCCTTTTTCCTGAAAAACAGGTGTTAATGGACATTATTTTAATGACAGCTCATATTGCTGGCACTATTAAGATTAATACATTGCCAGCATCTTTATTAGCTTCCTTCTCTAGGAAGGAAGGAAACGTACAAAAAGCTAAGGGCCACATCAAGAGGACTTTCTCCTGGCAAGCTTTATTTCTGCTGTTAAAATAAATACTGGACAGGCTTTTTTTTTCCTGTACAGAACAGAGGTTTCCCAAGATATTTGTTCACAAAGCCTCAAAAAACAACCCTAAACTCCGCCCTTCTATTTGCACTTTGTTCCTTTACAAAACCCAACCCCACAAGCCACTGAACTGCGCTAACACAGTGCCCTGCTTTCTAACAGCCAGTTTCTCAGTTCTCGGCTCTGATTGTGCAAGAGCTATGACTTGGCAAGTTCCTCCTCCTAAGACAGCCACGGTCTTGTATGCAGCTGTTAGAATAATACAGGGAGATACCAAGCCCTTGTGCCTGAGGTTGCAGTTTCACAGATACTGAGGTCCATGAATGGCTTTATGCAGAATGAGGGCTCCTACTGTACACAGTCTATTCGTCTAGATGAAGCTATTCAGAGGTGTAAGGTTTGTAATGCAAGGGTCCCAGGTTACAAGCACACGGGGAGTCTGCTCCCTAGTTAATACTTTTTTTAAATAAATTAAACTAACTTGTGCTATATTTTCAAAATCCAATCCATTAAATGTTTTGTCTGGGAAGAAAATAAACCTATAGCTGGCTTCAGATCTATACAGTGCTGCGGCCACAACAGGAACAAAGGTACGCAGGATGCACTTCCACTGAGATATATCTCCACTGATATGTGAACACTGCAGCTTCTGACAGCTCTGACAGCACCCTACATGCTTATCCAATCAGTGCCCCAGTAGCTTTTCCCTCCTCAAACACTGATGTCCCCAGTTCCTCTAAGTAGAGGGGCCATACTGCAGTAACAGCCGCCTTCTGCGAACCAGAGTCAACATGCCAAGAGGTTCCTCTAGAGAGCACACGTTCCCTAGAGTTCAACTCCTTCTGTCTTTCTTCACCTTTGATTGCCAAAGGCCGAACTGCCAAAATTCAGCAAGGTCTTTCTCCTACATTTAGCCAAGGCAGCTTAAGAGAAACTGTGAATTTCCAAATATTTCTTGGTCCTCAGGAGGGACTCAGGGCCTTCAGTCAATAATTAACTATTGCAACAAGTCCTTAATTCAATTTTACAGAATATCTCTTAAAATCAGGCACGCTCCCAGGGCGAGCAGTGGAGACCATCATCACTAACCAAGATCTTCCCCGCACTTGTTTTTCGGATGCGTTACCCTCCGTCCACGCGCGCAGCCCACCCCTGACGCGGCGATGCAGCCCGGCTCCGCGGTCACGGGTGGGATTTGCCGGACAGGCCGCGGGCTGCCGCCGGTGCCTCACCGGAGGCTGAAACCCAGGCGCCGGCACCGCCCGAGCAAGGCGCTGCGGGCCCGCCCCGGGGGGCTCCCCCCAGCCCGGGAGAGCGGGCCCGGGGGCGCTAAGCGCAGCCGGCGTTAGGTGACGCTACCGGCTACTGAGGGAGATCTGGATTGCGAGGGGAGACGGCCCAGCGCCGAGCCGGGGAGACCGAGCCCGGGGTGCAAGCACCCTCAGCGATACCGGCAGCGGGAGACGGTGCCGGGAGGGCGGGCGGCCACCGACCTCCCGCCAGGAAGAAAAAAAAAAAATCCCTTAAAACATAAAACCACCCCGCCTCAGGGCCCCTCCGCAGGGCGGGGGACGCCGCGGCCGGGACCAGAAAGACAAAGGCCGCGGCCCCATCCCCTCCCCCCCGCGGGGCGCCGTTACCTGCGCGCGGCGCGGCTGCGGCTGTCGGGGCGATGCGGGGCCCGGCCCCGCGCGGGGCCTTTTATGGGGCCGCGCCCCCGTCGCCGCCCGGCCCCGCCGCCGCGGCGCCCCCTGCTGGCCCCGCCCGGCCCCTCCCCCCGGCGGCGGGGCGGGGGCGGGGGCGCGGCTGTTGGGCCGGACCCGACCCGCGGGCGCCGGGGCCCGCTGCCTCCGTGGCTCTGCTGCCCGTCCCGCCGGCGCTACGCGCCGATGCCTCCTTGTGAGGAGGTCGTGGCAGCACCGCAGCGCGGTGGCCTTGCCCGCCAAGCCGGGCCTTTTCCCCGCTCTCCCGAGACAGTAAGTGGCCGGCGTCGCCACAAGGAAGCCGGTTGCGCTGGCGGGCACGAAGGCCTGGACGCCGAGGGGGGACAGGCGAACACACGGGCGGGCACGGACACATTAGATGGCGCAGGGACCGCAGTGTCGGCGCTACAGGCCCCCCCCCCCCCCCGACCTGGGGGGCAAGAGAGGGCGCTCCCGGGGGCCGGGGCGAGGGGTGGGAACCGGGGAGGAGCCCCAGGGCCCCGCCCCGAGCAGCGGGTGGATTGGCGCGGAGCTTCGATTGGCGATGCCTCGGTAAAGAGGCACCGCCCTCTTCGGCGGGCGATTGGGTAGGGCTGGCGGCAGCGCGGCGGGTTGCTAGGGGCGGAGCGGGGGAGCGGGCCTGGCGCGGGAGGCGGCGCCGGCCTGGGCCTGCGCCCCGGCACCCCGCGTTGCCGCCACCACCCGCGGGGAGCAGGTGAGGACAGCCCGCCCGGGAGCGGGCGAGCCCGCCCGGGCCTTCCGCGTGGCTGCCCGGTGCGTGCGAGCCTTCTCGGTGGGCCCCGGCCCGGTCCCCGGTAGCGGCCGGCGGCGGCGCGCCCGGTCTGGCCCCGGGGGCCGCTGCCTGCCAGCAGTTTCCCACTGCTTCCTTCCCGGCCCGCCGCAGGTGCCGCTCCGGGTCTGCCCTCCCAGGCGGGCGGCAGCCGTTGCGTGTCTGTGCCGGGGGAACGAGGGGGCGGCCCCGTTACAGCCGGGGAGGTAAAGCCGTCAGCGCGGCTCCGGCGCGAAGGTTGGAAGTGTGCGTGGCATGCAGTGCCTTGGGTTTAAATTACGGCTGTCCAGCTCTTAAACCCGGGGTTCGCCACCTAGGCGCCTGGGAGTAACACCCAAGTAAGGAGGAGGGCCCGGCCCCTCCTGGCACGGGGCGGTTGTGGTCGGTTTGGTGGGGTGCGGGGTGTCGCGGAGCCGTTCTGGATGGAACTGCTGCTGAACGTGTGTGGAGGTTCACACCCCTGCTTGCACCCTGCGTTTTATCGGTGAGGAGTTGGTGGTTGCTGAAGATGTTGCATCTTAAAGTGATTTTTAAGATATATCCCCCGTGGCTATTTGGTAAGGATCCTGAGGAAGACGTAGTCTGGTTTTGTGCTTGGTGACTGCTACGTGTGCTTTGCTTTCTGATTTCCATTAATACACAAATAAGTAACTTTTTCCCTGTTTCTTGGAAGGGGGGAAGGGAGTGTTTTCCTTTCAGTGGAAGAACTAAAGCACTTTAAGGAAGAGCAATACGCTCCAAGATAATGTGTTGTGCAGCACAGAAAATCGATGTATTTTTGGACCTAATGTCAAGTACAGTGCTCTTTAATTTGTTTTAATTACGTTAGTAGTGCCGTTACAGAAGCAATTACTGTGTAGCTTTTCTTTTCCCCCTTGAAACTAAATTTTATTTTTCTAGAATCACATATATGATGTATGTGAGTTCAGAGACTTCCTTAGTTTTTTTGTCTTGCCAGAGTATAGCCAGTTGCTGAGAGATCAGCATATTTTCCTATAAAACTTACAGTTGACTTCATAATGGCATTTTTAATGTGGTAATGTGTGTGGGAACACAGCCCTGTCATACATTCAACATTTTAAAAGCAAGTTACTTGTTGCCTTAAGTATTGAAGAAACAATTCCATTTTTACCTGAAGATATGCTCTTGAAGGTTTTTTTCCATGAGCTCTGGTGTTTAAGCATGTTCAGAAATACTGAAATACACAACAGCAATGGGATACTATGACTTACAGTGGAGAGGGATGTGGAAGCATGCTAGACTAAGACTCAACCTTAAATAAAGAGAAGTTTCTCTTGAAACTTTGTGAATAATGTTTCTTCGCTTTCTTAAGGATACATAAATATCAGGATAAACTCTGAGCTAAAGGTGCTTACTAGACAGAGCAACAAGCAAAAGTCCACTGAGAAGTCATATGATTGACTTGCAGATACTATCTTTTGTGCATTCTTTGTAGGAGTGGTCAAACCTTGCCACATGAGTTGCATGCAGCTTGTTAGCATTTCAGTGTCACTTGTCAACCATGTGGATTTTCTCTGGACTGCATAGATTTTTAGTGTGGCTTCTGAGAACTTGGAAGAAAATGTTCTAGTCAGCAAAATATGCCCATAGATTCTGGGAACAGTTGTGGAAACTGGTATTTCATGAAGGAGCATGTATCAGCTGCTAAGCAGGAAGTAGACTCATACAGGGTTTTGATCCTTGGCACGAGTAGCAGTCAGCTGTCACTCGTAGGTTCCATCAGCTCCCCATGTTCCTGCTTTGTCAAACATTTCACTGTCTTGCTTAAACAAAGGGGAAGGTAGTAAGCACCTTAGCCAAGCAGGCTAGAAGTGCAGGCTTAGTGAGGCGGAGTAGAAGAAATCAGGTATGTATTGAGGCTAAAGAATATGGGCTGTGGTAAAGTATGATTCTTGGCTGTATGATGTCTTTGCTACACAGCAAGTTGGCTTAACAAGTATGGCTTCCCCTAATATAGAATGTGATTTGGGGTTGTTTGTTTGTCTTCCTTAATGTAGCTACCCTCGAAAACAAGGAAGTTTGGAGGTGTTAGATAGGACAACAAATAAACCACAGTTTGGGTTGCTTTCCTGGTAACTTGCACAAGGCTCTCTTGTAATACGGGGGGGGGAAGGAAGCAGTGTGCCATCAAACTTAATCTTTCAGTCCTGCTTTTGCTTGCAGTTCATTCCGTTTCTCATTCTGAAGTTAACCTGTCCAAACAGTGAGTATGTCTTGTGCTTTCTCAGGTGTGCTTTTCTTCAGTTTTCTTGTTAAAAGGGCTGCAGAAGTCACAGCATTGACAGTTCTTCTCTTGAGCTGAAATTATAACTTCTTTGTGAGACACATGCAGAGTCTCTATATGAAAACTTCAAGTTCCCATAAAACAGCAGCTGGAGTGTGTCATCTGACAGTGTTGTGGCTCTTTACTTAGATCAATTCATCTGGATGTTTAACTAGGAGCTCTGACTTGTTTTCTGCAGAGACACAGATCTCTTGCAAATGACTAGGCAGGGTACGTGGCTCCTAACTGGCACTCTTGACCTGTGCCAACAGCGGATGTCTGTGGTAGGTGGGTTGAATGTGCACTCTCTAGCATCTAATGAGCCCCTTCCTCTTCCATTGACTGAAGATGTTCTATTTCACCACCCTGTGCATAATGCATGTTGCTGAACTCTTTCCAGAGCACGTGAAATGGCTGCAGATGACAAACGGTCTCCGACACTGGACTCTACCAGTGATCTACCTCGTTCTCCTAGTAGTCCGTCTCATCTCACTCACTTTAAACCCCTGACTCCTGACCAGGATGAGCCTCCTTTTAAATCAGCCTACAGCTCTTTTGTAAATCTCTTCCGCTTCAGCAAAGGTAAGTGCTTGGGGGACTGTGTGTGCGTGGATTGTGCATGCTGTCTGTTTTATTGATGCTCTCTGCTGTCGCATAAACTTGTAAAAACACCTCTGAATATAGGAGCATGATGTCAAATGGCTGGCCAAATGGATGGTGAGTCAGTTAATTTGTAAGGGCTGTTGAATAAAGCAACAGAGGGTGACCTAGAGCTTTGTTGTGGGAGAAGATAGCCAGCATCTTGCAGCTAGAAATCTGTGGCTGCCCATGAAGGTCAGAGACAATCCAGTTAACAGATAGTGTGTAGCTTCTTAGCTGGGCATCTGGATTTCCTTTGCCTGTATTAGGTTTTTGGGGCTAAAAGCAGGAGTAACCTGCCAGCCTAAATGAGCAAAATGTGTGCCTATTCCTCCCATACAAGTTCTTACTGCAGACTTCCTCCACTCCTCACTTTCCTGTGCATCTTGTACCTTCAGCTGGGTGGGTGGCAGCTGAGCTGCAATAAAGCAGTGTATTTACAGGAAGTCCACCCTTAATTTGCATGGCTCAGCTGTTCCACATCAAGAGGTCTGAAGTGTTGTGAAAGTTTTGTGTATTGAAAAGTACTACTTGATTTTGGCCTTTGTGCTACATGTATAATGAAACACTTAAATTCTCAGTAGGCAAGTTCTTAACTCTGAGTTTTTTTGTTTCAAAGAAATACACTGCAAAGAGTGGTGAATGAATATACCTTCGTTTTATACAAAACCTGTGTATCTCTTTGCTGGAGATATCAAACTGGTCAGCTGTTTTTGTTTAGTCTGTTCATTATCCAGCTCTGCTAAGCATATTTCTGCAATGTTTGGACTAGGGAAAAAGGGCCAAGATAGCTTTTTGCATAAGCAAACTGATCTGTTCGGACTCTTCTTACGCAGAATGAAAAATAATTACTTGGTATGACTGCTATTAGTTTGCATAGTAGAATATTACCTGTCATTAATTTATTGAAAGTAACGTAAGATGTAGTCAATATTGGCTTCAGTTGTTTGTCTTGGACAAAGGTAGCTGGAGTCAGCAAAGTATTGTGTTGAAAGAATGGGAAAACAACCTTGAAAGAGCATGTGAAATGGGCATGTTTCTGGAATCAGTGAGAAACTGTCTGTACTCGATCCTCTGATGGAAAAGGGAGGTTTATTAAAGGCTACGGTAACTTTAATGTGACCTCAGTACTGGCTTCTAACATAACTGAAAAATGCTTTCAGGGCAGAAGCTGATAAACAAGCGTAGCTATTCCATATAGCAAGAATAATTCATGCCTGACAGTTTGTATTTCTAGTCACTTTTCATATTAAGGATATTTTGGAAGTAGCCTGAGCCTTGACAGACGAGTACTACATACTGGCCTGTGTCCATGTTTTGTATGGTACTTTTCAGACTAAAAATTTGTGTCTTTTGTTACGTATAATCATGACCTAAATGAGCTATTTATGGAAGTTTACTGCTCCTTAGTGTTGCATGCACTACTGTTTTTCTTTATCATGTCTGAACAGTTGGTTTCTTGTTTTTTTGTCAATTCCAGATGATGGCAGGCTTTCATCCCCAGCAGAGAGAGCAGAGACAGGACAGAGTGATCCACAAGCGCTGAGTGGTGGCTGGTCCAGTCCTCAGCATCCCACCAGGGCTCAGTCTCTGAGGTCACCGGTTCCCTACAAAAAACAACTCACTGGTGAGCTGCAAAGAAGATCTTCTACAACCCTGGGTAATTTCAGCTCTTTATGCTACAAGGGAATGTTGTACTAGCCAGTCTGGGATGCTTCAGATTTAGGTGGAAGGAGATGAACAAAGGTTCGTTGACTATCTAGATTAGTAGCAGAACTTGGTATCAGGCTACACGACTTCTGTTAGTGAGGTTACACTTTAATCTCAGAAGCATATCGCCTCCACTCTTCTTAGTGTTCCAGCAATTGGGGCTCTGCTGTTTCAATTACAAAACAGTCTGGAACAAAAGAGGCTGCTAAAACACATCCAATGTTTTAAAGGCTCTTGAACCTTGATCCTGAAAATTTCTGCTTTGTCTTGAGATACCTCAGTTTCTTAACAGCCACATGCAAACTATAACTTTACAGCTCAGTCTGAATGGTGGTGATGTTTGTGTCTTCAAGGTTGTTACAGATGAAGGTTTTTGCTTGTAGCTGTTTTGAGGAGAATTGAATAGGAACTTGTGTTTAAACCTTTTTAACTCCTAACCTTGGAACTATTGCCAGATGCTATACTGTATCTCTTTTAGCTGGAATGGGAATCTAATGTGATTTCAAAGGTGCAACTGTGTAATGGCTTTATGAAGATCTGGAAGAGCTAGGAAGTAGATTGCAGGGGTCCCTCTTGAGATCTGCCTGGTTACTGTTGGCAGTTTGTGATAGCCTTGAGCAAACTGCTAAACTGGGTAAAATGCTTGTGCAAGACACTATTTCCAAGAGTATGGTACCTAGTACAAACAGATCGGATCTTAAACTATGTTAATGTGTATGGGATTTTTAGAAAGATGTCTAGTCTTGGTAACCAGGCAAAACTCCAGTACAGATAACTAGCATTTTCATCTCTCTAAGTCAAATGCTGTCTTAGTTGAACACATTCATCATCTTCTTCCTTGCCCTCTAGTACTGTTTGTGCTATTCAGTTGTACCTGCCACAACAAACCAATTAAGGTCTGAGTTTTTTGTTTGTTTTGTTTTAAATCTTTTTTTCAAATGCCCCAAGTACAGCAGTGTGCTCCTGTCTGATTTGCCAATTTACTTCATTCTTCGTTACCTCTTGTAAATCACTTGGAAATTAACTGGGGATTACAGGTTAGAAACCTTTAGGTGAGGTAGGTTGTTCAGTACTCAGAAAGCAGAAATAAACTTGCTGTTTGACTTCCGCTGGGAGTAGGCAGCCAGGGAAACGAGACTTAGTCTAAGGTGTGGAGGAAGAACTGTTGCTGCATTATTGCAACTCCTTTTTGGGACCTCTTTTCATGTCCATGGGTTTGGATGAAAGTATGCTTAGAAAAAGGAGATGATGAATCAGCCTGGAAAGAAGTAAAGTTAGACCAAGTAGGATTTGCTGGCTTTTTGAAGAGATTTCTGTGGTACTGGGTGCTGAGTGGCTTGACTCACTGCAGAGTATCTTCTGCCAGATAACCTCAGTGCTGTAACAAACATGAACTCTGTGTAATGCACGTAAAAGCGTAGCAGATTGGTGAGGAGGTTTCAGGGGAGTTTTTCAAGTCATCTCGCTGTATTTGAAGAGGGGAAAAATACTTGCATCATCCCTCTCCAAAAATCAGGCATTGCTTTTTTTGAAGCAAACTTTAGAAAAGAAATTGTCATGCTTTCATTTGTCTTAAAAGGTGCTGAATAATTAGGTCTTTGAGGATTTTTGAACATGAAGCAGGAGAGAATTTTACTTCTGCTATTGCAGCTGATGCTGGGCTGCACAAATAATCTTGGAAATTATTCTCGTATCTGAAGAATTAAAAGTATGAAAAGAAGTGATGTGATTTACAGAAACACCTAGATGGGTAGGTCAGTTCCCTCAGTTCAGTGACGGTGAGATGTCTAATCTCCTTGAGTTTCCTTGCAACCTTGTATCTGTAGGCCTGTAAATGTATCTCTAGTCCTTGCAATTACACAGTTCATAACAACTGCAAGCCTAGGCTGGAAACGTCTTAAATCCTTCGCACAGGTCTCTCTAGCCTACTTGAGTTTAAATAACATGCCAAGCTTAAGTAAACTGAAAGGAATAAATAAATAACAGGCTTCTGGTGGCTCTAAACAGTGATGGAATGAAATTGCTCCTGAAGATGCTGACTGCCACCCCTCATCTGTCAATTAATTTGCACTCTATGCAGCAGATATTCTCAGTGCTCAGGGACCACGCTGGCTGACAACTACAAGCACTGAACAATGTGGAGGGATGGTGGCTTTTGTAGGAAACTGTCTAGCATCAAATATGTAGGATTTCAGTTGTGTGTTTCCCTTCAGGATGGCTTATGTAAAAATGTTCTAATAGCACCTTACCAGCTTTTGTGAAGGTAGGAGAAGCAGCTGCATGTCTTGCTTATGTCAGAGATGCTTTGTGGGTTGTATGGCTGAAGAACCAGTGATAAGACTGCACTGACTTCTGTGGCCTCCCTCTTGGGTAATCTGTTGCATCCTCATGTGCCGGTGTAGGGTTCTGGGAAGCTGGTGTCACTTCTACAGAGAAGGTGGGCCCAGCTGGTTGTGTTGGACTGCATATATCTGTGTGTGCTGTCATCTGAGTGCTTTCAAGGTGCTGGATTGAACCAAAATAGGCTTGTACTGAGATAATGTCACAGCCTGCATATCCAGTTTAAGGAGAACTATAAATGCTGACTGATTGGAGAGGGAACATTGGTAGTAAAAGCACTTCTAGCTTGTTAGGCTGTCACGCAGGGTAATGCTGTTAATATTAGACAGTTTTAGAAGACTGGCAATAATAGGGAATGGCAAAGGAGCTTAGTAGGAGTAAGGAAAGGCCAATGATCATATGAGGGGGAAGAAGGCCTGAGGAAAGTGTCTAATGGTTACTGGGAATCATAAAGAACATGACTTAACTACCAGAGCACCTTTTATATTGGAAAAGGTTTTGGAAGATGAAAATGCATGTTGTAAAATTAAGTCAAGGACTGCATTCATACTTTTCATGTCAGTACTTTGTATGGCAGTGACTTGAGGAAGATGCAGTGTTTGAACTGTGATAGTGAACTTGAATATGAAATTATATGCTTTGGTAGCAAATAACTAGAAAGCAGTTCATGTTGATTTGTATTAGCAAAACTGTGGTATCCTTGGTGGGGGTATTTGTTTATTGTTGAAACTATGTGAAGCTCTCTGTTGTACCTCTTGTGTTAGTATATGGTTGGCTCTCTTCCTGTAAACTGAAACTAGCAGTTAAGTTGCACCAAAGTAGTTCTTGCAGTGTTTTTGACTTGTGATTCACTGTAAAATGAATGCTAAAATACATAGGGTTATGAAAAAAACTCTGCAAAAATATATTTTGGTGATTCAGTAATTGAGGATGCATAACAATTGCATGACTTACTGAGCAAATCTTTCTGTGGCCTGAAGTCAGAAGAGTGTACCGATTAGGTAATTATAGCTGGAATGCTACTGCAGGTTCCTTCCCAGTGATCATAGTTCAGGTGGGTAAAAAAAGTAGTAAAAAAGAGGAGAAAAACATACAGTATTTCAGAGGATATGTAGGTTTTGCCAAGGCTCAACAGCCATGAATACATATAGGAAGGATGAGGGTTACTGTGACTTTTTTTTTTAAGCTGTAGGAGTTAATTTTTATTTTAAGAAGGAAAAATGGGTTAAGAATAAGTCCAATTGGAAATCTAGATGGGGTTCCTTTGGTATATTGGGGTTTTGCTCAGTGAACATATATATGGGAAGGGAATGGATAGGAAGAACACAATTGCTGCATAAACTGGTAGTCTTGAAAAGATGTGTTCCACGCTCATGTTGGTGTGTTACATTGAAGGGCTGAGATGCATCTGGCTTTTGTGTGTTAAATGCAAAATGATATCAAGTGAAAAATGACTGTCTTGTATGAGTAACTAGGGAGGAAGAGTAGATGGGTGAAGATATGGTAGAGTTGTGGACTGAGAAAGTATAAGGACTCTATATATCAAAACTGTGAGGAAGCTGGCTTCCCTTGCAGAAAGTTGTTTTGTGCTGGTTGGACAAGCAAAAGTTTGTGGAGCTGATCTGGTTTGCATGACAGATGAAATAACATTTAAATAAAGTTTAATTTTATTTTTAAAAGACTAATTTATTGTGTATAATTTTAATTATTTTAATTGTGGATGGGAGGGATGGGGTTTGTTTTGTGGGATTTGTTTTTCGTTTGTGTTTGTTTTGTGTGTTGTTTTTTGTTCTGGTTTTGTTTTGTTTTTTTTTTTTTTTTTACCTTTAGTAGCATATACTGAGTTTGCTGCTTCAGGAGCACTAAAAAAGCTTACCACTACTTAGATGTGTAAGTGTGGTCAACTCTGGGCATCAAATCAAAAGAAGATATGAAATCTCTTCAGAAGTGCAACTGATGGCAGTTGGGATGATGATGTGGGCAAAGCAAGAAAAATACTCCTATAGTTTCTATGTTTGTGTAAGGGAACATGAGTTTTGCAGATTTAATGGTGAAATAGTAGGAAATACAGTTACAGTGCTGGAAACATACACATCCGTAAATTGTGCGTGCATTAACTGAGAAAATGATTGTGCTACTTACAGTAATGGAATTTGGATCAGAAGTAAGAGTTAACCCAAGATTGATACCTGTGAATTCTTTTATAAGGATAGTGTTTTAGATACACTGTGTTCTGTACTGCAGGAACAACTTTTTACATTCTTTCTATACAGTATGTTTTCTCCCAGAAAGGGAGAAATCACGATTGAAAAAGAAAAGAGCCAATTGAATTTTGATCTGAGAATCAGCATCTCTAGTATAAATATGTTAGCCATATGCTCCCACTGCTGATGACATGGTTTTTCTAGTGTAGATTATATTCCTTTTGACATTGTTTTATGTAAAACAGAAAAGGGCATTTAACTAACAAGAGAACCAGCATGGAGTTACTTGTGGCATTTTCACAGTGTTGTGTATGTTTATGCTTTGGGAACCACTTGCCTGACAAGATTTGTAGCTAGTTAGGCAGGAGGCCTGACAGTAATTTTTTGAACTGGAAGCAACATTCCTGGAAAGGAGATACTCTTGAATTAAAAAGTTGCAGTAGGAAAGTCCAGAAAGTAAATGCAGTGTAGATCTTGTGATAGAAGTAGGAGGAGCCAAAGGTTTCTATGGTATTATTAATGCTTTCTAGAAATACTAAACTCCCTATAATCACCTTAAAATACTCAACTTGTTACTGTCCAAAAGTATACTTCTTTGATTTAAAAAAAAAAAAAATTCCAAGTGACTAGCCACAGAACTGGGTTTAAGCACTCTAAAATCTTTTTAAAATCACCTCCTGTTGTGGATTCTTTCCTGTGTATAGATCAGTAAGCAGCTATATGTGGGCTGATTAACTAAAAATATCTACTAAGAACCTGAAGAGGAGGCATGGAATTCCTCATTTAGAATCGCATTACTCTAAGAGTTCTGAACTCCCGCACACAAAGGAGTAGCCTAGTTGTTACTGCACAGCAACAGTTAACACGCTTCTGCTAGTGCTGTCAGCTTTCCTGCTGACATCAGATGTCTAAAGCAGTAAACAGAAAGCAGCCATGTCTGTTCTTCCTGTACCAGGGGGAATCAAAATAAATTGCTAGTCAGATGAAGAGCAGCGAAGCTGGTAAGAAACTTTAAACTAATCAGAAAAGTCGTTGATGTAGAAGAGTGATTCTGGAAAAGTTTAAATGTTCCCATAAATACAGCACTGTGTTTGCAGATCTTTCTGAAGAGAATGATCCTATTTGTAACTCGTACAGCAATGCTTCAAAGTAATCTAGAATTTTATAGGAAAGAAATTAACTGTGTTACCTTTTTATTCAGAAGTCTCTGCTATAGTTAATCAAGAATGACTGTACAAGTTCTCAACAACTTGACTTTTTTCTTAGAAAGTAGCAAAATAAAAAACCCCTCAAAAATGTGAACTTCTGGAAGTATTTTATTCTGAGTTTCTCTTTTTAACAGAAACTGAGAAATTGAGTGCTGAGACTTGCTGTAGTCATTTATAAATAAGTTCTGGTTAAGGCATTGACTCATACCAGCCCTAGAACGAATGTGAATATTGTTGCAGTTATTTTGCTAGTATTAATATCCTAGAGGGCGTTCTAAAATGAGATGTCAGTGCTTTCTAAAAGACTAATACAAGGTTCGTATAGTAGGTTGAAAATGACTTATTTAAAAGATGTTTTAATTCTCTGCAAACTTAAATCAGTTCTTGTAAACACAGAGGGTGGTATTTAAAATGTCGGTTAAAGCAAGCTATCTGGCATCGGAGGCTGCTTTTGAGGGGGAAGAGTGCAAGGGCAAAGAGTGATACAAGCTGTAACTTTGTAAAGTGCATACATATGTGAACATTTCTCCCTCTAATGGGGTTTTGTGTTGTGAATGTTGGTGCATCATGGAAGAAATAAATACTATTTTCCCTTTCCTTCTAGACAATCGAAGGAAAGTAGAACCACCCCTTGGAGGTCATGATCCTCGAACAGCAGTTCAGTTAAGAAGCCTCAGCACCGTTTTAAAGCGTCTCAAAGAAATCATGGAGGGGAAGAGCCAGGTAATTCTTCTGAGGGATTTATAGGCCAAACCATCTAGAAATTGAACTGTTCACTGGGCTTCTCTGAACTTCATTTTTAGATATATCATGGGAGTTTTCAGATGTTTGAAGGATGAGTGAATAAACTCAAAAATCGTGTGAGTGCAGGGGAAACAATTTCAGTTCATGCTGCCTTTTTACATGCCAAACATCTGTCATATTGTGAGAGCGAAACATTGCTGTTGCTCAGCTTTTTGAACTCAGACCAAATGTGCTTATTTTAGACTCCTTCCCACTTCTGTATTATCTATTCTAAATTAGCTGATGGTTTTCTCCTTTGGGGGCTAATCATGGACAGGTAAAACACATTGACTGTCTCAAATAGTAATGAGAATTCTGAGGATGAATTAAATTTGCTACTTACTGTAGTAATGATTGGTCAGCAATATTTGCTTGAAAGGCTTGTCCTGTTAATCAATTTTGATTCAGCTGAATAAGGGTCTGGCGGTTACTACTGACTTGCTAACTTCACCTCCCTCTGCCATGTTGGACCATGCCTTTAAGAGGAGAGTCTAGCTGAGAAAAGAAGCCACAACTATTTTTGAGGGGTGATATAAATAGCTGTGCCTGGTGGCAAGACACAGGCAAAAGTACATTTAATTAAACCGAATGAAGAAGAAAAAAGCTTTTGGCTTGGTAGGTTTTATAGGTAGACTTTGAATAAATTCACTCAGCTTCAAGTGCTATTTTGCTTGTAAGAATAACTTTGCTTTGGTAGAAAGGGTGATACTAGAGGGTGAAACAAAAGCCTTTCATTGCAGTAAGTAGGGCACTGAGTGTGTCACCTACTAATATTTCAGTTTGTGGCAGCTTCTGGAGGCCCTGGATATTTTCAGACATCTTTGAATCTATTGGAGAAGTGCTCAAACAGACAGGATGCAGCATAAATGAATATGTTGAGATCTTTCTCTGAAAGCAGTATGTTAGCTGTCAGCATGCTGAGTTCTGTACAAATGATAATGCATCACTGCCTTTGACTGCAGCCATGTCTTGCTTGAGTCACTCCAGGCAACAATTTCTTCCTACTATGGAATTGGTCTATCTCTACAGGAGACCACTTTACTGTTGAAGAAAGCATGTGTCAGATCCTGGAAGGTGCCTCTACTACTAACTGGGGACAGGCTTCTGTTGTGAACCCTTCCTTGTAGGCTGTTTTTGTCATGCGTGTTGGCTCTGACTTCAGCAAAGCAGAGATCTGTAAGGTTTCACCAGCCATGGCTGGATTTCTAAACACTCAGTCATGTGCAAGTGGGGCAGAGGCACTGCTGCTTGGAACAGCCTCTCTGTGTGGTAGAATCAGGGACTTGGCATATCATGTAAAGCCCCAGAAAAAACTGTTAATCGGCATCCCCTGCAGCTTTGCAGCAGTTTCATGGCAAAGCTCTTCACTGCATCTTTCCCTGCTGGAAGCTTAGTGTTTGTTTTAAATATTTCTAGACTCTCTTGAACACTAGACTACCTTGAGCAGTCTTTGACCTCTTTCTGTATGAGTTTTCTTAGGTGAGGGCAGCATGAAATTGTCTTGTTGATCATAACTGTTTTGGTTTCAAAATTGGTCATCAGCTATGTCGAACTTCACTTGTGAACATCTAAAAATAGACCCCATTTCAGGGTATGAGTTTTTTTGGTTATGTGAAAATCAGAGTATGGATCACCTTCTTTCTCTGTGGTTATTTTCTTCTCAGGTTGTTTTGAGAAAATTCTTAGAGCACATTCTCTTCCTAAGAAAAACCCAAACTATTCAGTCCCTTTGAAAAGGCTTTTTGCCAGAACTGAAATCTAGCAAAGAGTGTTTCACAGTTAGAGCTGTCATGTGACCTTTAGCAGTTGTCTCCATCCATGGTAGTTGTAGCTGGTGTGCTCAGAATCATAATTGAGAGATCTGTCTTGCTCTGTTTATAACTACAACACAAAGTGAAAGTTTTAACTCTTTGTTTTCAAGTCTTAAGACACAAATTCCTGTGGCTGCACCCATGCTGTAAGTCAGTATATGTCGTTATCTCCTGAATGTGTATCCCAGTTGTCTTCATACAGCAGTTGACCTGGAGTTTTGAAACAATGTCTATCTGGGACACAGGCTTTTACAACTGTTTACTGAGGTTCTGAAGAATTTGATCATATAACAGAACTTTCTACATGTATCTATAATACTTTCAAAGTACATTCCAGTATTAGCTGTTGAAATGATCTTTCTGCATTGATAATTCCTGGTAAATTGATTTACCCCTGGATAACAGCTTCAATTACTGTATGGGGTTTGTTTTTTATGTTTTTAAACTGTGCTAGTTGAAAGCCTGTCATGTGCTAGGGGCTAATGAAAGAGAAGAGCAATCAGTACTTCATATATTTGCTTCTTCTTGACCTTTATTTACAGCTCATGGTAGTTTTTATCTGCTTTGCTTCTATCTTGGATCAAGAAGGCAAAGGCTTACTAGATTTATTCTCGCAGTTAAGAACTCTTTCAGCCTTCTGGCTCCCTATAAAATCACATGAAAAATCCTTTCTCTGCATGTGTGCGCTTATACATGAGTGTGCATAGGCACACGTATACAAATATATGACATTGTCCTTTTCATGTGTCCAGTCTATGAAGCAATCATGAATCTAAACATGCTTTTTTATTTACAAAAAAAGAAAAAAATTGTCTTTGTTGCCTTCCCTTGTAGGACAGTGACTTGAAGCAGTACTGGATGCCTGACAGCCAGTGCAAAGAATGCTATGACTGCAGCGAGAAATTCACCACCTTCCGGCGGAGGCACCACTGTCGGCTTTGTGGGCAGATCTTCTGTAGTCGATGCTGCAATCAGGAAATCCCTGGAAAATTCATGGGCTACACAGGTAAAATTTATCCACTGAGAAGCAAAACATTCTGTGTGTCCTCAGTTCTGTTTAGACTACTGCATTTCAGATTCTGGCATCTGCTAGAGAATTTGATACAGGTCTTTAGTGGGCTTAGAAATAAGCAAAAAGTATCACAGGACCTAATTCTATCAATTCTTTGTGCACAATGGTGGATCATGCCATGTCTGCTTATTTTTACCAACACTGTGTCCGTGATGACAAAACAAATATGGCCACTGTTGAGTAAGGATGTTCACTATAAAAAGTGTGCTCTTAGCAATACTAGTTTTAAAATATAATGAGCCACATGTTCTAATTGAGGGTGAGGAAAACTCTTTCAAATACTAATTACCAAACTAGACATCTCCTGATGGAGGTCACGATTTCCAGACATCAGATGGTATGTCATACCTGACTGGCTGTTGTTGTACCATGATTTCAGTGTGCACATGTGCTCTCTCTCTCCTCATCCCCCAACCTGTCTCTCTCTTACCCACCATGTGTTATGCATCATTTGACTTGGAGAAATTTCCTGAGTATATAATTGTCTGGGGCTTTGCTCTTTAAGGGAATAGGAGAACTAGACTTAAACATGCAAAGAGGTTTTGAAACAGGAAATCCTTCTTTTCTTTACCACTACACACCTCTGATCCTGTAGGAACAGAGTACTATTTGTTCCCGTTTACTTACCCTCTCTGGTTCCCCTTTCCATAGGGGATCTCCGAGCCTGCACTTACTGCCGCAAAATAGCCTTAAGCTATGCACACTCCACAGACAGTAACTCCATTGGAGAAGACTTAAATGCTCTGTCAGATTCTGCATGTTCTATATCAGTGCTGGATCCTGGCGAGCCACGTACACCAGTCGGGAGCCGTAAAGCTAGCCGCAACATCTTCCTGGAGGAGGATCTGACCTGGCAAAGGTAAGGTGAAAGGCTTCATGCTGAGCTCCAGAATCTTAACTGAATTTTCAGGCTGACAGCTGCCTAGGCAAAACCAGGTGGTTTCTATTTAGGGAACTTAGCAGTATATCTCCTGTAAAAAGAATCTAATCCTGTGCTTGCTTCTAATATTCTTTTCTTCAGGTTGAAATGTACAACCTTTTCTAGTGGAGTTCTAAATTGTTTGCAGTTGTTTCTTTAATTTATTGAATCAGTGATTCTATATCAGTGACAGAACAGGTTTTCGATTCAGAGTTTAAAAAGGCAAAACCAAAACCCATTCCTTCTAACCACTGATTGAGAGGCAAGTCAGTGTAACACTGATGCTTTACCTGTCTGGTTTTGGATTGGGCAAGAGAATGTAAGAGATGCTGTCTGTGTAAATAAGAGAGAAATGATGAAAGTAACCACCTCTTTCAACTGAAGTGTATTTGAAAGGGCAGCTATAAAGCTTCTCTGATCTCTTGTCATAGTGTGTTTCTTCTTACTGCTCTTGAATGAGGGGATCTTTAGTTTTAGAAGATGAAAAAGAGAACACTGTACTTTTTTCTCAAGTGGTATGCAAGTTAATTTCTGAGGACCTTGATTTAATTTAACATGGGGGGAGGAAGAAATAATCAGATGTGGTGTTTGTGTTCATTTCCCTAAAAGCAGAAGAACATGAGGGTGTGAAACTATTGCGGAGGTCTTGGATCAGAGCCTTTCTTTAACTGAGGGATAGTGTTAGTGACACATGCCTGCCTCAGCAGATCTACTGGTTCTGATACTATTAAGAGAACCCTCAAAAACAACTGTCTTCAGAAAATGCTCTGACTCTTGCTTTACACGGTGCTTTTTGCTGTATGGTGCTCCTATATGGAAGCAACTAAATAATCAGCTTTAGGCCTAAATAAAGGAAAGTACTTCTGGTTTAATGTTATGGTCATCTAAAGCAGTAATGTTGCAATGCTTAGGATAAATACTACCAAATTTTGAATTAGGAATAAGTATGTGTGCTCGGTTGGAATGCTTCTCTTCAGGTGTACAAAATAATACAAGGTATTATTAGTTCTGTCTTCTCATGTGTTATTAGCATCTCTATTATGGCAATTCAACAGCTTGTAGACATGAACATATAAACAAAGTATTTATACCTTTATTTTGGGCAGCTTGTAGCACTCGAGAAAAATACTGTCTCTACTTGAAAGACTGGTAATTCTTTCTATACTAGAATGTTTAGGCTTGTTGGGAGATGCTGAGCAAACATGGGCTGCTTTTGTGTGTGAGAGAGGGAGAGATTGAGATTAGGTAGTTTATTGTTGCTTTAGGAGGATAAAAATTTTTTTTCAGTGCTTATTGCTCCTAAAATGTAAAATTTTGCAGTGGGCTACAGTGCTTTTTTTAATACTGCATTTGGTAAGTTCCTGATTGACCTTCAGAGGTTTAAACTCAAGACATTCAACTTAAACAGCACCACAGTGGAAAGTGGCAACTCACAGCTTCCTAATGGAAGCAAAGTTTTTTTTCTGGTGTGTGGCTTCTCTGTGACAAGTAGTTTGCTTCAGAAGAAAACGTGGGAGTTTTCCCAAGATACAAAATAATGTATCTGAGATAAGGCTCTTGCATCTCCTGCTGTCATATGTTGCAAAACAGTGAGAAAAGCATTTATGGGAGTGGTGCTGTATTTACTTGTCTGACATTGCTCTGCTCTTTGAGCTATTGGAACATGGAGGCTTTAACTAACTTGAAGGGCTGTGTCCTTTAAAAGTGAGGGCGTGGTGTACTCTGGGCAAGTACAGCTACTCAGGCAAAGTTGTATTGTGCACGTTTTCTCATGAAGAGCATTTATCGTGCTAGTAACATGTCTGCATCTCAAAGCACAAACAGTATGGCCGTATCGGTTGGAGTGTAGTGGCTTATATCTGATACAGTTTTGCCAGGGGAAGAGAGTGGGAAGGCAGGATAGTACAAGAAGTGGAAAGAGGCTGTATTGTCCAAGACTTGAGTCTAAAGGGAGAAGACTTGAGCACTGTCCTCCAGATGTCATTTGCCCACAGATGGGGAAAGATTTCCCTATTCCCTCATTGATTTAACAATCATGGGTGTGAATGAGAGGTAACATAATTCACTGTGTTTTAATTCCAGCTGTTCTAACACTGCTGCATATGGCAAATTTCTCAAATATCTGTAACATGATCCTTTTTTCCTTGCAGTCTGATTCACCCAGACTCTTCAACTACCACACTGACTGCACGCCTTGGGTCTGTCCAGGAGGATGCAGGAAAGTCGCCAGCTAGGAACAGGTAAACTAATCATATCTGAGTATTTTCTGTTCTAGTTGCATTCCTAGCACGTTCTTCACTGTAAAGCCTGTGTTTTGGGACTTGTTTTTACTGAGCATGCTGTTTCATGTCTAAAATGGGACACCCTGTTACCCATATGTAGTGGTAAGGGAGCTTACCATTACATTACCAGCTCTGAGCTGGACCTGGCAGGCCCAAACTGCTCATTCAAGGTAAATTTTAATTCTTTGGCTATTCATGTCCTCACCATAGTACTTACCTGTCTGGAATTATGTTTGAGAAGTAACGATGAGGTATAGCCTATTTCTGTCAAAATTCTGAACCTGTGGAAACAAAGCTATTAGCTTTGGGCTAAGCAGTGCTAGCCTTTTGTTATTCTCAAAGCAGCTGTAGATGTTTCTTTGAGGCAAGCTTGACCATTCCTCTTTTTAGATGAGATGAAACAAAAAGGATGCAGGTTGAGTGCATTTAGGTGAAGGTAACAGAAGTTACTTAGTATTATTTGTTTTGCCTGTGGCTGGAGGTTTTGTATGTTTTTTTTCTCAAACTGGTTATTTATGGGTGAAAAAAAAAACAGCACAACAGTTAACTGTTGCAAGCAGAGGTATTTGAACTTCTCCTTTGCAGGCCCTTGTAAGGGATAGAGATTTTCATTGCAAAATCTACTCCCCTATTTTTAGAAATACAAGAAATACAATAAAGTTCCTGATGTAATTGGTGATGATAAAGACACAGATATAAAATGTGACTGTTCTAACTCTGGCTTAATGCTCTTTTACACTAATTAAAAATCCCTGCTGCTTACAGGTAGGTGGCATAGTTAAAGTAGCTGTTGCAAAACAACTGGGAGGAGTGCTTAATGATGAACTTCAAAGTTTTGTCTTCCACGTGAGAATGCTTTCTGTTAAGCTGCATAACTCTGCCAGTTCAAACTTTAACTTGAGAGCATCTGAACAGCAGAAGACTGGCAGAGTTTTAGCCTGCCTTGAACACCTGACTATGACAGAGTTTTTGCTTATCACCCTTAGATGTAGATGCATGTAGTGCCAACATAGTTTCCTTGCTTCTGCGTAAATGACTAGAAAGGACCTAACTAAACCCCTTTATCAGCCCAGGATTCCTCCTCAAGAGACAAAGGAGGAAAAAGCAGTCATTTTGAGACTATTGCACCTTCAGTGCCTACGTCCTTGCAGTACAAAAGCTGCAATAGGGTGGGATTGCTATTTCATGCCTGGGCTCAGCCACGTCATTCACTGAGAATTCTTTGGAATAATTATAGAGTCTCTGTTAGCCAGTTAGCAAGCTCTGTGAAGTTATCTGAGTTTCATTTCAAAAACTAGAGACTGGCAACTGTTCTCATCACTGAGACTGCTACAAGCCTCTTGAGTCAGTTCAGCATTGGCTTTTTAAGCTTCCCTGTTGCTGTATGCAGAAGCGTTTTTCATCCTCATTCCTTAAGAGTGCTGTTAGCACAGATAGCTTATGCTGTATCCTTTTTGCTGCTGCATGATGAGAAGTACCACTCTGGTTATTCAGAGGCTTAATCTAGTTGTGGGATATTGGAGCAGAGGGTATCTGGAACTTGTATTTGCACTTGTAGCTTTGCAAGCATTATTGCAAAATGGTGTGTTTCTACTGGAGCATATAGCCAAGATTTCCTAACAGCTGGGCTGAGACCAGGTGGATGCTTCATATCACAGTATAAGGAAAATTGCCAGCTGGAGTGACCCCTAGCTTCAGCAGATGGTTTAGCCATGCTGGGGAACAGGCCCTCGAGCTCGCAGACTCAGCAAGCTGTCATCCATATATTTCAGAGAGCTGAGGAGAAGGAATTTTAAATGGGTCAAGGCGAGGGGGAGTCTCAGTGCACTGTTACAGGGATCCTGGTGTTGTTGGCCCTTGCTGGCATATGACTTGCCTCCAAATCTCTGGAGCTTCTAATTACCCAGCATCCCATCTCTTTGTCAGTCTATTCAAATGCAGACATATATGAATTTCTGTGCCTGAACTGAGTTCTAACTGCTTCCTACGAAGAACTGTACAAGGGTTTAACTTAGATGTTCCAAAGCAATACACTTGCTTCCTAGGGATCCTTTCTTCTGCTTTGATGGGGGAGGAAACTTTAAGCGGTAAGTCTGTACTGAGGAGAGTGAACAATATCACAGACTTAAGTTCCTTTTTAGCATGCTACAAGATCAATGGCTGCTCTGATAAAGCACTGCGCAATGAACACTTACACTTCAGCTTTTTTTCTTCCACTGCAGATCAGCCAGCATCACCAACCTGTCACTGGATCGGTCAGGTTCACCAATGGTGCCTGCCTATGAGACATCTGTCAGCCCCCAGGCCAGTCGCACACATATGAAGGCAGAGACCAGCGAGGATGAGCGCAAAATCCTTCTGGTACCTTTCAGACTTCTGTTTGTCTTGCTCTTTGAAGGCAGTGAAATTTGTCTTTCTCACATCATGCAGGAGTATCTTCCTGCCTTTAAAGATTCTTGTCTGAGCACTCTTACCTGGACCGCTCCTCCAGGTGGTGCAGGGATGGAGAATATTGATGCTGCTTTGGACACTTCTGTCTTCCTGAAACAAATCAGAGTTTCATGTGGTGTTTGCATAAAGGTGTTTACAGTTTTAGTCTTGGGAAGTGTGTTATGCAGTGTGAAGTTGGGGTATGGTGGCTCCTTGGGAGTTAAATCTGTTACGGTTGTAGCTGTAATACAGTGACCTGATTCTGTATTTCTCCAAGTTCAGATTTTCCCTTTCATAGGCTACGTAATTGGAAAGTTTAAATGGCTGCTTCAAAATGGTTACACAATGATGAATGAGTTCAAGCTGTAACAGCTTATTGGGCTAAAACATAACTTGGCCCCTCCTCTGTTTAAAGAATAAACACAACATTTTGTAAAAGGTTGTAGTGACGTACTTGTTCAAAGAAAAATCAATGTGCAACAGTGTTTTGTGTAATCCTATTATCCCCTTCCCACAGAGGCAGTGTTGTAGGTGACCGTTACTATACAATGTTCAGTAGAAAACAGTGTTTCTTTTCTTTGTGGGACGGGATGTGCTTCCAACAAACGGGGGGTGGGGGGGTGGGCGCACAAAAGATGCAGAGAAGGGAAGGGAATTTTTTTCACCCATTAAAAGATTCAAGATTGCTCCCCATTGCCAATTCAAAATCAGGAAGGCTAATTTCTGTGTTGTCAGGTATTTGCCTGCTGTCAGCAAAATGCATACAAGTATTCCTGAGGGTGCGGAAACACTCTAGTTCCTGTTCAGTTGCACAACTCCTTTCCAGTGTGCTCTGTAAATGTATAACCACGTGGGGGAGAAACATTTTTAAGGCACATCTTTATACCACCCAGCCCTGTGGTATAAATGCAGTGGTATAGATGCAGTGTCAATTAATGTTAGGATTATCTGTGAATTCCCACTGTTTGTTTAATGCCCTTAGCATGTAGATCTGACTTTGTAACAGGAGTCAGCTTAATATTTAAAGCTCAACATACTCCATTCTGAAGACCAATGAACTTTGGTCATGAAATAAAAGTTAGGGGTGGGGATGCATGCACAGTGGAGTAAGCACATACTTCTGTGAACTAGAGGTCAAAATGCTTGAGTTGAAAGGATTTGCTGTTTGCCAGTTTGTCCAGTTTACTGACTTTACCATGTGAGTACAAGGCAGGTGAAATGTGGAATCGCCAATAGCATCAAATCTTGTGATGCTATGACATATTCTGTTACTGATCCATTTGACTCTATACCTGGTATGGAAGTGAAGCTGCTGATGTTGGTTTTAGGGTAATACCTAGGACAGCCACTGCTGGAAATAGAAAGCCAGTCTGGTAGCAGAAGTGAAGCAAAACTCTGGGATGTCAGGGCACCCTTGGGAAAGTGTAATAATATGGGTCTGGCAGTTAACTGGAAAGCTGAAACCAGTTAAGATTTAATTAAAGCTTTTTTTTTACATTTTATTCTGTTACAAAAAAATAGAATGAATGAGGCACTTGAGAAAGTGATCTGCAATGTCTCTTCTCCACCCCTTCGGGTGCTCTGTTGCTCTCTCAAAATAATGCAGGGTCCCAGTTTTGACTCTGCAGCAATGAATTGTGCTGTGCCAAGCCAGAGTGCATACGGGAAAGCAAATGGGGCCAGGTGCAGAGAGACAGCTCTGTTTGGATGGACCATAGCCTACACAAGAGTTGGTGCACATGCTTAACAGGCCTGAAGATAAGTTCAAGGTACAGGCTGAAGAGTTCAAGTGGTGAGAGGAAAAGATCTACAGATTTTCAAATGATTAACTGAGTTGGGAGTACCCTCCTTTTTTGCCTAGTGGACAAACCTAGCAGTGTCTAAAAAAGGTTTGATACTGGACAACAGAAAAGGAATCCTCAAGAAAAAATGGTATCCCAGAACTTGAACGTAGCAGCGTGCATTGCTGTGTCAAGTCCTTACTTTACATCTGGGCTTGATAATGGACTAGTATGCTTCACAAAGCCTAAGTTGAGCACAGATTATATAGAAAAAGCCTCTTCCAAAGGATGAGTTTTCATTGTCCTCTGCATTTACATGTACCACCTGAATTTGAGAATAGGATGCAGAGGGCAGTAGTGAGGACAGTACAAAATCTTGCCACATTAAAAGTAAAGCCTCCTTAACTCTGACAGTATCCACTTTGTTTCTTCCTTGTTCTCATCTTTATATAAAAGAAGGGATATAAGAAGCAGATTGCATGTCTGTTTGCTGTTTCTGTTTGCACCTTCACATAGGTTGTGCAGAATGGCTTAGATTTTATGCCTATTTGTGGAGGGCTCTTGATCTGCAGGCTGATCTGAATGCCCAGTTTGATGCCCTTGAAATGTGTGCTAAAGTCAGACTAGTAAGTAACTTCTACATCTTCCTGTCCAGGACTCAGTCCAGCTGAAAGATCTGTGGAAGAAAATATGCCATCATAACAGTGGGATGGAATTTCAAGACCATCGCTACTGGCTGCGGACACATCCCAACTGCATTGTGGGAAAAGAGCTGGTCAACTGGCTCATCAGAAATGGGCACATAACCACAAGGTAACCCTGATGCTTTAGGACTCCCCTAGAGGGCAGGTTGTGAGTTTTAGCTGGTATAGGGTACCTTAAACTGCAGGGATAGACTCCTTTGAAGGGAGATTAGAAAGAAAATTCAGATCCCTTCTTTTCTGCCTACCGAAGTGGGTAGAGCTCTGACTCCATGTGGCCCAAAACAACAGGGCACAGAGGGCTCTCTGTTTTGGGAGCCAGCGTGGGAGGCAGCTTATGGGACAAGCATCACTCAAACAGTTGGAGAGTAGTGATCATATTACAAATACTGTCCAAAAATATTCACTGATACTCCAAAGGGCAAGTCTGCCCCCTGGGATCAGAGATCACTAATAGTGGTTGATAGCTACATTTTTGGTGGGGCTTGCAGGCTCTTAACCTTCTGAGTATAAAGAATCTGGTGTATTTAACTATGTGAGAGGAGGATAAAGCTGAGATGGTTCTTAAGTGTACAGCAGCAGTCTTCACTCAGCAGGGATGCTCAGTATGTACAACTCAAGCTAACAGTATTGAAGGAGCACAAAGTGTCTTAATCATCTGTTGGACACTTCAGCTGAGTTTAGAGACCTGACAGTCTCTTCATCTAGCGCCATATTTGAACCAGTACACTCTGCTGCCTCTCCATAATTTTTATGGTTAAACATGGCAATGGGATACTGATGAGTCAAATAGTGCATAGCAAATGACTCTTTCCTTTTGTAGCATGCTTGTGCCATAAACTATGTGTGTTTAGAGATGGTTTTCTAAGTCTAGTTCTATTCTTATACCTCTAGGGTCCAGGCCATTGCAATAGGGCAAGCATTGGTTGATGGACGCTGGCTGGAATGTGTCAGTCATCATGATCAGCTCTTCAGAGATGAGTATGCTCTCTACAGACCATTACAGGTAAAAGGAGTAGGAAAGCTATGGTTCTTGCTGGGTTTGACTGCTGACTAGGATATTTTCTAATCCTATTCTCAGCAGCAGGGGTATGTTTTCTAAATCAGCTCTCCTGTAGAGAATTGAGGTCCAGCCCTTTTTCATTAGTGGTTTAAAGCCTGAGGGAGCTGCATTTACTCAGAATGCTTTGGGCTTGTCCTCTGTGGAGGATGAGTTATTACACGTAGTGTTGCCTAAAGTGGAGAATAAGGGCCTCTAATCTAGGCCAATGCCTCTCATGGTGGACATCTTCCACAGAGGACTTGGAATGGCACAGTCTCTCCTTGTAGCAGCTGTGCTGTTATGTGCAGAATCTAGAATCTGTGTGCAATTACTGGTGACTGACATAATGGTGGTCTTCTGTTTCAAAATTCCTTCTTTAAAAACTTCCAAAGAACGGATATTTTAGATATACAGTATTGGATTGTATTGGTAACCTTATGATCTCCAGTGATGGCAGTAATAATCAGTACCTTAGCCACATGATGCAAGATTGGGAGGGGGTCTTTGTCATGCCTCCTCAATCGGACTGGCTAGCTGAGGTGGAGGCAGTGACCAGAGATGCTAACCTACTGTATTTCATTGCAATAAAACTTGCTGAGGGGTAAGAGCAGTCACTGGCCTGAGTGATTGGATTGTATTTTTAACTTGAATGAGGTATCTTTTGTAACCTCTCTGTTATCTGAAAGCATTTGGTTGAAATTTCTATGTTCTGCAGCTTCCCACAATAAAGGATGGCTCAGCTGTCCTATGGACCTCAGTCAGAAAGCTTGCAGCCATTAGCATCGCATCTTGTACATGTCAGCTCTTGACCACAGTCACTTGGTCTTCCATTTAGATTGCTCTGGGCTTCATCTGGCATCTCAGCTAGTTAACTGCACTGTCTCAGTTGGCTAGTAAAAGCTTGCCCTTAACTTGCAAGTGCTTGTGGATCCCTGTTTGTAACTATTTGTAAGGGGCTTATGTTATTCAAGGTTTAAAGCCAATTCTTGTTCTCATCAGCTGGAAGCACTGTCTGATCTCATTTTTTCTGGATAAGAATCAGGAGAAACAGTGTTGACTCTCTTGCTGTACTCACTGTAGCCAAAGGAATGATAGAACTTACTCTTGAGGTGTCTGGAGGCATTAGTATAACTGAAGGAAATTGCTTAGATGCTCTCCAGGTTTTCTGGCACAAAGCCAGGCTTTGCTCTGCGCCTCAGCTAGAGCCTGACCCACGAGTGAAACTTAGAGCTACTTTGATCAGCCACAGAATTGCTCCAGTAACTTAGAATTAGCCTCCACCAGAAGCTGCATGTGCTAGTTTCTGGGCAAGGGATATGGTCATCACCCCCCTTGGCTGGGGATGGGAAGCATTCAGAACTGCTTAGCTGGATGAGGTGACAGAACATGTGCAGTAGAATAAACTTGTCTTTTAGTGCCACTGAGTCACAGCTTGTGTGGCAGTGGGGAGGAGACAGAGACTAAGCACGTGGGAATTGTAAAGAAATACTGGTTTCCTGTCCCAAAGTGTTCCTATTTCATGCGAAGGGGGGTGGCTCTGTGACTAACCTGGCCCAGCCCACTGAGAGTATCCTCTGATTTTTAAAATGTCTAATCTGCATTTGTAGCAGGCTGCTTAATATTTCAGCAGAGCTGTGCTTTAATGCCTTTTTTTTTTTTTTTTCCCCTTTCTTGTCTTCTAGAGCACAGAGTTCTCGGAAACCCCATCACCAGACAGTGACTCTGTGAACTCTGTAGAGGGGCACTCTGAGCCATCATGGTTTAAAGACATCAAGTTTGATGACAGTGACACAGAGCAGATTGCTGATGAAGGAGAAGATAACTTAGCCAGTGAGTTTCACCCAAGTCTTGGTCTCGCTCTGCCTTCTCCCCCGTTATCCCCAGTTCTTTGGGACATAGTAGTCTAACCATGTCGTGCTTTATGTGTGTGTTTGTGTATGTGCGTGTGGGGCTGTAAATAAGCAAACTATAACCTAGCTAGTCCTCCTGTTTCTTACAATGGATATGGTATTTTTTATTTAGTGGAACTGGTAAAGCTTCGTACTTCTAATGGAGGAGGAGCATGTAAATTGCTGACTTCTGTTTCTCAGGCAGACTTCTGCTTGATTTGGGCCTTACCGTAATGCACTAAAGAATGCCCAATATGTCAGCATGCACACATGAGGGTAAGATTAGAACTATGAAAATACTATATTCCTGTAGCATTGCACACTGGTCTTTATGTATTAAAGACAATTTTTCTCCTCTCCGGTACCCTCATGATACCCATTTGAACCCTTCTCCTCCCTGTATCTTCCCCCTTACCCAACACTAAAAGACTCCGCCAGCCCTAGCAAGCGCACTTCAGTCAGCAGCTTCCAGTCCACAATGGACAGTGATTCAGCCGCCTCCATCAGCCTGAACGTGGAGCTGGACAACGTGAACTTCCATATCAAGAAGCACTCCAAGTACCCACATGTGCCCCCTCACCCTGCCGACCAAAAAGGTATGAGGTAGTCACCAGCTGGAGTTGCACATGATGGAGAGCTGGGCCCTAATAATACTGACCTATTTGGACACTACTTTGGTAGCTGTCTTGCAGAGGGGGAAATACAATATTTAGCCGGCACTTTCTTTCAGTTTTGATGTGCTCACCTCTGTGGAGGCTCAGTAGCCCTGTTGAAACACCTTCTCTGCAGAGTGTGTAACTTCCCCTGTGACTTTCTCTTTGCAGTTAAAGCAAAGCCTTCTGCCCATGCATAATAGGGCAGATCCACATATACAATTTCTGGCTGACTCGGGTGGAAAAATAGTCTGTGCATAAACCAGTTTGATATGTGTCTCTACAGGTTGAGATTAAACTGGAAAAACAAGCAAGAAAAAAAAAACAAAACAAAACAAAACAACAAATGAATAAAATTAACTTGGAAGAGCTCTGTGTTGACTTCTAATTATACCTTAATAAGCTTACATTTGACAGAATAATCTTACTGACAAGCGATAAGGCCTGACATAATCCATATATGTAACATCTGTTCAAAAGAGAGCATCCACTTCTGTGAAGTAGGAAGAAATCAAATACTCAGTGTTGAAGACTTCTTTTAGAAGTTTTTTTTTTTTCTCCTAAATAAGTACTAAATCGAAAGACTCTAACTATAATCAGAATCCTTATGGAAAAAAAATAATGTGTCTGCTTGTTGATAATAGCATTCTCTAAATTGGACAAGGGCTGACTGAAACCAGGGCTTGCCACTGGCTTGGGTCTAGTATATTCTAGTTGCTTTACATGCTGGGTAGCAACTTGTCTTTGCTCTGCTTCCTCACCTACGGTTACATCAGCTTTGTAGACTTCTATCTTTGGCTGCTTCTAAGGAATTTCTTATTCTTAATTGTTGTCACCGCACCCCTTCAGTATTTCAAACTTTGAAAGACAATCCAGTATTAAACACTTTGGACTCGTAATAGATTCATCCTTCTATAAAGTGTAACAGATTTCTTCTGTTGTTGTGGATCAGAATGCAAGGCTTAACCTTATGCTTGCATACAGATTGCATTTTCTGAAACTGAAATGGTCACTGAAGAGAGGGAGGAAGGAGAAGTGGTCACAGATGACTTTGAAAATGTGTTAGACATGGGAGAGGGAATGAGGCAAATTAAAAGAGGCATTTATCAGTGCCTGTTGTAGTCACCTTTTTTTATTTGCTAAAAATATGTCTAGAAGAGGGGAAATCCAACTGCTTATTTTTTGCCCCAAAGAGAGGAGCAGAGCAGGTTCGAAAATTGAGTTGATGTCAGATGACTCAACAGTATATATGGGTTGTCAGCACTACTGACACCAGCTCATTATTGGTTCCTTTCAACTTGTTTCCAGCTTGTGCCCTAATCAAATGAAAAGCTAAATGCATCTGCAGGGAAGGAAAGGTGTGGAGCAGGAGAATGTATTAACAAATTCCTTTTAGGAAGGAGGGATGCTGGATTAAGTGAGCTTGAAACAGACCCAGGTGTGCTGCAGTATCCTGTGAGTTTACAGCTGTAGCAGGTTTATTTTTATCAGTGTGTATTGGCAGTAAAGCAAGCAGTAGTCAGTTTGGCTCTGAGCAGTGTTGAAGGACTTGTGGAGTGATAGTCCTGGTTTCAGATATATCTCAGTCTTTATCTCCTTATACAAAAAACAGTACATGATGAAGGGGAAACATAAGAGAGCCTACCTCTCTCGGAAACTGTTGACCAAATCAAGGCTTCTCATAGCCAGAACTGAAACTCTTGTGAGAAAGATTTTGATGATGGAGGACTCAGAGAAGAAGAGCAGAAAAGGCAAGTGATGAAGGGACTGAAATGAGAGAGACTTCTGCCTTTGAGTTTTATATATTGGCAGCACTCTATCTTTGGTGAATCTCTGCTGACTAGTGTTTGTTGCCTGTTCATGAAATGTGTGGTCTTTTAATCGGGTTTTTCTGTAGAGTGTAATTTGTAGTATAAAACTGGGAACAATTCATTTTAAGAGAATGGATTTCCCTTGAGGGGAAAATAACAGTAATATGCCCAGAACTAGGATAGGGCAGAGTTGCGAGTTATTAAAATGCATCGTGGAGGTGTAGGTATTATCCTTAATTTTGGGGGAAAAAAAAAAATCTGTACTTTCTGCAAATACAGAGGACTTATTGTACATCTTTGTTTTTGGATTCCTGGCATGAGAGTCCTTGGAGGAAAGACCTAACCAGGGACCAGCAAGTTAAAGTGAATGACAAGATCTTGAATAGCAAGAAACACTTCTTGGTAATAGGGAGACTGAAATTTCGTATGTACTTAGACACTTGTTATTCAAGGCCTTCAAAAATTAGGTGGGATAAACCCCTAGAGTGCGTACTGCAGTGCCTAGAGTAGTGAAATGGATGACTTCTGAAACTTTGTTTTGGAAATATTAAAGCACGAAGACGTTCACCTTGTGTTCTTGATTTATCTTGGCTATATTCAACAAAAGATGCCACTCAGGATGCTACGGAGTATCACAATGGTTAGCCAAGACTAGATAGTTAAGCTTCTATGTAAAATGGGACGTGGTTATTTTAAGAACAGAGTACTGCAGTCAATCAGCAATGTTGTGTGTTTGCTGCTGTCAGGGGTCAGTAACTTCCCTATGAACATCATGGACATGTATTTGGCTTGATTTCATTGGAATTGTCTTTTGTCCTTAGAGTGGATGACAGCGACTTGATTTTCTTTGAGATAATGAAGTAAAACTGAAGATCACACCCACTTTTTGAGGCTAGTAACTCAATTTCCTCCGAACTGTGTGAATTACAGTCACTGGGGGAGGACTGGTGGGAGAAAACATCAGTGCTAGAAGTGCAGATAAACTTGGAGAGGTTAGTGGGTTTCTTCAAATGAATAAGGGATCAGCTGCTTTGAAGCAACAGCCTGTGATGTACTAGCTGTGTTGTAGAACACAGTGTTTTGTATGTAGTCTGAGTCTAATTGCAGGACTTCTTGTGATGTTATAGGCTGACTAATGTCTGACGTGTTTCTATGAAATTCTAGTGACTCCAAGTTAGCTGGCTTGTAGTATCTTACAAGTGAGTATACTGACTCATTTACATTATTATCTGACTAAAAACAATGTTACTTTATAGTGTGTATCGAAATGGGAAACAAAGTAAGATTGGTTTCTGCATTTAAATTGGGGGGAAGAGATTGACTTATTTGAAATGTGGCATTTAGTTGCTGTTTTTAAATAGATACCGTTATTAATAGAGCAGCTTTGTTTTTTAAATGTCCTTGCAGCCAGATGTTCTTGATACTGGTAGCAGGTATTTTGGGTAGTTAGTTTTTGATGCCTGCATCTAGTTAGGAGGGGGAAAGAGAAGACAATCTGAGTAACCGTGACATAGTTACTTATCACCATCGCTTGCCAAGGCTTAGCGTGCTGTTGCCAGGAGCCCCTTTGGTGCACCTTCTTTTGAAAAGGTACACCTCAGTTTTCAGTGTGTATCTGTGGATGCATGCGTCCTTGTTTGTGCATCTAGAGGAAAAGCTGTGGTTGCTGGCCAGTCTGTTTTGATGTTTAACCAGAGCAGTCTGTAAGGTGTCTAAAATCTGTACCTGCTGGTTTCTATTGGAGACCTGTGAACTTGTGTGTGCATTGTGATATTTGCTTTCAATGATGCCCTTGAATATCAGACCTAAGAATTCGTATGTTCTGGGGTGGGGTTTTTTGGTTCTTTTTCTGTCGTTTTGTTTTGGTGAAGCTGTTTAGGGGAGCTTGTAAGATAGTCTCTTGAAAGCTAAGTGCTTGCAGACAAGGCTATAAAACATGCTCCGGGAACCTCCTCTCCCTCCCTGCCCGCAATGTTCTGTGGAGCATAATGCGTGTAGGGATGATGTGAGGTAAGAAATGTGTGTGTTAGCTACTCTCACCACCTCAAACTCACACCTATGAATGTATTATGTGTCCAGTCTAGGAAGAGGTATGGTATCTTACGTTGTCAGGAACTTCCCTAGGGCACAACTGGAAGCAAAGTTATAGGAGGTGTGACTGTACTGAAGAGAAGTGTTCCTAGTTTGGAGGTGCCACTTTGTCCAGAGCATAACTAAGGTTAGGTTTCAGCTGGGGTTAACTTCTGCCTCGGCCATGCCAGTCAGGGATATGTGTCAGACCTAATTTGAGTGTGTTCACAGTACGAGCTGCTGCCCTGAGGCTGTTGCAAGGTGGAAAGGGATGGATGTGCTAGTATACACGCTCATTTGTAGGTACAGCATAGCATGACTTTCTCTAGGTAGTCTATGGGGCTGTGGGTGAATGAATGCTGAGCACAAGCCAGCTTTTATTAAGTAGTAGGTTGCTTCTAATGCTAAACTCTTCATCTAAGCAAGAGATGAAAGGAATCTGCAAATAACCATAAAGCTGCAAGGAAGGCTTGCGACTTCTCTTTGGTGCATTGATCATCTGTTGAGTATCTGTTTGCAAACTGGGCAACTGCAGATAAACTCACATTTTTAAACTGTTAGCATGTAAGGGGTCTCTGGACTGATGCTGTTCAGAGACTTGTGATTGCTTGTGTCCTGTCAACCTTTTGTTGCTTTCTGTTGGTGTCTGAAAGTTGCCTGGCTTTGCATTCTGTTTGCAGCAGTAGGTCTGGACCATTCTCAGGAAAGGCGATAAAAGGTTAGTTTCAGACTTCGGATCTTCACACTGTGGAAGAAGTTGGACTATTGCTCTTGCTTTCCCACTGTGCAATCCCTTTTTGTAGAAGCAGGGAACCAAGTAAAGGCACAACAAGCTAATGACCTCTGGATAAAGAAAGCTTTTTGTAGCCACCCTGCATGAAAGATCAAGATCTAGCAAGCTAAACAAGCGTAGTAGATGGAGCTTCATCCTATTTCCCATATATAAAGTGATACGTAGCTATTTCTTTCCTTTGTTGCTGGGAGTCTACCTCTGTCAGCATGGATTCATCAAAACACTTCCAACTGTTTTAGACTTCAGACTTCTAGCTCTTGAAAGGCAGGCTGTCTTTTGTTTCCTTCCCTGTGTAAAGTAAATTTCATGTCTGGTCTCTCCCTCAGTCTGAGATACTTAATTGGAACGGGAGAGCAAAATCTCTTCTGAAGCTGCGTGTTTTTTTTTTTTTGTTTTTTTTGTTTTTTTTTTTTAGACCATAGTGAGGAGGCCATTCCCTATGGTGTCTGCTTGCAGCTTAATACATTTGTATTCAGATCTAGAAGACTGTGACATGAGTCCATTGGAAAAGCAAACTCTTAACTCCTAGCTCAGTCTTTGCTCGTATCTACTCCATTTGTTTTGTTTCTTCACAGTAATAAGTATTATTTTCTCATTGTCTTAGAACTTTTTGATAGAACAAGAATGAGAGGATATTCTTGTCTTGACCACACATCAAGCTGTTGCTAAATTGGTGACTAAACACTCAGATGAGTAATGCTGCTTCTTCTGGTGTGGGCGTGTACATTATAATTATATGGGTGCACCAGTGTAACCTGTCATTTTTGTTGTCTCCGCCTATCTCCCTCTTGTCTCTTCTTTCAGAGTACTTGAATCCTGAAAACGGTGGGCAGCAGATGTTCTCTATAAGTGATGCTTTTATTAAAGGTAAGGAGAAACTTCAAATGTTTCTGTTCTGTGGTTTTAATATGATGAGAACTCCTCAATACTCCTTTAATAGGGCATTGGCCCTTTAGAAATACTTGACAGTAAATTTGAGCTTATAGTTTTATGTATCTGTTTTGCCACACATACTCTAACTTTTTTGAATGAACTTTCAAGCTGAAATTTTTTTCACTTCTCAGATTTCTTCATTCAAAAGCACTCAAGGAAAAGCTTTTACTTTTTTTTTTTTTTTTTTTTTTTAAATAACTCTAAGTGACAAGTCTGTTCACAACTTCCCTACCCACAAATTTATGTAACAGATACAGATTTTAACTTTCTGTGCAAGCAAATGAAGATATGATATGATTAACTGCACTGATTCTACAGAGTAGCTTAATGTTTCATCTCTTAAATCTTTTTGGGTTTCCTGTCATTACCACCACCACTACTGCTTCTGAAATGAAATATCATTAGACACAGCTGAGAGTTTTAAAACCCATGTGCCTTCCAGTATCTTGGCTAGGTTCACTTGTGGGCTTTTTTCTCCTAGTTAATGCTATTGATTTTGGTGAGCTCACAAGAGGAGGAAATAAGGGGGAAACCCCAATATCTGTGAATCCATAAAAATAGTCTTTGATTAAACTAAGGCTTTGTTTTTAACTGAGCTTTTGCAGGAGAAAGGAAAGGGGAAAAAACAATGTAACTTCTGTCAATCTTCTACATAGCTAATTTTGGGTATAGAGCATCAGGAAGAAGTTAATTGTTTTTAAAGAGTCTTTTTTCCAATAGTCTTCTCAGATTACTATTGTATAAGGATTTTGCAGTTTTATCACACACTCTGAAGAGTTCTAAGCTTGAACTCTGAATGCTTACACACTTGCTGATGAAAAATTATACAATACTAGTGTAAATGACTTATAATATAGTCAGCCATTATAAGAATGGGGAAGTTTATAACTTCCCTTTATAATATCATAATATCTGTGTAGGAAGTAACCTAGTAACTCTTTCAAAGCACAGAAAACTGTGCTGAAATAATCTCTAATCATGGTACTGCAAAACAGAGAACAGTTCTGAGGAGTTACTACGTGATATGGTGATTGAAAGCAGCAGGCCCCCTCCAAGTGAGGGCCGTCTTATACTATTGAAACATGCTTTCTGTTTCCAAAAGCAGAAATGGCTATAGTTCATGCTGACATTTAGGATTTAAAAAATTGTGTTCAGTGGATACAGCCTTCATTTGCGTCGTGTTTATTGTAGCAGAGAAATACCTCCGTATATGATGGTTAGGTGGGTGGAAGTGAGAAGATGTACTGAGATCTTTTGAAAAGCTTGTGTCACTTTATTGACAGAAGATCCTTGAGAATTCTGTAGTATTAAATACTGTGACATAGGCTAGGTGAACCAACCTGCTGGCAGCAGCCTCTGCACTTGAGCAGCAAAGAGGTGCTGTGTGGGGTCAGGGCTGCAAGTCACATAAAGGTACAGAAGTCTGACTTTTGAATTGGTAGCATAGTATTTCTTTAAAATATCTTTGGGAGATGCACTAAACAAGGCCTTTACCAAGATACTTTTGATACTTGTGCTGCAGCCTGAATAAAATAACTGGATCTTTTAATCATACTTATGTAGATGTCTTGAAAGCATCAGCTTTTTGTGGATCAAATTAGTGCCTTTGACCAATGTTCTAAATCTAAAAGGCATTATGATTATGTGTTATGAATATATACAGTATTTGGAATTTGCTGCTTACTTATAACTGGGATATAAGATTTTTCTTTGTCTTGACAAACTTGGTAACAATTCAATTCCATAAGAGAAAACAGTCTGCTCTGTACTGGCAGTAGATGAATTTAGTAGCTCACTTTTCCTTTGTACGTTCACCACTGTTATACTCAAAACTGTTTGCTGCATCATGTTACCATGATGTCTAGCTCAAACTCAGTATTTCAAGAGGCTTAGACTTATGTCTTAGTAAATCCTTTCCTTTTCAAAGTAGCCTTTCAGAAAGACAGGCATTCAGCTGTGACTTTATGTTAACAAAGTGTGTTTGTCTCTTTCAGAGTCATTATTCAACAGGAGGGTGGAGGAGAAGTCCAAAGAACTCTTTTTCACGCCCCTAGGCTGGCACCACAGCAATCTGGATCTTCTGAGAGAAGAGAATGGGGAGAAACAAGCCATGGAAAGGCTGCTGTAAGAAACACATAGAAAAAAGAATTTTTGTATCTTGAGTAACAATTCCTGAAGCCCCTCTACTCCACCAACTTTCAGTAGGACTTGATCTACAGTGGACAATACAAGGAACTAATCTGCATTAAGAAAACATAATTTTTACATTTTTAATTGCTTTTTTCCCTGTGACTTTTATGTATTGAAGTACAGGACTAGAGTTGACTGTAGAATGTTCTAGGCAGGTGTTCCTTCAGAGGGCTTCCTGCACTGTAAATGTTAAGAAGTTTCCTTCTGAGATGTGACTTCAACTAATGGCTATTTTTCTCATGAGAAATCTATTTGGTTTGCCTTTTTTTACAGGTCTGCTAATCACAACCACATGATGGCACTGCTTCAGCAGCTTCTGTACAATGAGTCCCTGTCACTGTCCTGGAGGGATATCATTGTACCTGTAGTCTGCCAGGTAGTTCAAACTGTACGGCCCGATGTCAAGAGCAGAGATGATGATATGGATATCCGCCAGTTTGTCCACATCAAAAAAGTAAGCTTCAAACTGTAGATGTAGAGAAATTAATGCAGCTGCTAGCAGCACCCCTTGTTTGAGAAGAGTTCCAGTCCCCCTGACCGTAGTCTGTTCAGTAGTGTAATTGGCCAACGCGGCCTTTGGATAAACTGTGGTTCTAGAAGAAGTTGCACAGGAGGAACTTATCCTGTGAAAGGTTCTTTAATGCCCTGAAGCTGACCTTTCAGGCTGTAGGCTGCAGAAGGTAGCAAAGTGCAACACCTCTGTAATGACTTGCTTCCTTTTTTGGTTTCTGCTTATTTTATGCTTGGATTTGAGCTGTACTGAATGCTGGATAAGTGGCTTGCAGGACTCCATGTAGCAATCTATTGCCCTATAACTCTCCATTATGGAGGACTGAACTCCTCCCGTGCCAAGACTTTCTTCAGGCAGAAAACTTAATTGTTCTGGGATGGTGCATCTAGTTCTGCCAGATGGCCCAGTGTTGACATTGCCAAACTGTAAGGCTGGAATTGTGGCATGCAGAGTTTATTCTGAGACACTGATGTGAAACTAACATCCAGGGAACTAGTGTGACTGAGGATCAAAAGCTTGGGCTTATTTTTCTTTGGCAAAATTCACATCAGGAGGCTCCTTTTGCTTGAAAGCCACGTACGATACGCGGAGAGCCTTATGGTTCTGGTGATAGCCCTGTGGCATCTCTTCAGGCAGCAACAACTCCTGAAACTCCAGTTTAAAGAGCAGATGTTCAGAGGTGAAAGCTCTTCATAACTCTTTTCAGATGCTAATAACAGAAATGTCTGCTGAAACATGTTATTCAGAAACCTTTTATTTATTACTCCTGTGAAACGGTTGTGACTCTAGGCATACCAGTCATGTGTTTGATGTGTTCAAATAGTAGGTAGAGTTTTATTTGGTTTTCTTGCCCCCCTTTTTTTCCTTTTCTCTTTCTTTTCCTTACAACTTGTTTGTTGTTAAAGGAAGTGGCATGTGCAAAGGTACATGCTCCCCATGGCCTATAGAAGTTAAATTCCCTTATCTTCTAAAGTCTACCTAGTTTAACATCTGTTGGGAGGGATGTAGAGATACTGGAACTTAGTACTTGTTTTCCTGTTGTCCTTAGTCTGCCAGACTTTAAAGGAGAAGAGTTGTGTGTTCAGCATGACTGTATCTGATCTGTCATCTTGTAATTGAGGGTGTAGCTGAAGCTTGCACATCAGCTACAGTAGGTATTCTACGTATTAGGTTTACTGCACTAGAAGTTATGGGAGTGTATGATAGTTCAAAAAATGTTCTTTGCTGCTTTAGATCCCTGGTGGAAAGAAATTTGACTCCATGGTCGTGAATGGATTTGTTTGCACTAAGAATGTTGCACACAAAAAGGTAATTCAGGCTTGATTAATCAAGTGCTGGCTATAGTGCATGCTGAGGGAGCAAGTGTGCTGTGACTTCCTTTTTGTGTTGTGAAGCTTTTCTGACCACTCAGGAGGTTTGCAAGCTTTCTCTAGTTTGAGATCCTAAGCAAGAATGGCTTTTAAAGCATTTCTTTTCCAAGCGGTTTTCTTTTAGCCCAGAGATTCTAGCAGGGGAAGCTTTCCTCGTGCATGTATAGACAAAAAAAAAAATCGTTTCTACCCCTACTGCCCCAGAAGGCATCTAATAATTACCCCAAGTCTTATCCAGAAAAAGACATTTGTGATTCTGACTTACAACAACATAGTAAAGTGAGCCTTTAAATAAGACAGGAGGTCAAGATAGGAGTGATCTGGATGAGGTGTATGAAGACTTTAGGGTTCTTGGGGATGACTGTAGAAACCTCCAGCGTTGAACTCATACTGGACAGTAGCTGTGAAAGTCCAACAACTGGGTGTAACATCTTTATAAGAAGGAAGAATGCATAGTTGGGTCTGTGGTGGTGGGAGGAATGGCTGAGACACATTTAGGATGGGGGAAAAAAAAAATCAATCATGGGATGTCTGTCTTTTTTTCTTGTGTATTTTTTTCTTCCAGGTGTTTGTATTTTTGTTTTAACTATTTTTGTGTCTTCCTTAGATGAACTCTTGCTTAAAAAATCCTAAAATTCTTCTGCTGAAGTGCTCAATTGAGTACCTCTATCGAGAAGAAACAAAGTTTACCTGCATAGACCCTATAGTACTTCAGGTGAGAGCATGCTTTTGTTCTAGATTAAAATTGCCTGAGGTCTAGTAATTCAAATGAAACGATGATCAGTGCACATTGATTTATTTTTTTTTTCAGTGTGTAAGGTGGAGTTGAGTGAGTGGGATTGCATAGGAAAGAGAAAAATTTCCTCTTCTAGCAACTAGCTAAGAAAACTGCTGCAATAAATACAGTACAAACTTGTAGTCTTGTGCTGAGGGTTTTTTGTCATCATTACATGTATTGAGAGTAGTTTTATGATGCTCACAATTAAATGCAGCATTTTAGAAAACATATTTTGTTTTTAATGATACACTGTATAAGGAACATAAGGGTCAGAAGGTCAGAGTTAGATATGGTTTGGGTGCATGAAGAAATATTAGAGAAGTTAGTGTAGGTGAGGGTTGCACCCATGTTATTTCTTGTCAGCCTTGAAAAAAATGGGGCAACAACCAACCTAATGAAGTGATGAACTACAAAATGTCACTTTCTAACAGGTGCCCTGCCCCTGTGACAGGGAGGTGTATTAAGTATGAAAACACTGAAATGATAGACCTTTAACACCATGCATTCCTGTCTGAGAATCGGTCTTCAGGTGTTTGCCCAGATACTTGTAACAAGGTTATTTGGTGCCCTGCAGAGCTTGGGCCATCATGTTTGCTTCTGTATTTGACTATTTCCTTAGCATGCATTTAAGACCACTTCTGTTTAGTGATTAACAGGCAGGATTACAGGTATGAAAGCTTTAGGAATAAAATTTGTCTTGGCTTTCTAGTAAAAGCTTATACTGCGACCTGTCCTTTGTCTGAATGTAGAAATATATACTATTCTTCCTAAATACTGGTCTCTGATTATTTCAGTGTCTGCTTCAGAACATGATCATAACTATTTGTGTATCTGCATTAAAGTCCTATAAGACAGAAAATACTACAGAAATACTAGTTCAATTGAAAAGGTTAGCTTCTAGCAAAAGTTTTCTCTTTGCTATAACAACATGAATGTTCTGAGAATCTCGCAAGCTGCTTTTGTGGTATCTTTCTCTTGCACAGAACTTTTAAAACCTGACTGATATGAGCTGCAATAACACAACTGAGAATACCTGGCTTGGGAAGCTGTATCCTCCCTCTAGCACTGTAGGCCTTTAGTTCTCATAGAGTTGCAGTTCTGCTTTCTCTTTCTGTGCGTGGTAATAAAAGTATATGCGGGATAGCAAGATGAAGCCAGAAGGTGGGCATGGTTAGAAGAGCAATTTTGCAGTGCACAGCATTTGGGATCCTACTCCAAAAGCACTGTCCCCAAGTACAGATTTAGGGATTGAGGCTCTGTGTACAGACTTGTAGGGGCATAGAGCACTGGCATACTCTTTGTGAATGGAAGTGTCTCAGAGTGCCAGCACTCAACACTAGCATGTTTCTGAAGGTGGACAACATAATATTGTAAACAGCTTTGGTTTAGGATGCTCTAATTCTAGCAGCTTTTGAACATAAAGCCTTTTTTCCATGTAAGGATGTAAAGTGCATCTCTCTATATATATGTCTGGATTCCGCTTCAGACTGTCAATGGACTATATTCTCACGTGCAGTTAGTGCATATAACAAATTACTGATAAACTGGGTGTTGTGCTGTGGGAGCAGGGAAATGTGCACGATGGGCAACTGATGGTGCTTTCTGGATAAGTGGTTTACCAGTTTTGTAGGAAAAGTCAGTATATAAATGAGAGAGACAGTACTATTATGCATTTAAGTGTGTTTTCCAGTGTGTGAGCAGTAGTTAACTGCTATACTTTGTTCCTGCCTGCAGGAAAGGGAGTTCTTGAAGAACTATGTACAGCGGATAGTTGATGTGAGGCCTAATTTGGTCCTTGTTGAGAAGACTGTGTCCCGAATTGCCCAGGACATGCTCTTAGAGCATGGTATCACTCTGGTCATCAATGTCAAGCCGGTGAGCATTTCCTGTCAGTCAGACTGGGCCTTGTGGTAGATCTCTGTAATTTCTCCTTGTAGCAAACTCCCTGGAGGAAGACAGTTGTCGTCTTTTCTCCTATAACCAAACCTGGGCTCTTTTTTAATGGTACTTCTCTTCCAAGAAGGCAAGACGGCAAACCTAGAGAGTAACTTTTCCTCAGCTCTTCACAGCAACTTTGCTGTGTCCTTGCTTGGTAGGTCCTTGTACCCTGACTTGGCTCTAGTTAACTCTGACTCCTGTTTGTAGCAAATTCTGCATAGGTCCTCAGTGATCCCGAGAGTGCCTCTCTTTCCCTCCGAGGCAGGGTACAGACAGCCAGAGAGGGGCTGTGGGAGTTGGCTGAGGTCCTGATAGCTAGAGCTATGCTGACTGCACTGTACCTCCTGGAACTTTTTTCACTTGAACAGATCCAGATATCCCCAAGGAAGGGCACAATCTTACCTCTCACCAGAAATATCTACTCAACTGCTTTTCTAAGATTCTTGTATATTGTGGGTATGTATTTGTGTGACTGGGTTTAACCCAGAGTTTGCATCTCAGTGAGGGCTTTCCTGAATCATGCTGGCGTTTTTTGTATTCCTCTCTTTTTTTAAGAGCAAGCTAAGGATGCTAGTGTTCTCTTTGCACTGTAGATTCTTACTGTTCTTTCCATTTTTACAGCAAGTGTTAGACCGGGTAAGTCGAATGACCCAGGGAGACTTAGTGATGTCAATGGATCAGCTGTTGACCAAACCACGTTTGGGAACCTGTCATAAATTTTATATGCAAGTTTTTCAGTTGCCCAATGGTGAGTAAAGCTTTATGTGTCGTAGTTTGTGTGTGAAAGGATAAACGCTTTGTTCCTCTTAACTAGATCTGAACTAGTGAGTGCTTAGTATGATCAAGTATCCTTCCTATTCATTTTTCTTCTGTTACATCTTGGAACTACAGCGACCTAGCTATGGACACACAAGCATGATCTTACTAAGATATAAGACACTAAAATTTAATTAGGATTAAGGGTCAGCTTCTTCCTTCCAAACTGTTTTTTCTTTTCCCACAACAGTGGAGTTTGTCTAGTCCAACTTCCTGTAAAAAACAGGAACGATTAATTTCAGTGCAAGATCAGGTTTCTCAGGACTTTGTCAGACAACTGTTGAAAATATTGCAAAATGGAGATTTCATAGCCTGCCTGGGCACCTGTTCAGTTGCTTAACCATCCTCAGCATAAAGAATTTTTCTACATAAAAGCAGAGAATCATAGAACAGCTTGGGTTGGAAGGGACCTTGCAAGATCCTCTGGTCGAACCTTAACATATCCAGTTAAAATTTGCTTTGTTGCAATTTGTGCACACTGCCCCTTGACCAGTCATTGTTCATCTTTGAGAAATCAGGTTCCTTTTTCTCTCTAACCCCTTTAGGCAGTGGAAGTCTGCAAAGAAAGAATGAACAAATGCCACTTGACAGGTTGCCAATGCTGCTGGCACACACAAATGCTGTTGGTACAAGTATTTTTTGAGATGCAGTCTTTGCATCTCTTCCCCTTCCACTTCCCCATGTCCCCTTCCAGCTTTTAAAATGCACTCAAAATCTTGTAGGCTTTTATTTGTAAGGATGAGCAGATGTGCCTGAGAGGATAGTGGTTCTTTTGCTTCACTGGTATGGAGACTACAGTGATCTTAAAATACAGGCCAGCATGTTGCATGGGGCCTTCACTTGGACTTTATGATGACTTGTTTTACAAACAACGAGAAGTTTCATAGCAAATACTTATTTTGCTTGCAAAAGTAAGTTATTTCAATACAGTGATGTGAATTTCTGCAGCTGGATTGTGCTACAGATGTTACTTGGTCTTAGTCTCTGTTACAGTCTCTTCAGCATATGAGATATCCAAGAACAGGTTAATTGTAGTTGTTATCCTAACTGCTATGTTTGTTTTCTTTTTTTCTTCTAGACCAAACAAAAACCCTCATGTTCTTTGAAGGGTGTCCCCAGCACCTGGGTTGCACTATCAAGTTGTGTGGTGCTGCAGAGTATGAACTGGCTCGTGTGAAGGAGATCTTGATCTTCATGGTGTGTGTGGCTTATCATTCCCAGCTGGAAATCTCTTTCCTTATGGATGAGTTTGCCATGCCCCCTACTCTGACCAAAAACACCTCCTTTCACTCCCTTATTGAGGAGCCAGGAGATGAAAACGAACAACAGAACCTCTTCAATAGTGAGAATTTCAGCACAGCAGTCAGAGACATTGAACTATCCTCTGAAAAGCTGCCTGTAATCTCTGAGTCAGTGTCCTCTGATGAGGTCAGCTTACTTGAACAAAGAACTTTATTTGAGAGAGGTGACCAAGAGAACAGTCAACTGGAAACAGTGTCCTCTAAACAGCAAGAGCACCACAAAGCGGAGTCACCATTTCCAGTGTTCAACTCTGTACCTCCTGCAATACCTGAAACATCCCTGCTGCCCCTCCATGGCATGGACCAGCACTTGGTCACTCTGGATAGCCAGACTCTGGAGCCTCTTCAACAAGCAGATGATCTGCAGGAGTCTAAGAGTCAGATGAGAGTCTTCAGAGACCCACTCCAGGATGATACTGGTTTATATGTCACAGAAGAGGTAACTTCTTCTGAGGATCGTCTCAAGACTTACTCTGCAGCATTTAAGCAGGAGTTGAAAGATGTCATTCTCTGTATTTCTCCTGTAATGATGTTCCGTGAACCATTTCTTTTGACTGAAAAAGGCATGAGGTGCCCTGCCCGGGAATACTTCCCTGAGCAAGTTTATTGGTCTCCTCTCCTCAATAAGGAATACAAGGAGTTGGAGAGCAGAAGGAAGAGACAATTATTGCGGGACCTCTCTGGACTACAAGGGATGAATGGGAGTATCCAAGCCAAGGCTATCCAAATATTACCTTCTCATGAGTTGGTTAATACTAGAATAGCAGAACATCTAGGTGATAGCCAGAGTTTAGCCAGAATGCTGGCTGACTATCGGGCCAGAGGAGGGAGAATACTACAGAAAAGCACAGATCCTTTTGCCCAAAGTAAGGATATGTCTAGTGTCCCTACTGGAAAAACTGGGTGCAGAACTGAAGAGGATGAGAAGGGACTGGCTCAGAGTGAATCCTCATGGTCTCATAAGGTAAGATTCAAAGCTGTGTTACTGAAAACCCAGGTTACATCAGTTTCTCCTTGGTAATACAGAAGGTGTAGTGTCTCAAATTAAATGTTAAACCAGAGCTTCTGTGTGTGTGTGGTTTTTTTTTTGGTTTGTTATTTGGTTTTGTTTTTATTTTTTCTTGAATAGATCAAAACTCCATTTTAGATTGCAGTGCTCTGGGCGCTTAAACAAGTCAGTATAACCAGGGACAATGTGGGTAAAAGACAGAAGAACAAGAGTGTGGCTGCAAAATTTCTCACAACCTCTTCCCTTCTCGGAGACTCTAATTTCTGAGAAATTCACAAAACCAGCTAAGAATCAGTGTATTACATTGCAACTGTATGTGACCGATTTCTGAAAATGAGTACATGAAGGGGGAGCAAACTTAAAGTAGTTTCTGAAACTTGTATTGGTGATTTCTAAAAGGGTGGTGTTTTCATCTTCAGCGGCCTTAATGTCACAAAAACAGCAGTAGGCTGTAATTACATTAAAGTATTTGTTTGTAAATGTTTGAGTGATCTGAAGAAATGTGAGAATCTCATAATGGTAGTGGGGAATCTTCTTTGAAATTTCAAAGCAAGGTAGTATGGGCTTGTAATCAAAATACTGAAAGTTTTGGAAAACTACTATGAAAGCAATTAAACTTGTATCCGAGGAAAAGTATGTTGGGCCTGTCTTGAACTGGAAGCTGTCCAGGAAAAAAGTCTACAAACAAGAGTAGCAGAACTGATCTCTTGCAGCAGTAAAAACCATTTTGGTCCCTGAACCGATCACCCCCAAGTTCATGAGCAGAAGTCACTTTTTAATTGGTGCTTAAATGTAAATCTGTGTAGCTTCACAGGCCATAATCTTACAAACTGTAAGACTAGCCCTTGCTCTGGATCAGACTGGTTGATGCTGTTTTGAATTTGTTCAATGATCAAAGAAAAGTATTTGGTAACTTCATAGTTCTGTAGGGCGTGGAAGGGGAAACAGATCCATTCCGGCAGCAGTGTAGTAAATCTCTCCACAGAGAACGAAGTTGGAAGTCTTTCTGTAGTCTGAATGAATAATTGAGGTATAACATATTGGCAGGGTTTTGACTCCAAGGTGTCCTAAACTGTACAGTGCTTTAGAGACTCTGGATGTTTCTCTCAGGGCTTCTGTTGTTTTCTATTTCCCTTAGCTTCCTTTCCACAGAAACACACACGTGTGCATTGGTTTCATTGCGCATATTAGTTATGCTGTTCTAAACATGGCAGTTAACAATTATACATGGTACAAGTCTACCTGAAGCTCAGACACAATGCAAGGTTAATCTGTACAAAAGGAGCAAGCAGAGGTTCGTCTATAAATAAAACTATTAAAGCAGAATTTTGTCATCAGGAGTTGTATGTGGATGGAGGTATCTGTAAACAGTAAATGCGGTATTTTTTCTCTATCAGGTGGATTGCCTGAGTCCAGTAAACCACCAGAGGCTCTGTGTTCTCTTCAGTAGCTCTTCTGCTCAGTCCAGCAATGCTCCAAGTGCCTGTGTTAGTCCCTGGTATGAAAACTGCTCCTTTACAACATGTATAGTTGCTATCTTTTTTTCCTAAGTCAGCATTAGTGCTCGCCTCATAGTGATCTATCTTTGAGAACTACTTTGTAGGTTGTACCCGTCCTGTAACAGAAACTGTTGCCGAAATAGTTTTGTCTTGCCTGGTCAGGTGAATCCAGAGCAGTATCCCATAGCCTTTGTAATTCTGAAGGTATGATGAGAAAGCCCAGCCTAAAACCAAATGCTTTAGTGGTTCCTTTCACTGCAGAATAATGTATGTGTGGGGAGGGTGCTGCACACAGTCTTGTGGGGAAGAGTTAATGTATATAATGTATATAAGAGTTAATGTCCAAGCCCCAAAATAAGCCTTGAGAGAATCTCAGAATACTTCTAGATAGTATTATCTGAGAGTGGCGTTGAAATATATTGCTACCTTTCTCGTATTATAATCAGCGGTGTTAAGGGCTTTAACTGTGTTTTCAGCTTTAAGGGGCTTTAATTTGTTAATTGTGTGCAACTTATGACATGCTTCTAGCTCTACTAAACAGGATAGGTCTTAGTGTTTCATCGTCTTGCTCGGGTGAAAATATAAAGATGGCTCTCTCTTACAGGGAGAGGTCTTGGCTTCCTGTAAAAGTTTAGGAATGAACCAGAGAAGGTGGTGATATGCTTACTAAACAGCAACAATAATAGGGTGTAAATTACTGATATTAGAGATGTCTGAATTGTGACGCACTGATGCTTACACATTTTAAGTGGATTGCTTACCTGAGTTTTACTATGAAATCTTTTAGAAGAACAAGGCTTTCTTAAGGCTTTTTTCATCTTCTGCATGTATGCTTTTTGTAACTGTTTAAATGTTAGTATTTGAGGCTTCAAGCTGTCTAGACTGTTGTATCTAGATATTCTTGAACATCATCTTCAAAAGTGCAGTTGACTTGTGTTCAACTTCTAAATGTCAAGTTTAAAGTTGTTCTAGTAGGACTCTGATCTCATTAGTAGCAAACTTGACGGCAGTGATCTAGGAAGGGTCGTCAAGAGGAAAAAAAAGCCTTTGAAGGTCTACAGGGCTGAAAACAAGCCAGCAGTGTGTACAGATCTGTGCACCTAAAGGCCATTGCACAGCTAACACTGGCAACATCCACCCTCTAAAGCTTTTCTTTCTTTGCTTTAGGATTGTGACCATGGAGTTCTATGGGAAAAATGACCTGACTCTAGGGATTTTTCTGGAGCGCTACTGTTTCAGGTGAGGAGGAACTTATTCTAAATCTCATTCTAAACAAAACAAAAACTTTTGGTTGGTGAAGTTGACCTGCCTCCCTCTTAATCGACTGTACTTCCTGTGCACTTAGAAGAATATCATGCAAGTCCACAGAGCTGGTTGTGTCCTAGTAAAGCTTACTCCTTAAATCTGCTGTTCCCTTTGTGTTATTATCATAAGGTAGTGAAACAAGAACTGAATTTAAGAATTGATTTACTCATGCTCACTTCTTACAAACCAGTACATCCACTGCTTTCCCACTTTGGTCCTGTCCCTCTTATTTCCTTCCTTTAATGAGACTGTGGAACAGAATACAAAACAAAACAAGTTCATAAAAGCAAATGTGTTCACTTAGCACATTCTTACAGTGATTTGGCTCTAAGGGCCTAGTTAAGAGTCTCAGCATATATTCCAAATGTCTGTTTTTTGAGACAAGCAACTGTACTGATTGCAATTTTCTGAGGTTCCTTTGAGCTTTCGCATGAATTCTGGAAAAAACCTACTCCTTTAATGTTAGCTGAACGTCTCACAGTAAGGTTTTGTCATATCTGCAAGGTGGCTAATGTAAATGGTCCAGAACACTTGTAGCCCTGCCAAAGTACTGTGTAATTTATTTCATCTGACAGAGGTGCAAGTTGTTAAGTTTCAGTGATAACCAGTACTGCCAGTTCTTGTTTCTCTATTCTACCTAGCTAGTGTGTGCGAAAGTGAATGCTTCTCAATCTCCATAGTTTCAGTAATTCTTTTTTTTTCATGTGAAAAAAGAGGATCCGGGCTTTTTCTATGCTCTTTCTGTTTTTGAAGAATTCCCTATTTCCCTTTGGTATCTAAACAACTCAGCTTTTATTTTTCTGATGTCAGTCTCTCTTCCCTGACTTAAAAGAAACCAACCCATAGAAAAATCATCTGTTTTTCTGTTCAGAGAGGTTATATGGCACTATTTTGTTCATCTCTTCCTTCAGAAGCTGAAACATTGCTATTTTGAAGGCTCTTTGGCACATCTTTGTCCTCAGTAGCCTTTGCTCTTGTACACTGCCAAAGTCATCCTCTATTTTGGTGCCAAGCAATTCCAGGTGCTTGATCCATATTTTGTGGACTATATGGAGTATGCTAGTAGAAAGTGATGCATTGTAAAAAGATTGCAATAACAACCAGTATCCAGTCACTATTTTTGGGATCTACACAACTACTGCTGGCAAGGGGACTTCCCTATGCGCTTTTTTTGAATGAGTACAATTCACTCTTCTGCAGAAACAGCCTTCACTAAAGGCTTAGGTAACTTTTACAGTTTAAAGATAAATAGTACCATGACATTGTCATATTAGATATGTTGAATCAGTTCTTCAGCAGTGCCTGGCATATGATCATTCCTAAGTGTTTCCATTTCTCTCTATAAGGCCTTCCTACCAATGCCCCAGCATGTTCTGTGAAACACCAATGGTGCACCACATTCGTCGCTTTGTTCATGGACAAGGCTGTGTGCAAATTGTGTTAAAGGAGCTGGACTCCCCAGTCCCTGGGTACCAGCATACCATTCTTACTTACTCCTGGTGTAGACTGTGCAAACAGGTAAGGATGTGATCTTAAGAATCATTGCTATTCTTCTGCAGAATTCCTATTGTGATTGGCCTTGTATGGAAAGGCAGCATTTTTGAGAAGGTGCTCATCCCTGGAGCCATGGCTAAACTAGCACAAAACCTGTTACTGATACAGATGTTCTCACCTATCTACAAACTCCTTTTGTAGAATTGTGGCTGTTGAGGGTGAAACATCTTGTGTGAGGTAGTCCTGTTGGAAAGTGTCAAACCTGGCTCTGAGAGGATAGGTTTAAGTGGAGTTGATACAAAGCTGGAAACTAATCTCTGACACAGGAGAAAAATGGAGTTGCCCTCTTGTAGGTGAAAAGTAATGGTCCCTTCCCTGCAGTGAATCAGCACAAGCATCAAAAGAATGTGGATGGAGAAGAGCAGACACTGAGACCTACTGGCTTAGTAATTGGCTAAAACCACTTGGTATTCTTTGATCTGCTATGGGCTGGGCGGTCTGCATTGTGTCAATATGATGTCTAGACTTCCTTTAGTAGTCATTAGAAAGTAAGTAAAATCTTCATTAGAGGAATAATAAATTGCTTTAAAAAACCACAAGATGGTAAGATTGTGTATTATCTGAAACTTACTCTGTAATTCAGCTAAGAAAACATTACCAACTGGATACTCATCTCTCACTAAACATTGTAAAACTTAAGACCCTACAAAGAGACAAGAATAAAACTTAATTAAAAAAGATTCATGTAGTGCCTGAAATGCAAAACATCTCAATTACTCATGTGGATGACTCAATTCACGTACTTATGCTGGCTTAAACATGGGTGTTGGGTTTAAAGGTACCTAGAGGAAGTTAGTGTAATTGCTGAAGGCAAGTCCTACACTGCTGTGTTTACTCCTGTTCTATAACCTTTTATGTCTATGTACTCATGTAAACACTAATAAGTTTGTGGCTCTTAAGTATGTATAAAGCAGTGGCTACTCAAAACTTGCAAGCAGTGCTGAAGTTGACATACATTGCAGAGCAATACCAATGTATTTGTAGCTGAAGAGTCACCAGGGAAAAAGTGTATGATGAAACCCCAGCGGCTGACAGGGATGCTGGGAATTGTCTTTATGGAGAGAAATAGGATCTCAGAGATAAACTTCTGTCAAGCACTCCCCCAGCTTAACACTTGTCATTCTCAACTAGCAGTTGTTGTTTATCTGATTTATTTTAACTATGTGTTGGCCTTAGCTTTTCATAAATGCTATCTTTGTTGTTGCTTAGTGTACGTTTCAGTCATGGGTGCTTCTGGTACTAGAAATACTAGATTGCTCTCTCGGTTAGCCTGTCCTTAATCTTGGTTGAAGGATGAAATTAAGACACTTGGCTTTCAATTTTTCAGGTGACACCAGTTGTTCCCCTTTCCAATGATTCTTGGTCTATGTCTTTTGCAAAATACCTTGAGCTGAGATTCTATGGGCACCAGTACACTCGAAGGGCCAATGCAGAGCCTTGTGGTCATTCCATTCACCATGACTATCACCAGTATTTTTCCTATAATCAGATGGTGGCATCTTTCAGGTGAGGTTCACTGCTAAAAAATTCCTTTTCTCTCTCTCTAGTACTTGTGAAGCATATAGCTCTAGTAAAGGTTCATTAGGCTTGTCCTTCATGTTGAGTACAGCATTGGATAGCATAAGTGCACTATAATCACAAGTGCAGGGTTGTGTTCTGGCTTGCAGAGGGCACTGTGGGTGCCATCACTGTCCTGGGTGGGGTAGGCAGTGCTTCTAAGAATGGATGGCTCCAGCTCACAATACAGAAGGGAAATACTTTTCCCTGTCTAATTTCAAAAACTTTCAGAATTATGTTTTTACAACGTGATCTATGGCTTTACTTTTTGCCTAGGAGATAAATGAACAGGGTGATGTTGCTGCTAAAAGTAACTATAGCCCTGGATACGCTGACAGCTCCCCTTTTCATATAAGGGCTACAGGCCACAACATGGTCTTATGTGGGGAGAGGCTTGTTAATAGCTGTAATATTGCCTTCTCAGCTACTCTCCAATTCGACTGCTTGAAGTGTGTGTCCCACTCCCCAAGATCTACATCAAACGACAGGCTCCGTCAAAAGTTACTATTTTGCAGGATCTGAAGGATTTCTCTCAAAAGTAAGCTTTGTTTTTAATGCCTTCCTAAGCTTATTTGTATTTTGAACTTTTATTAGCAGAACACAAAAACATTTTTGCTAGTGTAGATAAGACTTTAGTCATTATTTAATAGGGAAGTAATGGTTTTAAACACATTTATATGTGCATATACTTCTAAGGGGGGGTGGTATTGGAATCTTCTTTATTTAACTTTACCTGCTTTGTACTAGTCTCTCACCTTTTATTCTGGTGGCAATTTGGTTTAAATGTAGGCGGTAGAAACTAAGATTCTTCTACTCACCATCCCTCAATATTGGACTGATATTTGAGTGGTATAGCACGTTTCTGAATGATGTTGCTAAGTAACCACTGAAAGGTTGACCATCAGCTGGTGTCTGAAATGTCACCTTCTCTTACAAAATTCCTTTTCAAGCACAGCTAAAGTATTTCTAATTTCTCCCTCTAATACTAAAAATGGAACAGAGGGCATGGTCCTAAAAGGCTTAATTTGAAAACTGCAGGTAACACTTTGTACCCTCACCCTAATGTTCCTTTTTGGAATATCTAACCAAATTTAAATCCTGCCTTCAGCCCAGAAAAGCTGAAAACATTGCTCAGATCTGTTGTCCAAACAGAACTGCTTTCATTATATTGGTCATGTGGCTACTAAACTCTCTGGTGTGTAAAAGATGTTACTTTTGTTAGCTATGAATATAATAACAGCAGTCAGTCTGGTACTTTCCTGTAGTCTAAGGTAAACTACCATAAGCCTGGACAGCTTCTAAACATGGGAACAAAAATGTGGGAGATTGTCATGACAGACACTGTATTAAATCCAGCCTGACTGCTGTTCCACCTGGTGGCAGCATCCCTGTATGGCTGATGTCTCTGTGACTGCCTGACTTAAGAACCTGTGGAGCTTTGTTTAGGGCTGAAATAGCTACTCACTCCGACTGTCTGAGCCCTTCTGGTGGAGGTGTAGCTTGCAGTCCCAGATTCTTCCTAGACACAGATGACACAACAGTTCCCCTCTGCTGCTAATGTGTTTGTGACCCTCATATTGCTCTCTGACAACTTTGACTGCTAAGAGTAAGTTGTGAAGAGGAATGTCAGTATGTGAAACTTCTAGATTTCTGCTATACTAATTATTTTTTTCCAACTTTCCCTGCAAATGCAGTGGAACAGCCTACTATGCAGAAAACTGCTGTGTATTTTCTTTCGTATTCTTTAATGCTAACATTAGCAGCATTTAGACTTTTATTAAAGAATGTTGAAGATGTTCTAAGTAGTCACAACTTAACTCTTTGCATCCCTGTCAATAGGGTGTCACAAGTGTATCTTGCTGTTGATGATCGCCTTGCTTCTCTGAAAACGGATACTTTCAGCAAAACGAGAGAAGAGAAGATGGAAGACCTCTTTGCCCAAAAGGAGGTAATGGACTACTTCTGCATCAGCAGACTGTAGGCTGCAAAGTATGTGAAGACGACACTCAGATCTGGTGTCATCTCTGGACACGGGACACTGACAGCCTTTCTTTTGGCAGATGGAAGAGGGGGAGTTTCAAAACTGGACTGAGAAAATTCAAGCAAGGCTGCTTTCATCATCATTGGACACACCTCAACAGTTGCAATCTGTTTTTGAGTCTCTGATAGCTAAAAAACAAGGACTTTGTGAGATGCTACAAGCCTGGAATAATAGGTAAGAGGACACATGTCGAAATCATGAGCCATGCTGATACTGCGTTGGTTATAGAAGGGAGGAGGTTCTTTTGTACTTTCTCTCCCTGTGGTGCAGTTGCTATGTAGAGTATGTTATGAAAGCTTGTGCTGAATGTCCTCTACTGGTTAAGACCACAGAGCTGATTGAGTTGAACAGAAAATCTTTTGAGGCCAGATAATAAAAGTATTGTGCTGTAGAGCACAACTTAGGTTTGAGAGGAGAAAGTGTCATTTGAATAAAGGTGGATGAGAGGGGAGCATAGGAAATCAATGATTTGGGTGAAGTTATCTCAGAGGTGAAGAAAATGTTTTGGTTTTGGCCATTTGAAACTTAGCTTTGGCACATGTTAGCAACCATCTGAGTTTGCAATAAAGACTTGTGAAGGCATGCTTGGCTGTATTCTAGTATGGAGAAACTTCCCAACTTGTGCTTTTCACAGCTAATACCTGTAACCTACCTTTTGATTATTTTTTCTTTGGTATTTTTTTGTGGTGGTTTTTTTGTTTTTGTTTTTCAAGATTGCAGGACCTCTTCCAACAAGAGAAAGGGAGAAAACGTCCATCAGTACCACCCAGCCCTGGGAGACTGAGGCAAGGTGAAGAAAGTAAGGTATGAATAGCAGGCTAGAATCTACTTAAGCATTTGATTTTTTTTTTCCTGTGACAACACAATAGACTTAAGACTGGCTGCGGGTCACTTAGTAAACTTGCTTTACTGCATCATGTAGTTTTCAGCTGCAAAAGCTTGAACTGCGTGTTAGTATATGTATCTTTTCCTAAAGATGTGAACCAAGAGCCATATAACACAGAAGAAGACAAAGTATGAACAGGATTTGATGATTTTCTGTGGTGTTTGTGTAGTGTTAATCTGCATACTGACAGTGGAGAGCTGTACTCATTGACAGGTGTATGCCTAGATAGGAACCAGGTCACCTTGTTAGACCCTAGGTTGTTGCCCATCAGGTTTATCCATTGTGCAAAAGAAAAGCCAAACATCTGGAGAGGGAGAGGAAAGAACAGAGGAAGGACTGATAATGAATTTGCAGGTTCATCTCTGTTCTGTGTTGTGTCCTCTGGGAACTGGCTGAGGGGATGTATGAATGATTTTGGACTGCTGCTTCAGGAGCTCTGTCTAAGGGTACAGTTGCCAGCATGCTGAACGACCACCCTTTGGGGGAGCTGGTACTCTGAGAAAATGTCCAGACTGCAAGGCCATACAATATAAGCATCATACAGAGAGGCTGAGCTCCCAATTGTGCTAACATTAGCAAGGTGCACTATGAAACCCCATGAGACCCTGGGTTTGCTCATGCTTAACACATATTTGTTAGATGCTAAAACACGCTTCACCTTGATCTAATAGCAAGTAGGTTTATATAGAAGAGCGTAGTTTTTAAAGTAGCATACAGGGATAATAGCAGTCATAAGTACCTTGTGAAGCTGGGTTGCTGTTGCCTTGTCTTTTTTGTGTGGTAGCAGATGCAATGACAGTGCAATGGGTGGGAGTGCTCAGTTGTGGTGCATCTACTTTTGCAAGTGTTCCACAGAGGAAGGAATACAGCTGTAAAAAGATAGGCATCAGCGTTGGTATTTTGTTATTCTGTCTAGATCAGTAGCATGGATGCTTCCCCACGCAATGTTTCTCCAGCACTGCAAAATGGAGAGAAAGGTCTGTTTTTCATTTATTTCTTTATTTTTCTTAAGCTACCAAAAGAAGCATGCTGTAACCATTTCCCTGACATAACATGGGAGCCTTTGTCAAATTTGATAATTTAGAGAAACAGTGTATCCCCATTGTGTCAGATGGGAATAAGCCAGTTTGTAGCTTACTATCATAAAAAGCAGTCTGCTTCTAATATGAAGCTGAATTACTAATAATACTAAATTGGCCAGCAAGGGTTTTCCTTTGAACTTGAGTTTAAAAACTTTCAGAGGCTTTCCAAATAACTGAATAACTACATGGAATTTTGGAAATGCCTCTTCCCTCTTCTGTGAAGTGGTTGTGAGTGTGGAGACCTCTTACCTGCGAGGCATACTGGTAGCTTGTGGGAACTGAAGGTAGTGGGTATAAGTGTATGTATCTTCTGGGGGTTATATGCTACATTGATCAGCTTGCCCATTGCTTTGTTCTGGGTGGCCTTACCCCTGCTTTCTAAGCAAAAACTTCTTGGAAGTAGACACTGGTGTTAGCTTGGCCAGGGAGCAAGCAATGTAACTTCTGACAGCCATGTAAAATGCTTTCTTCTGTCCTTAACTGTCCTTATACTCTCAGAGGATCGTTTCCTGACTACTTTGTCAAGTCAGAGCTCCACAGGCTCCACCCATCTTCAGCTGCCCACCCCTCCAGAGGTTGTATCGGAGCACATGACTGGTGCCAACACACTGTCTGAACAGGACACAACAAGCAGCTCTGAAGGTATAGTTTAGTTGTGATCTTGTATTCTTTCTCTTGCTTCTGTGTGGCAAGTATATGAGAACCATTTAGGAAACAGCAGTTCTGGTAACTCTGTTGGCAATCTTCCTCCCTTCTGAATTTACAGCTTAAAGTTTGATGTTGTGATGCAGACTTATCTCATTCCAGATGTGTTTGATGGACACTCATTGGGATCTACAGACAGCCAAGTGAAGGAGAAGTCTACTATGAAAGCTATTTTGGCTAACTTTTTGCCGGGAAACAGCTATAACCCCATTCCATTTCCCTTGTAAGTACTGCATAATATATACAATGTGCAAAATTAGCAGCCTAGTCAAACTGCAAACAGAGCTGTGCATGCTTCCTTTGCTCAGTATATAATTTAAGTCATCACTTGGGTTTGCCTCTGAATAAGCTATAGAACTTCCTAAAGGCAAGAAGTTTTCTGTGTCCCTTCTTGGTTTTTCTAGGTTACCTGCTTTTGCTATTAATGATCCATTCTTGTGCATATATGTTATCAGTTTCTCCTCATCCTAGCAGGCACGACTCCTCAGAACTCTTGAGGGGAGGGGGGAACAGGGAGAAAGGTGCCTTTTAATTTTATTGCTGCAGGGAGGGAGCAGAAACATCCTTCTTTAGCGAAGATTTACTAAAGCTACATGCCTGCCTCTTGTTTTTGCTTCCAGACCGCTTCCAAGGGTTGGACTCAAATTGGCATTGTCTGGGTGTAGGTCAGGTTCAATGGCTACTGCATGTGCCCTCAAGTGCCCCTCTCATGTGAAAATGGGCAGGCTGGAAAGTCTTTCGGCTACTTGGTCTGTGTGCTTTGTAGTGTTTCTTGTTTGACATGAGCCTAACATTTGGCAGCCTGAGTTTAACTTCTGAATCCTACCTCCAGAGTAGTAGTGGAGACTGTAGCCTAATGAGGTAAAAGTTAAATGATTGGACCCTACAGATGAGTAAAAGAAAATCCTGCAGAAACCTAGGAGGTTCTGGGGACTTTTCTATGATAAACTGCTTGTTCAGAAGAGTCCAGATTTGTCCCCTAACTTCACCCTGCAGGCCATGCTGTAGGACAATCAGAACAAACTTGGGCAGGCTTTGGTGCCATTAGAAACAGTGGCTGCTAAATAGAAATAGACTCTAACTTCTGATATAAGCATCTTGCTTGAAGTGCTGATTGTCCTAACGTGTTACCGTTTAGATTTAACCACATAGCTATGAATGAGTTTATTGGGTGAAGCTGATCTGGGGAGCTTTGGTTCCATGCTGAGACTTGCAGTTTGTGCCTGGGAGTGCAGTGATGAGGTCTGTTTTTTGACCCAAACTTAACCTTTCCTTTCCACAAACTTTTATGATCTACTAACAGTCTCCCTATGTAATTTTCCTTTAGTGATCCAGATAAGCACTACCTGATGTATGAGCATGAACGTGTACCTATTGCAGTCTGTGAGAAAGAACCAAGCTCCATCATAGCTTTTGCTCTCAGGTACTGGTGTGATCTTGCTGTTAATCTGACACATGTTGTACTTTTGCAGCTTTTCTGTGCAAGGAATATTTAAATCCTAATAGTAGGGAACAAATATGAGAGAATTTCTTCACTCAGTTATGTTGAGTGTTTCTGCCAGAGCTGGAGTTCTCTCCTTTTACTACTGAGATATGGGAAGTAGGTTTTCCAACTTGCAACTGGATTTCAGGCTTTTCTTGCCCAACTCTAGTACACAACAATGAATTCATTGTGTACCGGTCCCTATAACATGATATTGTTAGAGCGGGAAGTGCTACTAAATTTTGCTCAGCTCTCCAGCCTGGAGGAAGTGCAGCTGAGCTAGGGAACAACAGTTAGTTATTCATACTGCAATCTGTCTCTTGCCTACCTTCAGCTGTAGCAGCTCTTGGTACTTACTACTCAGCATTCCAAACCAGCTGCTTCAGTAAATCTTGGGGTTTGCATGTCACAAGGCAGCAGACTTTTAAAGGCACGTGTTCTTAAATTGTGGGAGCAGGACGAACAAGGCGGGATTTTTCCTGCAGTATGATCTAGAGAAGCTTCTGTTCTATGGCAAGTAAGTTCTAATTGTAAGAAAAAAATGGAGAGGTTTTTCTACTGTCAGTTTTTGTTTCCTGTGGTTGTCTCTGAACTGAATCTTTGGGTTGGTGTTAGAGTGCCCCAGAGAACAGCTAACTTTTTCTTTCTTTCTTTCTTTCCAGCTGCAAAGAGTACAGAAATGCCCTGGATGAGTTGTCCAAAGCATCTCTGAAGAACAGTTGTGAAGAAGGACTACAGCCAAACAGGTTACATGCAGGAACTACAGTACACAGAGTGAAGGCACAGTGATTGTAGTGAATAAGCCAAAACTAGGATGGGGAAGGACCCTCAAAATATGCCTCTATTAGGGTCTCTGCTTTCTGATGGAATCTGTAACCAACATGTACTTGCAGTACCTGAGTTTTCATTTCATGTCAGGGACTGTGCTGGCTCCATCACTTGATCCCGTGACTGTGTGCGTTGTAGGCATTACTGGGCCTGCTTGCCTTTCCTGTGGTGATGGGTGGAAGTGTTGCTATGGAGCCCTGAGAGGTTTTTCTCAGGGAGGTGGAGGAAGAAAACTTAAAACTGTGTCCTTTTCCCTTAGCAATACTTAGTGTTAGACAAGGAGGAGAAATAAATGTACAGGAGTACAGCAAGTGTCTCAGCTGGCAGTATTTGTTGGGCTTATGATTTTTTTTTTTCTTTCTCCTTTCAGTATGTCAGACAGCAAGCCAAAGAGCAGTAGTCCTGTCCGCCTGCCTGACGCTAACATGGGTCCTTCAAATCGCAATGCAGAACCAGAACAGCGTAAGACCATTTTGCCAAAATCATACTATCACTCCCGGATTAAATATGTTATGATGTAGTGGACCTTGTGCTGTTCTTGAGTCTAGCCTATTCAGCAGAGTATGATGCCCATAATATGTTCTGACCTCTTCTGGCACTGCCGCCATTAAAAAGATGGCAATTAATATATTTTGAAATGGAGAAGTGATGTTCTTTCTATGTTAAAGGAGCACACGCTTGGTCTGTGTTTTCAAATGACTCATCATTCCAGAATGCTACTCAGAACGCTAAATCAGCTAACCTGATTGACCTTGGTTGCCTGAGGAATAGCAAATGAGTAACAGTTGAATGACATCATTCCTTTAGTTAGAACAAGGAATGGAGAATGCTCATGAGAGTCATACTTTTATTATACTGCCTGTGGAAATGCCAAGGCCAGCTTCTTTATTCCTTTTCACTGTAGCAAAGAAACCATCTGGTGTTTTATCTTTCTTCCGTGGCACGGGAGGGAAGAGCCCGGACCTCTCTTCCCAGAAGAAAGAGACCTTACGTGGTGCTGACAGTGCCTACTACCAGGTTGGACAGATGGGCAAAGAGGGAGCTGAAAACCAAGGAGCAGAGCCTCAAGGTACAAGACTTGAGTTCATTCTGTCTTGGGCTGTTACTTCTTCCAAACATCATTCATATTTGTAAGGCCCAGAATGCACTCCTGCTCATATTTTTTTTTAATAGTCCAAGATTACTCAACATGCACTGACAATGAATAATTTGAGCATCAAATGTAGGTTTCTCCTAAAGACATTGCTTTGCTTTATGAGAAGGGAAATAGGGTCTTTCAAGCCCTGGTAACTACAGGGACGTTGAGCAGTCTCTGCTTGAATGCCTTTGGATTGAGTTGACTCTAGTCAAGCAGCCCAGTCTCTCTTCCTTGCTTCATGTTTAACTTTCATTGTTTCAGCTCATGGAAAATGAATGAAGAGAAAAAGAAAGCTTGTACTTTGGTGTCCCATGAACAGTAGTGCCCTTCTAGCATACATATTATATCATACAATTATAGCTGTATCCCTAATTCCCTATCTGTAGTTCCCTCTGTATCCTTGAAAAAAGAAAATATTTTTCTTGTAATGTGAGTTTACAAGTAGTATCTTACATGACTTTTTCAGTCATGTAAGTCAATAATGAACAACCTTGACTGAATAGTCTCTTTATGCCTTCAGATGACGTAGATGGAGGAGATGGACAGAAGAAACAACTGGTGAATCCCCATGTGGAACTTCGTGAGTAGCTGTAAATAATAACATGAAGTCTTAGCTGACAAACTCCTTTCTTCATGCAAATGTAATGGAAATCTTTAAGCTAATTCTTTTTTTGTTTTGGGCAGGAAGTAAAAACAAATCAAGAACAGAGCGATGTGATTTTTACTTACTGTAATCAATCTCTCTGTTGCAAAAATACCCCATAAAACTTTTTTTTTAAATAGATCTTTTGCCTTGATACTTTTCCATGACATATACTGTGAACTAAACTAAAGGGAGCTGACTTTCCTGTGAGTTTTCCATTTAAATACAGCTAGTTTAAACTTCCAAAGTACAATAGGCATGAGCGAGGGATGTTTAGCACAATAATATTCTTCTAGACATCAGTAAAATCCCTTAGGTGCCATCTCAGGTAGTCAGTGACTATGTCATGCTGTTATTAAGGAGGACCTTTTTTTGCAGAGTTTTCAGATGCAAATGCCAAATTCTATTGCCGGATTTATTATGCTGGCGAGTTTCACAAGATGCGTGAAGTGATACTGGGGAGCAGTGAAGAGGACTTCATCCGATCCCTCTCTCACTCTATGCCCTGGCAGGCGCGAGGTGGCAAATCTGGGGCTGCATTCTATGTGACTGATGGTAAATGAAACTTCTTTCCCCATTGTAATTAGAGGGTATTATTTGGGGATGGTGGTGGTCAGTGTGTCATGTAATCCCTGATTACGTCTAGCCAGAGGGTAGCTGACTGTGATGTGGCCACTCAGAGTTAAAAGTTAAGTGGACTGTGCTTCTTAATAATCTTCTGAATAATCTCATATGCTATAGTTGATTTATAGGATTTTTTTTTAACTTTGTCTGATTCTATGCCCTTACTTAAAAGAAGTCTTGAATGGAAGAGTCTGTAGGCTGTTTCTGTTGTGTGTGTAAGAAGCCCATATAGCTGAGGTAAATCTACCTCAGGCAGTCTTTTTTCCCTGACTTGCTGGAAGGCTGAAATTCAGAATGTATGAAGTAAAAAAGTTTCTAGAAATGAACTTCTGTAGCTAAGGATTTAAGAGAATTGTAGTCCTTTAAATTTTCCAACCACTTCAGCTGTTTAACAGTCCTAAAGAACTTACAAAGAATACATCACTTACTGTATGTAACCCTATTGCCTCTGATGTTAAAACAGATGATAGATTCATCTTGAAGCAGATGCCTCGTCTGGAAGTCCAGTCATTCCTTGACTTTGCTCCACACTACTTCACTTACATCATTAATGCAGTTCAGCAGAAGGTATTTAAAAACAAGTGTATTTTATTTAGGCAGTGATCTGTATTTTACAGACTAGTAACAGTTTCCACTTAGCCCTTAAATTAAAGTAAAAGAAAATGTCAGAGGGTATGACTTCTGCTAATAATGTGTTTTTAAGATGAAAAGTGGAAATTCCGCTAGAGCTTCTAAGCTGTAATACAGTCAGTCAGAACAGTAACACCTCTAGTATTTGATTGCTGATTGCCTGTACACAGAGGTCTTACCCCATGTCTTCTCTTCATCAGAAGCCCACAGCACTGGCCAAAATCCTTGGGGTATATCGAATTGGATACAAGAACTCTCAAAACAACACTGAGAAGAAGCTGGATCTACTTGTGATGGAAAATCTTTTCTACGGCAGGAAAATGGCTCAGGTAGGAACCGAGTGTTCTGTTCCCTTGCAGTGCAGTTCTGACTGGGAGCGACAGCAGGGTTACCAGTAGCCATCTAGGTAACTTTTAACTTTACATGTGCTGTCTGCATCTAGCACTGCTCAAAGATGACAGTTCGTGCCTGTCTCCTTGTTATGTTATCCTCGGTAACTTCATCCCTAGATTGGCTGGTTCAAATAGCCATAGTTCAGGCTTCAGTTTTCAGAAGTCTTGTTTGTCCCTGCATCTCCAGTGTCTGAGAAAAAGTATTGCCAACCTAATTAGGAAAATGTAAAGCCTTTTCACACAGCTTTTAGAGGAACTAACAGGGATTACAAACTCATTTATTTAGGAGAGCCTCACCGATGGACATAGTGATCTACTGTGTAGTTGGGGGGAAACTAATAATGTTTTGAACCCGCTGTTTTCTCTCTGAACCACTTCATCTGTGGGACAAGATTCTGAATTCAGTCTTGCTCTTAGTAAGGGAAAAGTGATCTTTATGCGGCAGTAGAATGAAGACCTTAAAATGACCAGGGAAAAATTATCTTAAAATACAGAGTTGATGATGAAACAGAAGTTCAAAATAATCTTGCTTCCAAAACTAGGTAGTATCAGTTCTTTCCACCTTCCCTCCTGGTGCTTGACCTCAAACAGGGATGTTTGTGTGAGGAAGTGAACTGAGGGAATTCTAGTTAGAGGTAAAGAATGTTGTTGTGGATTTTCTTTTTGTTTGTCTGTTAAATCACAAGAGCAGTCAGGCACCAGAGCAGAGACTCAAAGAGACTGTGGACTCTATCCCTCAGGTTAGTCAAATCTTGACTGGGCAGGGCTTGAACATCCTTCTCTAATAGGACCTGGTTCAAGCAGGGCATTGGACTGGAGACCTCCAGAGATTCTTTCCAATCTAATAATGGTCCGTCTCTTGCCTTGACAACAGATGTTAAACGGTGTTTCATGCAAGACCCACCTTTCTTTACAGTGACTTTACTTTTGTCTGTAGACAGCATTTGTGTCTGTAGAAGCTGGCTGGAAAAGTGAGTTTACCCATACGATGTAGAAATAGGGACACCCTTTTCCCCTTAAATTAGGCTAAATATTAATAAAATAACTTGGCTAAAATCTGTGAATTGAAGTGGCAGAGCCTTCATAGAGGCTTACATACTACTCTCCACTCTGGAAACTTTAATTTTTATGGTACGAAAATGTTTTTTATTAACTGTTTTCCTTCTGCAGAGAAGGGAAGAGTAACATTGCCATTCTGCTTTCTCGAACACTGCAGTTATGTATGCTGAAATCTTCAACCTTGCAGAGCAATGGGACAAAGTAGTGCTATTCTCCATCTGCAGGTTTTTGACCTAAAGGGCTCCCTCCGGAATAGAAATGTTAAAACAGACACAGGCAAAGAAAGCTGTGATGTAGTCCTGCTGGATGAGAACCTTCTAAAGATGGTCCGAGACAATCCTTTGTACATCCGTTCCCATTGCAAGGCTGTGCTGAGAGCTTCCATACACAGTGATTCCCAGTTCCTCTCCAGCCACCTCATCATCGACTATTCCCTGCTGGTGGGTCGTGATGATGCCAACAATGAGCTTGTTGTTGGGATCATTGGTAAGTTGCCTTCTGTATTTTATTGCTTTCAGCTGGTGAAACTGCTTTCTTCTGGTTTAAGTGTTTATAGTACTCTTAGAACTGTGCCACCACCAGAGAGATGTGTGTCAGGAAAGCTTGTCTTCTCCCTGATGGAATACCACCCTCACCCTCTCCTGGGTGCTCAAAGTGGAAGCAGGAAGTCTTCTTTCCAGCTCTTGTATAGGCTTGTGATAGCATTTGCCTTATTAAGTATACGCAGGAGGCCTCACAGGTAGTGAAAAAGCAGTCAAATTTGTGTTTAACCTACACTTTGATTCCAGTTGAAATAGGGGGGGTTTGGTTGTATGCTTTTATGTGTTTAATCTTTACAATTAAGTTCAGTAATGTTTACATAACCATTTAAATTTGAACTTGTGTGTAGGGGATCTAAGGAGAAACAATGTTGTTAGAGTTGAAATTGGGAAGTTAAACATCATGAGGTCACTTGTGATCATGTACTTTGACCTGGATAACATGGGTGGCAACTCAGTAATTACCTTGCCGCATCCTCTGACTTGTGACTGGAAAGTGGAGCCTCATCTTTAAACAAGTGAAAGTTGTATTGTGCAAAATATTTAGAGATGAAGCCATTTTGCCAGATGTGGAAGGGACTCTTGGAAATTAGATGCTCTTGAAACCTAGCTCAGAAATGCTTCCAGATAAGATCTAAAACCAGGAGGTCTGGATTATTCTTTTTCTGATAAAGCTTGAAAGCCATTCCAACAATACTTCTAGTTGAGATTTGAAGTCTCAGCTACAAAGAACTGCAATTTGTTATTGCTTTCTAGTTTTGTAGGCTCTTGAATATTTGGTACGTGGGATGAGATTCTGCTCCTTCTGTACATGTGGCTTTTTGCTGTCCTATGGAAAGTCTTACCTGATTAAAGACTATATTTTATATGATTCTTAAAGCTAACAGTTCCTTCATTGTGATAAGAACAGCTGTTCATGATCTGAAGGAGCTTGCTTAACACAAATATCTTCAAAAAGAGAGAACATGCCTGCTGTATCAGGCTATCACAATGTTCTCTAAATGATACCCTGAGAACTTGCAAAGTACTCAAGCTAAATTTGCTGCAGGGGTGGAACTAAAAATCATTAGGTTGGACTGGGTTTGAATCTGAGGTCAAAATCTCTACTTATTTTAGATCTTAATGTGATACAGAAAACAAGTTAGTTATGTCTGAGGAGCTGTGAAGACTTTATTTTAGGCCCTGTTGTGTGGGGCTCTGGATCTTGGGTCATGAAGTGACAGTACACAAACTGATTATATCAGTTCCAAATCACTCTAAGGGAGCATTTTCAAAGTGTATTCAGATAAATGGATAAGTCCCAAGATTGGTAGGTGTAGATGACTTTTGTGTAAAGCACAGCTGAGGTGAAATGTGGATGCTTATCATGGCCTTTTGTAAATCTAGAAATAGTAAATTCAAAATTGTATAATTACATGAGAGATAATGATATTCAGTAATGAAAAACTTAACTTACTGCAGTTTCAGCTTTGCAGACCAAAATGCTTATGTGCAGGTAATGACTGAGCTTGCTTTTTCTGAAAGGGGCTTGGAAATAATTGCACAGTCTTCTCTTTGCAGCCCCCTCTTCCAATTGGGGTCACTGGTGGTGCTTCCAGTCCTTCATGTCATGAAGTCAAAAGTGTTTGCTTTCCATTATCAAACCTGTAGGTGGCTGCAGTGATGAGGAATGCTACTGGCTTAAATGGATACATGTCCAAGTCTTGATGCTGCTAGCAGTTGCAGTAAAGTAGTGGGAGCTGTTACAGCTTCTTGATATGTTTCTGGGATGGGGATCAGGCATTGAAACTCTAACATGGATAAGGACAGGCGTGCCTGGGCAATCTGTTTTTGTAGAGGCAGGAAGAGTTGACTGTGGTCTTGCTCGGCTTTTGAGATACTGTATTCACCCTACCCAATATAATCAATACTCGAAGTGAGGTGACTGGAACACTGACGTTCTGGCTATGGAAGCCTACTGCTTGCTTGCCCTTTTTGAGGGAAAGTAGATTCATTATAGAACAGTGTTACTTGGATTATAGCAGATACCACATATCTGTGTGTGTGTTTTGTTGTGTTTTTTTTTTTTTTTTTTTTTCTTTTTTTCTATTGCAACAGACTATATTCGCACTTTTACCTGGGACAAAAAGCTTGAAATGGTGGTGAAGTCAACTGGCATCTTGGGAGGACAAGGTAAGTCCAGAATGAAAGCAAAACTTTCGATTATGTTTCCTCATTACCTGGAAGATTCCAATAACTGTGCTAATAAAACCACAACTTCCCCACCATACAGATTTGCAACACTAGATTAAGCTGTCCAGAATAGGGGAAGGAATAACAACTTTCAGAAAAATTAATACGTTGATCTGCCTCCGTGACTGACCCTGTAGGTACTGTAATTCCTGGGAATGGAGTAAAGGTCACCTACTTATCAGATTGTTCTTTTCTGTTTCTTAATTACCAACTACTCACATACAAATTAAGTCATCCATGTAGAGATACTAGCAAAAAAGCTTTCTGGCTGGTTTCAGAAGATGTTTTCTGAGTCCAGAAAACCAGATATACTCTGACATGTTAGTGTGGAGAAATACTTAGCAAATGACTGACCACTGCCCATATTTTGAGGAGCTGAGTAGTTCCCTTGTGGTAGTGAGTAGAGTATCTTTTATGCAGCATTGCCTAGTGTTGGCCATGTATTAGTAGGAGAGCTGGAAGGAGAAGGGAGGGGGAACACTTGATGCACCACTGCTCACGTGTCTGAAGAAGATAAGAACATGTCCATAGAATGAAATTCTTCATGGGAGAAATCAGCATCTCTGCTAGAAAACCTCAGACCTTAAACAGGAGAAGAGTAAAAGAAACAAACTGATCAGGACTGATCTAAAAAGCCTGAATGGTTCCTCCAACTTCAGGTATCTCAACTCAGTGTTTGGAGTCCAGTCCTTGATCTGTCTTCTCTCATCAATGTCTAAAATAAAAATAATTAAAAAAAAAAAAAAAAAAAAAAAAAAAAAGGGCAGCCGATAATGCTTGTTGGTTCCAAGACCCTTCCATGCACAGTATGCCTTCATGATTTTGCTGTCTGGTGTTGTAAACTCATGTGACATCTGTCTGTATTGCAGTATACTCTTTAGACCATTTCTAACTGCTTGACTTTTACACATTAGGTAAGATGCCAACCGTAGTCTCTCCGGAGCTCTACCGGACCAGGTTTTGTGAAGCTATGGACAAGTATTTCCTGATGGTGCCAGACCACTGGACAGGACTGGGCCTGAATTGCTAAGCTAAATCCCATATTGGGAAAGCACAAGAGGACAATGACATTATAGGCCACTCTATTTCTGCGGTCTGTCCAGCAGTAAGCAAGAGGATTGCAGTTCCATGTCTACACTGACTGTGTGCATCATGTTGTGAAGTGTGAAATCTGCTTGTTGCACTTTAATCCTCTCGAAGGCTGATAAGTGAACCAGCCTCACTAAGGATTGAAGCTGTAAGGTACCGCTGAACGGCACTGATAAGAGACATTCCCTCTGTCAGCAGGGAAGGTGATGCTATCTCCATGCAAGATTACTGAAACAGATACTGTTCAGTTCATGATGGTGTAGAAGTACATGATCTCTGTAAGTCTTGCACAGACTAAGTGGTGGTGAATATTAGCAGCTCATGTTTCTGTAGTGGATGTGTGGTACTGCAAATGTGAAATAAATCCCCCTCTATGTGTGTGGGTGGGTGAGACAAGAATGAAGTTAATCCCCGAGTTCTGCTATTGTTGCAGTGGTTTGTAGCTGACCTGGTTAGGATCCATGAATAACTTGTCCTGGTTATGCTCTATAGCTTCAATTTTTCCTGGGTTCTGTAAACAGGAATTTTTTTTTTTTTTTTTTAGAAGGCAGCTCCACAGCTATGCCATATCACTACATCTTTTAAGTTGTATTACTGCAATACAACTTTGTCTTTATCTGTTGTAATTTCATTTTAGCTGAATCCCATAGAAATGGGTTGTCAGTCATCAGCACGCTGCAAAACCCCAAACATATCCCTTCAATCCTAAACAGTATTTTGATCTGAATGTTGCCCAAATCCCTGGAAACAGGTAACTAAAAATAATATACCCTTTAATTTAACAAGACTTGCTTAATTACAGTTATGAAGCTGGTTAACCCTTTCCTTAGCAGAAGGCACTAAGTTGATAGACAAAATGAAGCATACTGCCTTAGAGTGACAACTTTCTCCTTAATGAAACCATCCTTCCTGGCAGATCACTTCAAATCCATTTCACATCCCCAGGACTTTCAAATAATGCATTTACCTCATGGTGAAACTTTGCCAGGAGAATGTTTTTCTTGCATTCATGACATGCTGATGAGAATGAGCATCCAGATCTCATCACGCTGTGCAGTCCCAATGGAAAAACTGTCTCTTCAGCAGTATTAGATTTTTTTTTTTTTTTTTTGCACCACTGAGATGAATGTAGTCATCTTTTTCTGTAAAAAGAAAAGCCTGAACCAACAGGTGTCTTGTATAATGGATAAGATGTGCAGGGATCTGTGAATCTCTGTTGTGACAATAAGCACTTCTTTCCATTTTTATTAATTTTTACCTGGTTTTGTAGGTGATGAGTTTACTTTTTAGTTTCACTATATTATAGGCCAGTAAATAAGAGGGGGTTTTATGAATTCAGGAGGCAAGAATACTGTCCTTTGACTTCTAGTTTCTGAGGGAAGGACTTCAAACGAACATGGACTCTGGGACAGTATAGCTCTTTATGACCACTTGCTCATTCTGACCAGTTGCCTGGTAATGCCATCTTCACTGTAACTATGGATTGAAATATGAATTTTGTTCACTCCTATGTTCAGTATTTTCTTCTGTAGCAGATGGTGGTGGCTCTGTTCAGGAGTGACATCTGGGCAGCACTGAGAAAGGAAAATGCCAGCAGTGAGAATTGATCTGTTGTCTGCAAAAACAACTAGTGCAGCTCAGGTCCGAGCTGCCAGGAGGCAACAGTCAGTTGTGTTGAAAGAAGTCTTCCCCACCCTATTGCAAAGCCCGACAGGAGGAAGAGCCAAGATGCTGACCTTGAAGCAGCAGAGATGAAAGTATTCTCAGTTCCTCTGTACAATGTAATCATTGTTTCCAAGGCTGCAGTGATGTATGCTGTGGAAAGATGACATAGCACTTCTTGCTTCCTCTGGCCCAGAATCCTTCTGGTCCAACATAGTCCATCAGCTACAGCTGACCACCTCTGGGACACATCTTGCCTCCTGCGTTCAAATGTACTCCTAGAATGGCTAGCTGTGTGGGGGGCCTTGTGTACTGAGGAGCCAACCAGTCCATCAGCTCAGTGCTACTCTCACCTCTGTGGCTTCTGCATTCTGTCTTCGTCCATTGATGTGAAAGAGCATGCCATGCAGCCCGGATCTGTTCCAGTCTCAGTTAAAGTTTACATGTGTTCTTCCTCCTTCCCCTCCTAAAGTTTACAGGGAAAAAAACTTGACTTTCCTGACCAGCTAAGGTGACCCAATAGCAGCTGGTTATGTTATTTTCCACCTTTGTCAGTATGTGGATTGATTGATGGAGTATATGAATATGGGCAGTGTCATGGCTTTTGCACTAGGCTGATGTAGAACTGTGATGTGCTAGTCCTGTCCTGTCACCAGTAACCCTTACTCCAGTGACATGTAGCTCCTCTATACTGCTTGTCTTCCAGAGTCCCAAGCAGCTGACTCTAATGTTCCCTGTACCTGACGGCATGAGGCCCTCAGCACTGTGGAAGTGAGAGAACCTTCCCCTGGCCAGCTGTTCAGCAGCCTGTGAACGCAGAGCCCCGGCATGTGAACTGTGATCTTCTTGGGCTGAAGTTACAGCAGTTGGACAGATTTGCAGGAGTGATCTTGAGCTGGCATCAACATCTAACTTTGGGTCAGCATGTTGCTGATACTGTAGTCTGGTCAGGACTAATCTAAATAGCAAAATACTAGTTGTGGGTAACACAGTAGCTGCAATATTAACTGGATTTGGGACATCTTTGGGTGCCATGTGATGTAAAGCTATAGGCATTTCTAGGTCAAATCTCAGCAGTTGAACAGATCTCCTTAAATATTCCTTTTAAAGAATAAGAATTATCCTGGCATTTCACTTGTTACACAGCTAACTTTCTCAAAAGGACAGCAATACTTCATGCAGAAGAGATCTATGAGAGAGCTCCTTGTGCGGTTGTATTAGGTCTATGTCCCTGCAGCATGCCTAAGGATGTCCTAGAACGTCTTAGGTATTAATTACACGAGCCTTTTGATTAGAGTTTTTTTATTTCTTTGTAACACAGGCTTAGCATATATGCGTGTAAGCAAATCACAGTTGCAAACATGAAGACTGCATTTCTTCAGAGCTACACTGGCTCTTTTTCTTCTGTTGTTTTGATCTGAGGCCTTGTGACAAATATCTAAATCTTGTCCCAGTCAGAAGTGATGACTTGCTTTCAGTCATCATGTAGACAGCAGAATGCCTTGTAGTGGCCCAGCAATAGATCCTGTCCCCCAAAAGCACATGAGGGACTGTTGCTGGTTAAGTAAGGGCAGGGCTTAGGGGAGTTACCTGTGGAGTGGACTTTCCTCTGTGAGAATGACCAAAACCAAATGAATCGCTCACTAGCAGGTGGACAGACTAATCATTATTCAAAGCACTTAATGTACCATAATGTATGAATTTCTAACCTACCTTGGTTCAGGTGTATTTTATAAAATTGATGTACTAAGCTATTTGAGAATAACTGCCTTGACTACCTGGAAAATCAAAATGTAATGTATATATATACAAATAAACTGACTAAAATATACTTGAGTCTATTCCATGTGGTGGAGCAGTTAGGTCTCACAGCATTTGTTTGTTCAGAGGCTAAGCTCTCTGCTTGATCTGCAGCAATTGCTCTGTTGGAGATTGCCAGCTTTGTGTGCAGTGTAAGCATGTCTGTCATCTCTATACCTTGCAGCTCGTCTCTTCTAATGAAGCAGGGCTTCTGGGCTGCTCTCCAGGTCAGTGGCTGTAGCATGTCCAAACAACCTTTCACGCATTTCTCCCACCTTCTCCCCAGCTGCTTTTCAACACACAGTGCTGCGTGAGACAGGGAGTCAGTTATGTCCAGCAGATGATGGTGTTGCCATGGCCCAGTTCTTCCAAGAGGTGGAACGCGTTCCTCAGGAAAAATCTGCAGGTATTTCTGTAGTCGTCTCTTAAGTGGACTCGATAAAGAAAAAATCCAAGGAGGTCTGAAAATTAATGGCATATCTCGATTGCTTCATATGAATCTAGTATATAATAACCTTCTCTCTTAAAGTTAAAAATGATGTATGATTAGTTCTGGGAAGTGTACTTGTTGGTCCCTAGAATATCAAACTCAAAATCTAAAACTTAAGGATTTTACCTGTAGTATCTGCCATCACCACTTTTACCAGGTGAGTATGAAACTCCATTGGAAACTGTCCCACCAAGGGGGTGTGAGCAAGGCAAAAGGTGCAATACTCAATTCAGGGGCAGTGCTGCCTTGTGCTGGTGTAAGGTTGAATGGTGGGATTTGTGGGGCTTCTCACAAGAATTCGAAAAGCACAGATGCAGTTATCAGAACAGCTCTGCTTTAATACAAGTGGGACTGCCAACACCTAGTAAAGGGCAAGAGTTTGTGCTCTAAGTGAAACTTCGGTACTGAAGTCAGTATTTGAAAATGAAACTGTAATTGCATGTGTTTTCCATTGATGTAACTGATGATACGAGACATGGGTCAACTTCCTTGCTACCACCTTGATTTAGACAACACTACTATTTAAAAAAAAAAAAAAAAGTTGGGATTCACCATCTCAGTCCATGCTGTAATGTCTCAAATTGAGTCCTGTGGTGTCATAATGTGGAGATACACAAGCAACAAGTACCTTGGGTTTAGTGTGGAGGTTTTAAGTCAGTGAAGATATAGAGTAATTTTGCACAATAATTGGGAAAAAAACAGGCCATCCCTTATTTCTCCCTGTTTTCAGGGGACAGAACTGGAAATCTGGCGCACTGGAGATTCAAGATCTAGATGTGCTGGACACTGATACTAGCCTAGTATTGCCATGAAAGTAATAACAAAACAGGAATCTAGGGTCCCCAAGTTCCTGCTGTGGAGCCATGGTTTGTTGTCAGATCTCTGCAAGGAACAAAAAGAAACAAAAATAAACCACTTCATTTTTTGGCAAGAGGAGGTTTTTCTGTATCTTTAAATGTGTGCCCGGAGCAGAGCCTGCTTCTGAAAAGATGGAAGGATGACAGGAACAGGTAAGAGTGGGTTGGGGGCTTGTTTGGTAATCTGGCAGAGTCAGAACAAGTCCCCACATGTGCATACTGTTACAAAGCTTTGTTCTCCAGCCTCTCCTGCCTCGTGGCATGAGTCCTATACCAAGTGACGTGTATGAGGGCAGAAAGCAATGCTTGGTTTGAATGATGAAAACCAATGCTTGAAATATTGCTGGTTATGAATTATTATCATCCTGCATAATGAGTTTAAGCTTTGCAGAGCTCCAAGCGAGCTAGTTTCTTACCATAAAGATGGAGTTCTTCCGTGTTTCCAAAAGCACAATGTTATCATCCTACAAAACTGTGCTCGTTCACACAGCTTGTGCCAGTTACAGAGGCTGTTTCTCAGTTCAACTCCTGCAGTAGATTGCAATAATACATGAAAGCAGAGTGGTTAGCAGTCAGCCAGCTCTTTATTCCCTCTGCGTTTTTTCCTTAGGTGAGATCCTTTCTTGCTGGTCTGTGTCATCTGTGAAGCTCCTTTCATTGCACCTCCTATCCTGTGATTATATGTAGTTTCTCGGTTGGAGGCCTTGCTCTTACATCTTTGTAGGTAAACTTGTGTTATCAGAATTAGCTGACATAAGGTCTCTGGTCCTAATCTGAAGGCTCTTTTTAAACCCAGGCTGAAAGCTACCTAACTAGTCCTTAGTCCTTGCAGCCACAGAAAGCGGTCTTCTGACTCTCTTCAGTTGTTTACAGCTGTATTAAGTAAACAAGTTCTGGAGAAGTGTGCTATGTAAGCAGGAGCTGTTATGTGGTGTGAGGAGTCCTGAGAGGAAAGAATAGAGCTTGGGTAGTGAAAGGGCTGTTGCAGTCAACATTCTTAGGATGGCAGAACTGGCACTATTTGTAAATATGCAAGATGAGTTGTAAAATCTCATTGCCATTCTGAAGGAGAGATGTCGAGGCTTAGTAATTATAGCCTCACCTTTGAAGTGCTGAAGTTGACTTGTGTGGGGAAAATAGCAAGCATGTAAAAAGGCAAGCATGTCAGAAGAGAATAAAAGCTGATTTATGCCAATTATCACATTGGAAAGATTTTTTTTTTACAGAAGGGTGCATTTTGGCTGCCAGAAACAGAAGAATCCTACATTCAGTTCTGAGGATTTTGTGGGGATTTTGCTGATAAAGAGAAGGTGGGAGAAAGAGGCACAAAGCAACACTGCTGAAGTCAAAAAGAAAAATGAGGACCCTCCCCCTGCATAACAGGTAAGAGTGTGCCTGTAGCCGTAGTAGTAAATTACAGAGAAGTATTCCCTACCATTCCCTACAGGTGGTTAGCTTCTGGTTACCTGCACATAATCCTGAAATTGTAGTTTTGAATTAAGTTTCCTTGACTTTTTCTTCAAAATGGAACTTCATGTATGACAAGGTCCCATATGCTGTCATTTCAGTTTGGTGTAGGGACAAAGTAATTTAAAAGTTTACTGCAGTTAGGAAGCTCTTTTCACCGAAAAGGTAGGTGTAAGGAAAAACCCACTGATTACTGTAGTTACAGCAGCAGATTACAGATTGTTTTGCTTTGCTTGTAGAATATAAGATGTTGAGGGCCTGCAGGAGACCAGATCCTGAATCATCACTGCCATTTTCTGGCAATCCAGTTCTTCAATTCATCTAGTGCAAAGGCTTGCTCTGTTTGCTTAAATTACCTCAGAATATAAAAATTGTATGAGAATGTGATCCTAGTGGCAGTTCTGTATTGTTTTCCTGGTGTTTAAATGTGCTGAGAATCTACCTCTGAAGAATGTACTTCAGTGAGGACAGGTATCTTTTCTGTTAGTGACTACAGTTGGTAAAAACATGACGGCTGTATCCTGTGAAAGAAAATATGGTTGTAATAAAAATCCTGGGCCCGTGAAACTTGCTTCCCAGTTTGCATCCAAAATAGCAAGAACAGAGTGGTGATCTCAGTATGTCTGCACAAAACCACTGTACATTTTTTTTGTGATGTGAACAAAGTATTCTTTTTTAAAGTTTTGTACAGTGAAAATAATTTTTTAATTCACATTATCTGCTAGTTAGATATATTTCTATAATAATGCATTTTTATATATGTATTCTACAGTAAATAGTGGTTTAATATAGTATAGTATTTGAATAGTGATTACTCTTACCATAGGAATGTCAGAATTCATGACTACTATTACTTGTTTAGTTCTGGAGGAAAACCCCTACTTTCTTCCAATATCTCTCAGCAGTATTTGTCTAGAGCTCTCTTGTGTGCTTGAGGTTGTCTGTCAAAACAGCAGCCAGCTCTGTGTTCCTATCTCAGAGCTCGCTTCCTTTCACTGGCAATGGCAACTCTGCCCTTTCTTGAATAGTACACTAAGCCTAGCAGCCCTAAAAAACAAATTAATGATACATACTTTCATATCCAGTTTCTGTAGGCACCCTTATTTATATGCACAGAATATATAGCAAATGAAGGCATATGTTAAGGATTGAATTAAAGGCAATTAAATGACTGAAGCTGGTTTTACCTAAGGCTGGCTGCGGAGCCAGCACATACTTAGGAAGTCCCTGCCAGTTTTTGCAGAAAGAGAAGGCTGGGATCACTGACCTGGTACACACTCTAATATGGATCCCCGAGAGAGAATATTTACGCAGTACTGTTTAAACCTGAGAGTGAGCAGTGAACTGATGAAGTAATGCCAACCTGTGTTAAAGATGCAAAGGCAATTAAGGATCAAAATACCAATGCCCACTTTGAATTCTATAATGGGTGTTAAAATTACTAATACTGATTAACACAAGTATTATGTGTTAGTGTACTGATGCTATGTTGTAAAATAAAGTGTTTACATGTTTATACACACAGTATTTTTTTCGGTACAGGCAAGGAAAAAGTTTTTTTCTGTACATTCAGATGTTGATGTTGTAGTATAACCTCTGATGACCCACACTGGTATGCACAGTAACAGAACTTTTCTGCTTTTTCTGCAAGTACAAAAGCATTGAAAAGATATTTCTGAGGAAGGCCAAGGAATGTTTTCTTTAAGAAAAACTTGTTCTGTAAGTTCAGTGAGATTACTGCCATTGTCTTTATTTTACCAGAAAAAAATCTGGACTCCTGGTTTCAGAATCAAATCTGCGTCTCTCACTTGACCAAAACCTCAAAGGCATTTTGTTAAGTACCCATATATATGTTGCAGTATTTACTTAGCTTTTAGCCTGTTAGATCCCTGTGCTCTCCTAATTCTGCAACAGGATAACATTCTGAAGTAAAAGTTGTGCAGAATACCTACAGTTAAGACTCACTTGCAATCTTAAATAGCAGGAAACACTTCTGCTCTGCTCTTTTCTGCTATATTTAGTATGGTGCCCCTTTATTCTCAGCTACAGAAATATAAGTACAAAGTCCTGCAAGAATCTGGTCTTTTCTGTGTAGTGCACATGCACACTTACATACTGTATCTTAGCCCTCAAACACTTTGAGAACAGAAAGGTGAAAAGGTGACACTGCTTACCTGTCTTCTCTGAACTCAGTGCAGCTGTGCATGTAACACCACATCCTACAGAGAGTCACTACATCCTACGTGATGCTGTAAGCAAAGACCTATGTTATGACAGCTCTGGCTCCCCACATAGGCCTTACTCTAATAGCAGTGGCTGTGGAGCAGGGGTACCCTACAGCTGCAGCTGCACAAAAGCGTGCTTATGCTAAAAAAGAACAAAGCCTAGCAGGACAGGACATCAACTGGTACATCTTGGCTCTAGTAGCTGGCCAGCCATACTGGTACTTCTGTGTAGCTCCAGCCTCTAAGCCTGAACAGAAGAAATTGTGCACTTTAAACACAGTTCAGTCACTCTAGTATATAATTGGAATAATTAAATCACTCAAGACCTCATGATCCAGTGATGAAAAGCAGGATAATAAAGTGAACATAATTACTGAAAAGAGCATTGAATTACAGTTGCAGAGACAGGATGGGAATATAGTAACTTTTCTCCATTGTTTGCATGGGATATTTTTCTAATGTAGCCTCAGCAAAAGTAAAACATAGTATCCTGAATGTGAGTTTCCATTACTGAACTGGCTGAGATCTTCTGACATACCAAAAGTAAACTAGCTACTTGATGAAATCTAGGATGGCATAACTGGGATTGTTTAACGTACACATATGCACATAACAAGAAAGAAAATGTTTTCTTTTTCTACCAGGATTATAAACACTATCTAGAACACATACTATAGGAAGAAAATTATTTTCTGGAAACTCCAGGTCAGCCATATGGATTTCTAATGGTTGAAAGGATCTGTAATCAGTTCTGGTTAGTGTGTTGTTCTTAACATGTCTGGTACTTGACAAGGATGGAAAATGAAAGAATTAGGTTATTCTTTATGGCTCCATGGTAGCCTATAATATGAAGAAATTATATCTTCTTCTTCATGCAAGTTTGAGCTGCCTTATGGACAAACAGTATTCTGCTTTCTGTCCCTTAAGCCCTAGAAAGCAGACAACCTCCTCAGGACAGTATTTACCATTCCAGCTCAGTTGTATAGTAAGAATTCACCAGAACTAGCTTTTTACTGTGTATCATATTCTAAAAAAAACGCAACCCCTACTTATTTCAGCTCTTGAATGTTTTCTGAAACATTGACATTTAAATAAGGTAGATGTGTTGGCTTGTGAACAATACATGCCAAATGTTAACAGACATGACTCTTATAGTCTTAGTCCAGAAATAGGCTGCAGAATGCACTGATCATAAACATTCATATAGGAAACATTCCTCGTTATGCCCAACTAACTGTCATTAATTTCTTTTTGCAGCTAGTAACATATAGGGAAGTCTAAGAGTTTAGAAAATTAGCACTACAAGGAGTCTGTTTAATGTTTGGGGGTAAATACTTAACATCATATTGATGACTTTTAGCTTTTTGTTATCCGAAGTGTGGTGGTTTACATATAGATGGAAGAAAAAAATCAGTAATGAATTCTAGCATAGAGAGAAGTCCAAGGTTGAACGTATTTGAACTTGGAACATTGTTGTTTTCATATGCAAAGTTTCAGTAAATGATATGTTCTTTTTGGGCATTCCTATCAAAAACTTCAAGTATTAAAACATTTTAACTTCTACAAGTCATTAAACCTGAAGCACACCCATGAATGGAAAAAATTGAACTTTCTAAGTTTAATCAAAACATGATCTTTCCAACTGCAGACTATATAAAACCAATATGTTGCTTGAAACTTGATGTATTTTCTCTATTCTATTTTTATGCCTTGTAGCAGCAGAAGCTAATGGAGCCAAACATATCTTGGGAACGTTGTTGTTTTAGTACAAGGCACGATAGCTACTCAGTTCAGTGACATTAAACAGCCCTGGAAGTTCTTTTAATTAAAGCAAAATGGGATGCAAAAGATAAATTTAAAAGCCCTTGGGCCTCCATAGGTACAGCATGCACGTATTTTGTGTTTTATTATGTGTTGCACTTCCTTTGTGCATGTGTAGTTACATGAGAAGGAAAATGTACAAGGCCGGCCTCATGGTCTGCTGCCTGTAATTTGAGAAATTTGGCAAGGCTGCCAATGTTTACTTAATATCCCTAAGCAAGAGAGGCCTTGGGGCATGCTCGGGCCCTGCTTTAACTTGATTTGAGATTTTGTAGCATTCAGTCAAAACCCACAGGTGGTTGTACTTGTCCACCCAGTTGAACAGTCACACTAGAGAGTGGGGCTATGAAAGGAGTGAAGAATAAAGGTTAATAAACACTACCTCCAGGTAGCTAAAGGGATAAGTGGAACAATCTTGGTCATATGATAAGAGTAAAATTGGAATTTACTCTCAGGAGGGAAGAGAGGGACTAAGGACTGGTGGAATATTATTTAAAATCAGAGCATTTATTCATCTATTGTTTTGGATTAATCTTCCACTTTGTTTAGGATACGTGAATTTGAAGGTTTTCTTTTTAAAATATGAAATGAACTTAAGTATCAAAAGTTACTAAAATATGACTATAACTTGTTTTGAACGATGTTTGGCATTGGGGGTAGGGGAGTATATTCCAAAATACTTGTTGACCAATACACTTTTTCATTGTATTTAGAGATGTGGTTTGGTGGTGGGGTTTCTTTGTTTTATAATTTGATTTCTGAAGAAAGAGGCAATGCTGACACCTCTGTGATTCTGCAGGAAAAAACTGAAAATTGAGGGACCTGGCTTAGGATGTTCTTATTTCAAAAACAGTGCTGCTCCAGAAGTGTCTTGAATAACTAGCTTAACCCTTGATTAGTAAAAACTGGATCCTGTAATTATGTGAATTTGTCCTTAAAGAAGGCTGGAGATACAGCTCTGTATAAAAAGTTTATTTATTTGTATGGCTAGGAATAAACGCAATATTTTATTACTCCCTGCATTTCTGCAAAGCTACTTATTTGAAAATTGTCAGGGCAGTTGGTAAAAAAATAAAAAAATTAAAAGATGGAAAACCTGAGAAATTTATATCATCTATAGCTCTAGCACTTTCTGTTCTGAAGCTCTTTTTTTTTTTATCCATATACCTCCATTGGTTTTTAGCTTAGAAATTTTAAAAATTTGATGCAAAAAGCATATCACTATATAGAACTAAATCTTAAGAATGAACTTGATTGATAATTAAACTAAAACTTCTTCCTTACAGCCTAAATCAGTCTCAAAATAATTCCATGTAGAGGACATTTTGTTCAGGATAGCAGTGTGGTCTTTTCATAGTAGTTACCTGTGTGTTTCAAGTGCCTAAAGCAGAAGGAAGTGACTTTTTTAAAAAAGCTGAAGTATGCATAGAGCCATAGTAAAGCCTGAACGTTATGTTACCATGATCTTAGAGGAGTCTTGGTGAAGCACTTTTTGTCCTACTAGTCTGTTCCTGTTAGTGGAAATAAAAGAAAAACCCTGTACATTAACAGGAATAAAGAAACTGTACAAATACCTATGCTAGGTTACTTTTTTTATTAGATTTTTAACAGCAGGATCCTAGAGTACGTAACTATGACCTCATTCTCCAGGAAGAAGGTAGGAGGTGGGAAGTTAAGTTATAGTTAAACAAACATCCATCCAAAAAGTGACCAAAACAGACTGTGTATTAATGTCACAAAATACTAGAATCTTCACTTTTGATAGTGATTCAAGTTTGGTTTGGATGTGGGAAGGTCTGTTTTATTAAAAAAGATGCAATACATTCTCTTCTTTCTCAGATTAATACACTGCAAAACCACAAAGCAATAGAGGCAACTCTGAACATAGGAGAAGAAGCATTTGAATGTCTCAAGGTTACTAGAATCTCTTCCTTTTATTTCTTGCTACCTTATTTATAAAATAAATTACTTGTAGTTAACAATGTATTTACAGATTTATAATACTCACATTACAGTGACTAGTCACGCCAAATCCAAATACAGGGAGAGCAGTCTGACACGTTCTCAGCAGCATTTTATTGAAAACGTGAAACATTTCAATTTTGAACTCTTAAATGCAGCAGACATTTTGTTGTCTTCTGTCATTTTTTTTTGTCTATTGAGAGCTATGAACAATATTACCCTAAAGAGTGGAAATTCTATTAAGATGAATGAGGAGACATTGTAATGTACAGTGTTCATTTTTAAATTAAGAAAGGCACTTGCTATCCTACTTGCCTAAAGATTATACAAAAAAACAACCAACCAAAACTCCCAAAAACATGTCTGCAGAGAAAAGAAAAGTGGTAATACCAAAAAGAGGTTAAATACGTTCACAGAATACATTCATATTTGAAAAGACAGTAATAAAGTTATGACCTAATAACTTAAGCAGATGCTTCTATGGCATAACTTAAATTTTGAAAGTCAATAAAACACTGAGTCTGAAGTACCTGATTTTTTTTTTTTTGCTTCTTTAGTTGTTCAATTTTTTTTTCTTTTTTAAAGAAGCTGTTCAAAGTTCTGTTCAGGCACCACCACCAGTGCCCCTATATGGTAATCCACTCAAGGGCAGGAATAATGTAATTTAATAAAGCTGTCCTGCTACCAGTTCTTGATTTTATTTTTTAACAATGACTAGACACTAATGCAACCCCAAAGCAGAATAATCATCAGGTAAAACTGTTTTGTCTTTCAAATAGACAATCCCTCACTGTGTTTCTGCATTGCAGAGTGGTTTGAGTGCATATTCAGCCACAGGCTGAGTGCCACATTCAAAAAGTGTTTGAAAAGAAACAGAAAAATATAAGGAACTAGTAAATGGGTAGGCAAAAGTGATAGAGTCCACATTTCTGGTCAACTCCAATGGGTGTAGTTGGTGTACTGGAAGAGGGACATGCAGAATTCAGTTGCAGAAACACTGAATGCCTCCACCAAAACACTTTCACCTCCCCCCAGTTTAAGAGAATTCATAGTCACATATGCTCGTGAACTAGTTTTCATCCCTCTTGTCCTGTCACAAATGTACTCAGCCTTATATTTTCCTCATGGTGTCTTCTACATTCACAGCTTCAGAATATTTTGATTATCTACCTCCAGTACCACTTAGAGTTCATCCTAGTGACAAAAAAATAAACACATAAGTTACTCAAAGTACAAATAAAAATCAAGGTTATTGGTAGCGTTTTCTTAAATTTTACATTTCTAGTACTTATTTTTCAACTAGACAAATGCTTCTTCAATAAAATTCAGGGTACTTAACAGCTGTGTATCATCTGAGTTAAAACATCAATCCCAATCTTGCACTCATCAGGCTCTGTAATTTGGTGCCTGCTTGCTAAATCTAGTTTAAGGATTACATGTAAGGATACAGTGCATCTTAAATGCAGCTGTCCCATGGACATGTGCATGTCCCATGGATATCTATAAATTCTGCCATGTCTTGCTTTAACTGACGTTGCAACTGCAGTAATCTCTGCTACATCTGTGGACATGGAGAACTGAGTTTGAATAAATAATAATAACCAAAACAAAACAGGAACTAAAATGTACCTGGTCCTATTTAAAGATATGGCATTTAATACTTCACGGACAAAGAGCAAATACTAACATCATTTTAAATGGCTACTCTTTACATTGGTAAGTCTTTTGCAAAAGGGCCCATAATAACTATTCTTACCTTATTTCTAGATTTTTTTCTTTTTCCTTTATTTTGAATTACTTCTAGTTTTTCATTCAGAAGGTCAGCAATACCTTTTGCGTCTCTGCTGTCTATATATTCCCCAAGAATGTTTTTCTTAAAAAAAAAAAAGAATTGGGTAATGTTACCTGTGCTCTACATTGAATAGAAAATCTGCTTTCAGGTAAAATTCAAGAGGAATGCAGGGAAGAAGACAGTGGCTCTGGTAGGTTGATTTATGATTCACTAATATATTTTTGTCTCAGTTTAAACAATGATAATTGTCTTTACAGTAAGAACCACTCTTAGCTGCTAGTTTTCAAAACTATACAAATTTTGTCTTGATCCTTAGAGAAACCTGAAATAGTTACAATTTTCTCACATTTATTCAGTAAAGTATTTAATGTAGATAGCCATTACAAAGTCTGCCACTTTGTAATCTTATGTTCATGAAATCTGTCAGTGTGGGTTGCTACTTCTGAGACCTGTAAAGCCACTACTCTTTACCATAGAAAAAGTCATTGAATTTGATGGGACTATAAGAAGAATAATCATTTAGAACTTCCCATAAGTGATTCAGTTAAAAAAAGAAAAGGGAAGTATAATTAAAAGAACAGGCATGACTGTCAGAATGCATTGAATACTTTCTTTTTCACATTAATACACTTAAAGAAAACTATAATATTCTTGAAATGTCATAGTTCTAGGAAATTGCCTTTATTCTTGTAAAACTATCTGGATACTTTCATTTTTTTAATTTATTACTACTAATGTGTTAGTAGGAAATGTTGATCTCAGAGTCACACTGATAGTTGAAATGGTTTGATAAGGTTTGTTTTTAAGACAGAACGTAGCTAAATATTTTTTATCAATTTTCCATCTTAAAATGCATTAAGTCAAAATTATAATGAAATACTATGGTTACACTGAAAGAATATTTCTCCTTAGCCAAAATGAAGTAGTCCATATTTCATTTAGACAAAAACTTTGCCTGCTTCCGGTAGCTGGTAATGGAATTGGTAAAGGTTGAAAAACACTTTGTCACGAGACCGCTGCAAAATTAAACCCTGGTTGAGCCCACATTTTAGTTACTATTCTATTAATTTACAATTTATTATTTTTCAATAACACATTAGTACTGTATCATTGTCCTACTATTTCAAGTATTATTGAAGTTGTTTATTATTTTATCTCCAGAATATCTAAATAATGCACGTTAATGTGTTACAGAAATAGTCTCTTAGTACCAATGTCAAATGAAATACATCTACTAACAGTACCCGCTCACCAGCATACACAAAGGAGATGCTTTACCTTTGTTCCTTGGTAGGGGTAAAACTTAACAGTAGGGTAAGCTCTGATATCAGCAGTTTGACAGGTCTGAGCATATGCCTGACAGTCCACTTTTCCAGCTTTTACTTTTCCTTTAACAGTCTAAAAAGAAATGTTTATGAGAAACAAACTTCACAGTTCCATGGGTGACTGTAAGCAAATAACCCGAATAAGCCAGCAGTACAGCTAAAAGTAAACAAAAAGTGACACTCAAATCTTTAAAATTTCTGAGAGTAGTTGCTTGCTTGCTTCTCAGACTGTTAGCCTTATATCAGAAGTCACTGTGTGTTCAGCAGAGCACTTCTACTTGAACTCAGGGCAAAGCACATCACAGTTCCGAAGGTCACCCCACCATAAGCCAAAATCTGTCTCAAAAGAGGGTGTGTGGGGGTGTGTACGTGTGCAAGAGGCAACACCCACTGGCAAATCAAACCTAGGAGTGTGGGCTTTCAGTCAGGAGGTGGCTCATGGAGCACGCAATTTTTGGATGATTGATAAGAAATAAACGGCTGATGAATTATATTTTAACCAGTACAAGCATAACAATCTGCTAATACAGTTAAAAGCCTACCCTTGCAAGGATCTCAAACTCAGGAGCAAAATTTTGGCAAGGCCCACACCAAGGAGCATAAAAATCAATGACCCAGTGATCTTTTCCATTCAGAACTTTTTCTGTGAAACTCTGAGGAGTCAGGTCTACAGACACTTGTGGTAAATACCTGTGGAAAGAATAGTCATAATCCATTCAAAACTTTAAAACATACCCAAATTCCATTTAAGCACAAGAAAATTTTCTGAAATTAAGAATAGTCTAGAAATTCCTACTTTACACTCTGTGTTATAAGAAAATCCCTTTTTTAAAGTGGTAGACTAAGTAATAATATGGTCTTCAGAAAATGGGTGGACAGTAAGGAGTATGCTATTTCTCCACATTTTAAAAGCTTGTGTTAAAAGATGTAGAAACTTTATCTTAAATTAAGCAATATATATACCTGAGTGTTTCTAATTCTTGATTTACATAGCATTTAAATAAATAGTTTGCTTGCTATGAAAATTTAATAAGTGGGTTGTGAACAAAGTTTCATGCATGAACTTACCCCAATGCCCAGCCTCTCAGTGAATATGAATCTCTGTGCCATCCATTGTAGCTACTATAAAAAGATGAAAAAGAAAACAAAAATCCAGTTGCACAGTAGTTTGATTTATGTTTGAAATAAACACTCTGTAGAGTGGAGATGGTAAAATAATGAACTTAAATGCATATGTTTTATTTCCAACTTGCTTTCAAATCTGAATAAATGAAAATCTCACTAATACAATTCAAAGATCTAGAATTAAGGACTAGAGGATGAAGAGAAGAAAAAGAAGAAAATTCTCTGTCAAGAGTAAGAAACTTGGTTTGGAGCACATAAGCTTTGACAGCTAGAACTATTCTGAATGAAGGATCCTTGGTAATAACTCTAGATAAAATTGGAGACTCTAAGAAACATGAGAATTAAAATGAATGTATTTTCTAATTGGTGCTCATTCATTACAATAAAACAATTATTAATTATATGTATTTCCCTCACTTTGACAGTAGAAAAGCGAGACAAACTGGTTACTTGGCCAAGGATGATTTACTTCGTCTTTCAGGGCATTGCTTAATTTTGAATTTCCAGTGACAGGTTAGAAAAATTAATTCAGGATTCATATCCACTAATTTACAACTTTGTTACAAAGTCTTTTTCAGTAGAGTTACCTGGTCAAAATCTGACTTGACAGTTTTTGGTGATCCTTATTCTAAGAAACAAATTTCCATCTTTCTGCAGGAAATAGCTGACTCATGATTAGGAATTTGGTACTTAGTTAAGTTGGTGAATATGACTGTTGTTTGCAACAAGGAAAAAAAAAAAACACCTGCTTTTAAGTCAAACTTTATCTAGGAGAAATGAATAGAAGAAAGCAGTCCAGTGATGAAAGCTCCTGAAGTCTGCTATTACACACTACAATGAAGAGGCATTACAATTTATTATCTGCCAGCATTTAACAGAAATTTCCAATTTGTAAAATAACGAAGCAACAGATTTGCTATTTCAAATGGTTATCTATTTTTAAATATGCATGTGCTTCCTGAAATCCCTGAGTCTTCAAACAGTACTGTGAAATGGAGGGGACAGGCTGTTCGGTTTTGGCCAGGTTTTATTTCCCATATAATTTGTTTTGTTTTGTTAATGATCAGTATTTCCACACTAACAATACAACAAATGGGATGACCAGATATACAGTGGACATTTTTTCAATGGTGCTAACAGACTCTTGGCAGGGAGGATGATCAGATGGCTTCATCACTGTTCTCTGAAGATAAAGCTGCAATCGAATAGGCCTAGTAGTATTTCTATACTATATGATTTAAATAATCTACTTTAACAGGCAATTAAAGTTAGAAAACTGGCAATCAAGAAAGGAAAATAAATAAAAATTAAGATTCCTGAGGGAGTCTCAGTTCAAATTACTGAAATGAAATGGCAAAATAAAATGACAGTCATTTGAAGTAACAAAGTCAGTAACATCGAGGACAGTAATATTGTAACAGCCTATTTTAATAGCTGTGATGAACTTTCCTAGACAACAGAAAATGTATATTAATCTTTTTCCACATCATCTAACATTTCCCAAACTTAAGCAAGCTACTTACTAGTATTGATGAGCTGTGTTAGATTTTTGAGGAAAGAGTCTTATTTCAGGATATCCCTGAACACTTTCTTGGTGACAGAAAGAATAATATTTTTGACAGTCCACGCTGCCTACACTGATTAATCCATTTAACATCTGAAAAAAAAAAAAAAGAAAACCTACAATCAAATATGCTCATCAGTACTGCTACAATTTCAGTAATACTTCAGAATTGAAGTCTTAATCACTTAGTTGGGGGAAAAAAACCCAACAAAACAAACCAAGATTATCACAAGGCTTTTTCCTTTCCTGTAAGTGGGTCACTGGTGTCTAATGGGAACCATTCCCATCATGCACATAATTTCAGTCTAAGCTGCATGCCCATGGCTCACAAGGCACCTACCTTGCTTCAAAGGTACATATGGGTGTGATTATTTAGTATGAGGACCACCATATTACCATGTTTCACATCATAGGCTCAGTAATTATGACAGGTCCTGGTACAGTACAGATGTGCTACTGGTTGCACAGCTGGGCTGTGTCTTGAACACACTAGTTGTTGCAAAGGCCCAGACCACCTGGCATGGGCAGGGAAGCTGATGACTGATGAATGTGCACTATTGAGCTACTAATACTTCACAGATATTTGAACTGAATATAGAATCCTGTCTAGAACTTCTAGTCTAGTTGAGTTCTAAATGTCTGAAAGCCACAGACTTGTTTCCAAAGCCCTGGGGTTTTTTGGCCCGAAGTTTCTAGTTCAAATTCCTGGAAACACATCCAGGAGAACCCAGCTGGTTGCCAATAAACTAATATTATTACCTTTGTAAATGAACACTGTAATGACCTTGCAAAACAAAAACACACTCCCCAATCCCAACAATTCCATACTGAAGTATGTGTAATTCAGCTAACTGACAATCAGCCTTAAGGTGTATGGTATTTAACATTCATTTACTTCCATTGAAGAAAACAAGATCTCGGAAAAATCTTCCTACTATAGGAAATTATTAAGATGGATAAGACTGAATTCCTTTAATCTGAAATTCAAGTCACAGATCTCACCAATGTCTAAATGCTGTCTTAAAGTTGACTAATGATCATAAAGAATACTGAGAATAAAGTAACAATTTCAAACAATTCTAATTTAATTTATGGATAAATCTTTTTTTCGTATCTTGTTTTAAACAAATGCAGACCTGTCTCTATAAAGCACTAAGCATCAAGAAAAGTTATTTACTCTTAAAATTTCTTTGATCTTGGAATACACTCTTGTATCAACAGGAAAAACTGTATTATAGTATCAGTGTACTAAACCTTTAAAAAAAAAAAACCTTTGTATTTGAAATATTATAAATCTGTCAGGTAGGAATTCCCTGTTTTGTCTGCAGTATTAATCAATAGACTTGCTCAGTTGACAGATCAGTAAGACAGCAGTTGTACTGTCTCCACAGTTCCACAGAACACATAAGCAGAAAAACATTCGAATGTCATTTACCCTGGCCATTTTTTTCCATTCTGGCATTAAAGCCTGACAAGGTCCACACCACGGAGCGTAGAAGTCAACCATCCAGGTTTCTTCTCTTTTTCGTCTCTGAACTAATTCAACAAATGTCTCTGGTGTTAGGGAGACCACTGATGGATTCCTAAGATCCTAAAGTAAAGACAGTTTATAGACATGTACTTTGCAGCAATAAGTTACCTCGTATCTAGTGCCATCACACACAAACAACAGACTGTACCAAATTCTGAGAATTTCCCTCTTTTAGTGAAATTTGCTTGCTGCTGTGTTAGGGAAGACTCCACACCACCGAAAGGCATGGAAGCATCAAAAGTCATCCCTTCAACTTAACAACAATATGCCTGATTTGCTGAGAAAACCTATACAAAAAAATACAGCCAGGCTGCAAAAGGGAGGTTTCTGCCTCTTTTCCATATAGGGAGGCAAAAGGCAAGAAATGCAGCTTACCTGTCAAGAACAGGCATTATGAGACTGAGCCGTGCTATTGAGACTGGGATGCAGAATACAACGTGTGGTGCACTAGGGGCCCCTGAATATCAACCAAAAAAGACTGATCTCCACCTGTTCCTGCATGTGTGCTCATAAACCTACTTTTCCTGGGCTACCTGGAAAGAATGAACAGTCTCTTCAAAAAGTGGAAAATAATAGCCTGTGGATGTAGCAGTGAGAGAACCTGAATGCTGGAGGAAAGACAGGTGCCAGAACTGCGGCAGCAACAATGATGAGTACCAATGATATGCAGTTCTGTGAGTTAAGGAAGTTCAAGAAACAGCTGAGAAGGTTGGGCGGAGGGCAGCAAGATAATTGACAAAAAAAGTGAACCTCCTCCCATGTCAAGGTGCCATGTGAGGCATTTTCACCTTAATATTACAGCCCTCCATACTTCTAATTCCTTTATCCTCTCTGAGATAGAAGAAATCATTACTGTTACGTCACAGATTGGAAGGGATTTTAAGTTATTTGCTAATGATCTCCAAGAAACTACTTGACAGAGTAGGGGAATTAATCCATTAAGTGTTATGACACAGACTGACAGTTACTGCACCACTTCTCTTGCCCAAGGTTGTTTTTCCACTCTAATTAAAAAAAAAAAAATAAAAATAAAATCTTAGAATCTTCTAACTAAAGAACACATTTGTGGATAAGCTGCATACAGAGCATGACTGCAACGAGGCAGATAAATTACATACCTCTATAAACTCCAAGATCTGCTCAGCAGAGTGATGTCCTTCATATTCATGAACATCAGACTGATTGAACACAACTGTTGTTGGATAAGCTCGAATGTTATGCTAACAAAACAGACAATAAGAAATTGCAAGGAATGATTAGGTTTCTTGTACCTTCCTTTAACCACCCTTGGAATTGGTTTGGACAGTACAACTGCTCAGACTTACATCTAGATGGGAGTTTGAAACCATTACAAATCGGTACAGAAAAGATGCCAATTGTATTCGGAGGTGGCACAGTTTGTTCTGAATTTAAAAACCAGCCAGTAGTTCTTTTGCTGTGTTCCACAAATGCAGGAATTAATCCACAGGCCTTCTAAGCCTTAACTTTAAGGCTATTCCCAGTCTTCAGATGGAAATGCCGGTACTGTATGAATAACTGCATTGTTTACTATTGAACACAGATGCTTTCATGACCTGAATTCTTCACTGTGTAAACATGTCTAAATAAAACTTTAAAAATGTGTCCTTTTTTTGCCGATTTTTCATGTGTTTTAAGACATTCACATTTTAAAAATAAATACAGAAGTTCTAACATAAAAAGCTTTTGTAAACAATAAAATGTACAGCTGCAGGAAAGCTGTCAAAATGTAGTATTTTCTGGAATTCAGGAAAAGTAATGTCAATAATTTCTACCATGATAAATTAATTAGAGCAAAAGTTAATCAAATATAAACATGGAAAATGGGTCAAGATTTAAAGAAAAAAAAAAAATCTTTATATCACTATACCCTTAAATAAGTGTAATCCGGTAAGTAATAAGCTTTCTTTTAATTTGAAATTGACCCTGCACTTTAACACTACAACACAAAAAGCAAAGTCAGTTAGGGTGAATTAGAAGTGTTTTTTCAGACATCTTCGAAAAGTGTTGGATCAATATAAAACTTCTATTCTTAAATGTTTTACTGTTTTTTATTATCCTCCTATGTGAAGAACAAAAAGAAAGCATGTATGTATTTATATACACATTAGAAAAAGCTTTTTGGGTCTGCTTAAATTTTTTTTTCCTCTTAAACAAACCCCAAGAATTACTAAATTCTGACACTTCCAGAGTCTTCCAATAACACTATGAAATCAGAGCAAAATGTGACCTGTATTTTACATTAGTGTGTTGTCTGTAGTGGTTACACAGCTCGTTCCTTTGAAAAAAAATTACAAAACAAGTGTCCAGTTTACTACCCTTTCAGAAAGTAATATTAAAGATCAAGCATTATCTGCTCCCAGCCTCCTACCCCCAGCTAGAAGAAAATAATATTATTTGAAAGGATTATATTTTTCTAATTAATTTTTTCTTTTTCAGTTGCTACAGCTTACCATGTTGCAAAGCCCTTCATGGACAGTACAGTCTAGTGTTCCAAATTTAAGCTGGCCATAAAGATGTTTGGATGCTTTTCTCAGCTCTGGTAACAAAGCTCGACAAGGAGGACACCACTAGAAAACAAAATGCAAGTAAGTGCAATAGCCTTCCCCACAGCTGGCTCTCAGAAGAATGTAAGCTGTCTGAGATGAATGACAGGCTGCTGTGACAACTGACTCCACTAAGTACAAACCCTACGCAGTCTAGGAACTAGTGCTGCCAAGGAATGAGAAATTACAATACCGTCTCATGATACTGAAGGACACTTTCAGATACTGCTAGTATTTTGTTACATAATTACATCAAAGATTTTAGAAGGGAAATGTAAATATCAAATATTTACCGGTGCAAAGAAATCCACAAGCCATGGTTCCTTCTCTTTGTCAGGAAAATTCTGAGGTCCCAGTGTGATAACATGAGAGTTGACACTTTCTTTGGCAAATGCAACAACGTCGTATAAGATCTTCTTTCCTTCAAAGAACAATGTAGAAAGGAAACTTTATTTTTCCCTATGAGAGATCTCATTAAAAAACTTGGTGATAGCAGAAAGACTCCTTCAGTTCCCTTGACTGATCTTTAAACATAGCCTGCTTAAATAAATTAAACAAGTACTGGCTTGCTTGCCTTTTCTTTCTTAGGTCTCTTATGCCCTTCATGTACATATTTGTCAGTAGAAATGGGGGTTTGTGTCTTAAAATGAACCGAGAATAAGAACTTCAGGTTAATTAAATCTGAAGTCACTGCACAATGACTTAGTAAAATTTATTACCGTTCTTAGATTTTACACTGTTGAAGCCCTTCAATATAGCCTATAAAAAAGCCTGATTCTTTTGAGTATTATATTGTTACAAATACTGGAGTGAGATGACTACTGGCAAATGTTCTAGATGTCATCTATTTTGTAAACAGTAAATCAAGCCATTCTGAAAAGAACGTATGTACTGTAGTCCAATGTATTTCTCTTACACTATTTGTAATCTACGCCATTATAAAAAGATCTAAAAAGACTGTATTTATATGATCCTTTCTTAGCTTCTCTGCAGGATTGGAAATTGCAGAGTATAGAAGGCTTTTCCCAGATGTATGGGACCATCTTTCCCCCTTAGATATGACTAATCTTTTCTAAGTGGTCAAAAACTTCTCTCCTTTCTTCTTTATTACAGGACTGAGGTTCTGACTTAATTCTAACAAGCTGTTTCTAATACTTCAGAGACTGAAAAATGAGAACTTCATCTTGCATATTGCCTTGTGCTGAATTCTGAATGAAGCTACACCTATTGCTGAAAGCCACAGTTTTGCTTCAGGCTCTGTTCTTCTTCAACTGGCAGTTTTGAATCCTTCCAGTGGTACACAGTAATATAGTTCCAACCTTTCCAGGAAGGAAACTGCTACTTCAGAAATGAAAGTGAGAGGTAAAAGTCACAATCAACAAAACATGGAATTAGTTTTAGTGCAGTGACATATCAAATCAAATCCAAGTTTCTCAAGTTAGCAGCACTGTGTAACTAGCATGTTAAGCCTCTACAAAGGGTGTGCCTTACAGCATTCTTTGGTTATCCTACCAAAGGAGAAGCTGCCCTGATCAGCTTCAAAGATGTAATTTGTATGTAATTATGTAAATTACATTGAAATAGACAGTAAAGACAAAAAAAACATCTCTCAGCATCTGGTGACTGCTTACCCAGGAAAATAAGAAAAGGAACAAAGGAAATTTTAAGTTTGTGCAAGGCTACAGTAAGGTCAGAGGAAAAAGAGCAAATATTAAAACTACAGAACTGTTCTTTGGAAAAAACAAATGCAGTTTGCCAAAGGTAGTGTCATCTCCACGTGATTATGTAATGATTTAAACTTGCCAAAGTTTCTCTTACCATGATGAATTTCATAATCTCCAGTTCCTTTTCCTTTGAAGACTGCTAAACAAGGCTGGTAGACATATAGTTTGCTGCAGATGGTTGGTGAGGAAAGACAGTCAAACTTGCCAACCTATTTAATGGACAGTGCCATTTTAATTAAGGCATTCTAATTTATATAGATTAACATATTTTGAAAGGCAGTAAGAGTTAGGAAAATAAGGTAAAAATATGGAAAAGTATTAGCCTTTTTATAAAAAACAGAGGTCTTAAGACAAACTATGATGTTTGAGGAAAACTACTAGCACTGCTATATTAGGTTGCTTGCTTATTTTTAATTTAAAGGCCAAACCAGGGAATAAAACCTTAAAGAATCCTCCTTTCCCCCCCCTCCAAATAAAATAGCAAGGAAAAAAAAAAGACACTTAAAATAAATCTGACATTAAAATTTTTTAAAAATACATACCCTATAGAATAACACAATCCATATGTCTTCAGTACAAAGCTTCAATTTGGTTTATTTTTATTAGGAAAATTTTCAAGATAATTATAGTGTTTTCTGAATAATAAAAATGCAGTTTCACATACATCAATTTGATGTTGAAGTGTAAACTTTTAACTGTTAACTGAATAGGATCTGCAGCAACATTTCCCATGAGAGAACAGATTTAAAAGATAATCTTTCCTAACTACTTTCAAATTATTCAAACTGTATGGGGAAACTTCATTGATTGCTTTAAACTAAAAACATTATTACAGATCTACCATGTGACAGTATAGCTCTTTCAGAACCAGAGGTGGCAGGTGGTAGTAACACCTAGTAATAATGAAAACCATACTGACTTTCTCTGAGTGTAAATGGGATTTATCACTAAACGAGTGAGCAGTCTTACCTGAATATGTTCATCTTTAAGTAAAAATTTAAGTTTCTTAAATTCCTGTGCATTTGATTTATCACTCTCCCCAAACTGGAAGAAAATCAGCCATCGGTGATGAGCCAGACGGTCCTTTAAACAAAGGGGAAAAAAAAAACCCAAAACCACAACACACACACAGACAGAAAAAGATTACTCCCAATTTATATCAACTTGTAAATTCCTTTTATATTTTATAAAGGCAAATGACCAATTATTCATCTGGTCTGTGAGTGACCTCCTCCACTCAACAAATTCTTTCATGTAGTCCTTCCACTAAACTTCCTTTTACTGCATCATAAGCAGGAAAGAGGAAAAAAATCTGAAAACAAGCTGGCTACATGCTACCCTCTATACTTTTTGTTTCCACGTGTGTTTCCTGTTGTAGATGAAGCTGCTAAGAGCTACTACACGTGTGAAAAGAGATTTTGTCTTTTTTTTCTCCAAGAGATGAGTAACTTCTCTGACTTCTAATTTCAGTTCATACATAATTTACTATAGATTAACAAGTATTTTTTTCTTTCCTACATTATTGACAAAATACATTTAAAACAAAATTATCTACAATGTAGTTGATTTAAAAAGTAACTAGAAAGTTACAGTTGCAGAGTGAGTTGCAATGGCAATTCCTGTGGTTTTTTATTTTCCTCTTAAATACATCCCCCTGTTTTGTTATTTTACAAAAGTAAAAAAAAGTCACCTTCAGTTAAATAAATACTAGGTTGTTGTGTCAACAGGATATGAAAAGTGTAAGTAGTAATGATAAAAAAATATGGAAATACATTATTTAAAGAAATCTTAAAATATTTTAAGAAATGTACCTCTAATGATGCTGCAGAGATAATTTCAAAATCGGGCAGATGCTGCATTACTTCCTGATATATTTCTCTGGCATCCAAGGAGTTAAGAAACTAGGAAGGAAAGTTAACTTTGTTTATTATAAGGAATTACAAACATCAACCTGATTGTTGATGATCAGTACTCAAAGTCTCAGGGAAACTATTCCGATTTGTTCCCTTCCATCAACTGAAGAGTACAGTTAATAATATTTTATTTGATCAACTTCTTTTTAGTATATATAATTTCACAAACATCACTCTCTGAATACTGCATTTTAGCTTGTTTTCCTACAACATTAAACTCAAGATACTGTATTTTGTCAAAATGGGGGCTAAAAGTCTCAAATTCAAATTTCAAGCCAAATTTTACAATCAAGTTTACAAGATTTCCAATCTAGCCTTATAGCCCTCCTTAACTGCTCTTTACAGATATGTAAGTTTTAGTAAGTTTTAAAATTTAGGAAATAATATGAATGAGTAACTCAGAGTTGGTAAGTTACAAGTTGAAAGTAGGTAGGTTACAAATTAATTTCTTCCTTTTAAAGATATAGATAACTGTAGCGACAACAAAGGAACAAGCCATGCTTCAAACTGAGAAATATCTCCCACCAATTAAGGAAGTTAAAGCTACCATACAAATGTAGGAGGTGGTTGCAATATTAGAAGAGCGCCAAACAGCATAATCCACCCCGACAGACATCGTAGGAGTACTTTTATCACACATGTCAGTACTCCATTCAGAGTAGCTGGGGCATGTTCTTTCTGGAATAAAAACTGGGGGCACATGGCAAATCATAGAATCATTTAGGTTGGAAAAGACCTTTAAAATCATCAAGTCCTACCGTGAACCTACACTGCCAAATCCACCGCTAAACCATGTGCCTCAGCACCCCATCTATGCATCTTTTAAATACCTCCAGGGATGGTGACTCCACCACTTCCCTGAGCAGTCTGTTCCTGTGCTTACTAAGCCTTTTAGTGAAGAACTTCTTCCCAATATCCTATTTAAACCTCATCTGGTGCAACTTGAGACCACTACCTCTTGTTACTTGGGAGGAGAGCCTCCCAAGCTTGCCCAGGGTAGCAGCTTCAGAACTAGCTCTTGGGCCTGTCACAGAGCACATCCCACCCCTGGATTCCCACAGCTGCCCCAGGAGGCTCCCAAGGAGGTGGCTAGGCAGAGCTACAGGCTGCTGCTACTGCAGCGTGCTCCTGTTCACTCTCTCAGCACACCAGCAAAGCGGGGACCACCTCCAGGGATCACTGCCTTAGAAGCCAGGAGGGATATAAACTGATAACAGGGCGTATAAGCTTAGAAGAAAGAAGAAAAAAGCATATTTTCAGTTGTATCTAATCAATCTGGAAATTATTTATACATTCTTTTGTCTCTGTCATCACCTTATTTTATCTAAATACAGAACAGTTGAGAAACAACTCGTACCAAAACACCTCCTTTCTCTTTGTTATTTATGGTGGCTCCAGGTGGAAAGTATGCTGTAGTACTGGATGAGATATCTAAATTATCACAAAGCTCACCCTGGGTGCCACAGTCCATCCAGCCTACATTAACAAGACCTTCCTGTAATAAAAAAACAAACAAACAAAAAACAAAACACAACCACAAAACAAAAACAAACACAAAACCAAAAAGTATTTTTTAATTTCAGGTTCAGAAATGCTTTTGAAAATCCCAGCATAAGCAATTATATACAAGATTTAGAAAATGGAAGGAAACTACACTGTATTTCATTAGTTAATATTAATATTTTATGAAATTCTTTAAAAATGTAATGTTATTCCAATAGCTACTAAGTCAAAATATTTCTCTCTTCTGAAAATCAATGGGTGAAATCTTGTTTCCACTAAACTCAGTGACAGTTTTAGCTACAACTTGACGCTTTCACTTCTGTTATTTTGTTTTAAATATAACAGGTAATGCTTTCAAAGTGAAATGGTGCTTACCAACATGCCAGCTAACTTAAGGCGTGTTTGGTAGCTCAAGCAATCTGCAAAATAAAAATGATTTATTTACAAACATAAAATTTCAAATTATTAATGCACTAAACCTGCTCTTGTTTAGAACTACCCCTTTCCTCCCTATATAGGTATGCTATTTCAAAATACATGCTTCCTGGATATTCATCTGGTATTTCAGTGACTTGAAATTGTAACATCTAGTAATCAGCACAAGATGGTTGTCTAAGTTAAAAATGACATGAATTACATTCTCTTGCTTCATCAACACAGAACTCTCATTTTAAAAATTCTAATATATTATTTGTTATACTAAGACTGACCTTTAAAATTTCTTCTTAGTCAATGTTTAAAAAAAAACCCACAAGAGATATCTACATACTGTCTTGGAATGAAATTTCAGTGGAAATATCAATTTTCTGTGATTCAAATAACAACTCACTATAATAAATACATCATATGCTCTAATTACCCATACGGACTTCGAATAGTTACCTTCTGATGCAGATTTTTTTTCTGAAATAAGATGATGCATCAACCTCACTTTTATTGGACCAAAGTTGAAAACTTAATAACAAAAGGGGTACAACTTCAAATCAAGCTATTTACAAATGTAAATCCAGGAGTGCAGCTCTGGTTATTCAGTTCACAGAACAAAGGTCTCTTATTAAAACCAAGAAATCTTTATTTGTCAAAGGTGTAACACATTTACTTAGCTCTACTAGCTAACCAAGGTAACTTTCTCATATGCTGTATCCAATACTAATCCCAAGAAAGTCAGTGACAAACAGCTACAAAAAATAAATGCAAATCTAAACACTGTAAAGACATCCGTGGTAAGAGCCAATTACTATGTCAAAAACTAACTTAGGAGAAAACAGTCAGCTCATTTTTGAGTATTAATGGTTTAAAGGGGAGATACATCCTTTCTTCTACTCAACTATCGTGACAAGCTGGCAGGCACCTATGCAATATCTGTCATTTGATCTTGAGCTGGAAGCTGACATTAGGGGCCTTTCCTGCCAGTTCCCTTCCTGAGCGGTTACACTTGAGTGCTGCTTTAGTGACTCACGTGACATTACAGAAACACAATAGCATAATTCTATTTCTAATTTTTAATAGCATAATCTAATTTCTATTAATGTCCCTTTTGTCAAACTGCCTCTAAAACAGAGCTTAAATGACCCACAGTCCAAATACTGTGATCATGGAAGACGTTTTACAACTTTTTATTAAAGCAAAAGGGATTATATGCTACTATCAAAAGTAATTTGTTTCCTGTTTGCCTTATTTGAAAAGTATTTAATACACCTACCCCCACGTTCAGCACAGAAGGTGATCAGCCAACCAACGCCAGAGGCAAATGAAGTTTCAATGGCATTAACAAAGTTTCCTAAGAGTGAAATAATTTGCGTCAGTTTATGACTAGTTAAACGTGACTACGAAACAAGGTTTTATATTTATATTAGCAAATTGCAGTGAGCTATTTTTAATCTTAAAAATAACACTTAGCAACAGTTGACAGATTCAGTTGTAGACCTAGTTTGTGCCATATTTTATCTTGTAAAATCAATTTCAAGGACAACTACCAGGCAAAAATGTGAACATTACCTGCCCATAACTCAGTGACTGTGCTTGTAACATACTGCATGGCAAAGTTCTTCAAGCTCTCTTTTGACCTGTCTCCATAATATTTCACTGGTTGCTATAGAAGACAAAGAATAAAGTTGTTAAAATTAACAAACAAACCAACCCCCAAGAAACAAAAACCACCCCAACACCTACTGTTTTTTTATAAAAGTACTTATGCAACTGCAGGACCCCCAGCCCCCCACAAACCCTCGCTCTACCTGTTCTCTCCCTCCTGTATCGGAATGTTTGGAATTTAACTTTTATTTAAATTTTGTAATCTGATTTATTTCCAAGTCCAGCAACACAAGGATAGGTTAGTCTTAGAAACACCAACTCCCAATGATTATACTTCTATTTAAATGAAAATTGCTTGCATCAGTCCATTTAGCGTATGCACAATCTCTGTGTTCAACCTCTCAAATCTTATCATTGTCAAAACGTACCCAACTATTCAAGTGCAATTTGTACACCACCCCTGGCACCACTACTTAACAAGCAGCTAGAAATCACGATGTACATAATGCACTTATCATAGAGGAAATCTTGTTGAAGGAATTTCCACGTTTCTTCAGGTACCTGGTCATATTTTTTTAAACTCAAAACCACAGACTGTTCTTTGTATTTGAAAAGTCCATTACAATACTGTAAGAGAAACTGTTCAAGTAGACTTGTTGCTTTGATACCGAACCACCGCTTACAGGATCTTTCCCAAATCAAAAGTGCTATGTTGTATGGTAAAATGATTCAGAAAAACACTGTATAAACCAGATATATATTTTTGAGGTTAGCTTTCTACATTAATTTAACCAAGGTGAAGGAAGCAAAAAAGTCATTTATTAGAAGGAAGTAATATATTAAAAGGAAGATCTTTATATAAAGATCTATGATTGAACAATTATTAAAGAAATACTCTTCCAGATTCAATCTTTGAAGTTTTATCACTCACCATTCCAGTTTTGAAAACATACAGACTGGGGTAACTGTTAATCCCTTTAATTCGACAAAGCATTCTATTATCTCCACAGTTGACAGCTCCAATGCGTATTACTCCATCCATCTCCTTAGCAAACTCCCTCCACTAGAGAAAAGGGGAGAAAAAAGAGGATACTTTCCTATACAGATATAATGAAAAATCAGGACACGTTTTATTCCTGGCATCTTAAATTGTTGTCTTTAGTTTCAACTTCAGTGTAAAAATCCACTTCACTAAGTTTTATGCTGTTAAAAACAATGAATTTTCAGAGTTAATTTGCTTGTTATACATACCGTAGGTGCTAACTCATGGCAGTGGGAGCATCGAGGAGAATAAAAATTCACAAACCACAGTTCTCCTGAGTTAACAGCAGCATCTAGATTGAGAGAAGAAAACTGTAACTAATGTACATCTACAATGTAGTTAATAACTAGAATGTACATTTTTACTATACTGTTATCCCCAAAAGCTGAATTAAGTATTTATATGTCAGACACAGTAACAGTAACTCAGATGAGATAAAGATTGCACCTCACTTGCACATACTCGCTGTTGTAGGCAAGTGCACAAAAATCATACTTCAGAGGATATCAGCACCCTGACTTTCAACATCTGTTCTATTAAGAATAAGCATACTCACTACAGGTTAACCTAGGTGAAATGTGCGACAGTGTATCTCCGGTTACCTTAAAAACAAAATACAAGTTCTAGAAGACTTTTACCCACTAGAACTTGCTTAGAAAAGAAAACAACAGCAACAAAGTATATACACACAGCTGTTATCAGCTTGAATTACATGGCTTTCAATCTCTCCATTTTTGGACATTATTTTTAATAGTGAATTTTCTAAATTATATTTGCTTATATTAAAATATCCTCACAAACAAGACAACTGAGGAATATGTAGATTCTGCAAATTAATTAACTAAAGCAAGACCAGGTTCTCATGGAGAACATCATGAGGTTCTGCTATTAGAAAGTTTACAAAACTCGTTCAGCATGTAGATCCAGTCCATGCAAAGGAAACTGTGCTCAAAATGCTGATGAAAAACCTCACAGAAAATCAAGTATTTTTTTCTCTCTAGTCTCTTTCAGTTATAAACATCTTAGCTATAATTTTAAAAGAAAAAAACTGGATGATATCCTCACTGAAAGCATCATCTTTCCAGACCTTGTTTTGCTTAGCTGTGCTCTTAGTATCTGATATCACCTTCTGGTTTTGAACCTCTTGTGCGAGGCACAATTGACTGGATTTCACAGAAAAAAATTAATAGAAATATAATAGAAAAGTTCTATCAAGACTTAGAGAAGAAACCAAAAAAATAGCAATAATAAATTAGGAGAAACAAAATTTTAATTCAAATAATTTCCTCTTACAGATCTCTCAAAATGTCTTTCAAACTTAATCTAAACTGTTTATTGATATTGATCTATTTGCTAACTAGCACTTACCAGGAAGCATTAAGGTTTGTTTTTTTGGTTTTTTTTTTTTTTTTTTGTTTGTTTGTTTTTTTCATTTTGTTTTCTCCTCTGAAGATTTTCTGACAGTTTTTTTGTCTAGCTATGTAATACAAGTCTATAGATATACAGCTCAGAATGTAAAAAGTGTTACTACTTTGGGTTGCCATGTTGTCAGACAGATAGCTATTTATTTAAAACTTACCAAATTCTCCTCTATCCAGTGTTATAATTTCAGGATCATCATCATAAATACCTATTAAAAAAACCCAACAATTGCTTTTTATTTTTGTCATCTTTAGAATGAAGAAACAAACTGTCATCTTATTTACAAGACAGAAAACAGAAGACAGTACCCCTAAGTTGAAATAGTAAGCTGGCAAAGATAGTTTTTACAACAAAGCTGTATTTGCATACTAACATGTAAACTTAGTTTAATCTCTTGCTAACTCCTGTGCCCTCATGCTACAGAAGCCAGCATCTGAACAGAACAGGTTTTTTGGTGTTTAGCAGACCAGCCACCGAGTGAGCAGAGAACTCGAACTACCAGTGTTATGGCAAGAGTATTAGAAATAACATTAACCAGCTGTCAGATTAAAATTAAAGCAGCTTCAGATCTCAGTGAGAGCTGTATGTAGTGTCTGGAAGTTTTCACTTCTTCTCTCAGCCTCTGATTATCTAAACTATTTAGATTGCAAAGGCATTTCAGCCACAAGCTTTTTCACTAACCAAATGTGTGAATGTAGTAGAATAAAGTGGACAGCATAAAGGTAAGGAAGATTGCTTTTTCTAAAAAGCTAACCAGTGCTACCTAGAACATCACTCCAAAACAGTCTGCTACTTCAAGTACGCAAGAAAGGCAGTGCAGAGGTACCAAAGATACTATTAGATAGCATTATATTATGCTAATATGGCTACAGGTCTTTTACAGTACCTAACATGGCGAGATGCCATTTCACCTGAGGTATACAAGGATTACATGGAAATAAATAATGAGAAATTAATTTCTACAGGTGACAAGGTACTACTCCTATTACTATCCATTTACATTTCATGTAATATAATACATACACTCACCCATACATGTATACATACATGTACACATATAAAATATAAAAATATAGCTATAGATAGCTCGAGAACAGTTCATCCCAGCCATTCCCTACAACTACCTAAAATTTGTTGAGGCAAGCATTAAATAACTTGTCTCAAGATCATTTTAGGTATGAGTGTTATTTTTTCATTTTCTACTACCTCTTTACTGATCTCTAATAGTGTAACTGCATAAAAATAGGCTTGAAAGTACAAAAATCTCCTCTCAGAATCCACTTTAGAATACTTTGTCTAAACAAAAAGGGTCTTCCTGCATTTAAGAGTTAGAAAGAATACTGATGAAACATCAACACAGTAACTTACCAAAATCATAGCGATAAAAGTGCCAGCTTTCATAACGACCTCCTTGCTGCTGATCTTCAAGACCTTTCTCTCCGTATTTATCATACTTCTTCCGTAGATCTTCATCTTTAAGTACTTCATATGCTCTATTTATTTTCAAAAAATTTTCATGTGCATTTGGATCATTCTGTGTAAGAAAACTATAATTAGTAACTAATTAATAAATCATATTGCACATATAATGCTGAGACAATAACATTTGGAAATATTTTTATCTCCCTACTTAAGATATCAGTTGTGATGGAAGCAGACATTACGCAGGGATTTGCAAACAAATTACAGTAAATTTTCCCGTCTTGAAGCCACATGCATCTTCTCCTCATTTCTTCATTCTCACTAACATACCAACTGAAATACAAAGTGAGCTGGTAGGATGCTGTAACATTCTCCAGTGACTCCTCTTCTTTCAACTCCCTTCTTCAGTAGAAGAAAAAAGATAAGTACTCAAGAATGAAGACTTAACCATTTCTTCTATAATCTTTTCTACTCCCCTGGAATCCCTACTTGTCCAGCTTGAAAATCTCTGCTATAAAGTCAGATTCATCCCTTCTGAACTTATGGTGTAGACAGAGGCTCCCTTTATTTAAAAAGCATTCTGGTTCAGGTAGTTTCACAATTTGAATGGTAAAAAGTCTGCAGACACATTCTGAACCCCAGTTTGGGTTCTGAGCTGGTGCTGTATAACAGTGGTGAGCAAAACGTGCAGCACTCTACCACTCTTCTAACTTCTGCTTACACATTTCATTCAAAAGACACTTTTTCTTAGATTCTTGACTTATTTACCTAGATACACAGAAGATTCATTGCCATTATGGAATTTGTGTAATGGCTTCATCTTCTAAGTATCATCTCTAATATTAAAAATAACCTGTTGAAAAATCTTTAGTAGTGTTTGCATACTTGGAAACTACAGAATCTGACCCCAAATGTTATTATTTTGAACGTATTGACATAGGGAAAACAAAACTTGCAGTTAATAGCTACAAGTTGACATTTCTAACTTTGCTGAGATTTGGCTTTCTCTTTGAGCTGTCATGTTCAAATCCATTATAAAACACTCACGCCTCAGAGGCTTCAACGTACTCTGTGCAGGTGGGCCTTGGGCTCATATGGAACATTACTGTCCTCTGGGGCGCTGTGCAGGTGCAGTTGCATGTGTAAAGATCCAAACCCTCGTATTTCCTGTGAATTTCTGATTATTTTGGGAAATCTTGAGGAAAAACTGATGATGTTTAAATATGAAAGTGATTTCTTCATACTTTGGAAAATAGGCAGCACAGACTGAGCTATTCTCAGTCTTCTCTCTCTAGTTATTCTAGAACTCCTTATTACCCTCCCTCATTATGCCTTTGCAGTCCCAGAATTTCTCTTTTGTCCTGTTCGATACTTAGAGATTGATGCCTCAATACAGGCTGGTGGTGTTTGCTATTTAGATGAAACTTCATGTTAGGGAAACAGTAAGTTCCCCTAAGGTAAATGGAAAGTGACAAACTCATCAGTTTATCAACAAGGTAATATGGTACACACATAAGTTTTCATCTGTTTACAAAACTGTAATTGTGAAATCAATGATCTTGACTCTTTTTTTTTTTAACTTCAGCAATCTGATATGGCCCAAATTCAACACAACCATCTATGTCCAGTCTATCCCTTTTTGTAAATTTTCTCTTCAGAAAATCTGAACTGAACCATGTTACCAGGTGGTTACATTACTTCACAAGAACAGTGAAACATTTTAGATAAATGAAAACCACTTTTTGTGTAAACATTAAGATTTATTAACTCAACAACTTCAACAAGTCAAAGACGTAACTTACCTGATTTTTATCAGGGTGCAACTTTAATGCCAGTTTTTTGAATGCTTGTCGTATTTCTCTACTACTTGCTTCTTTGGTTACTCCAAGTAAACTATAGTAGTCCTGATCAGTGCACACAAGAACTATTACACATACTAAAACTAGCAGGAAAGATCTTTTGAAATATCTAATATAATCTCCTTTAGATACTAAGAACTCCATTATGAGTCTTTCCAAAAGTTTATGGGTTCTGATTTGAGCAGGCTTTGGGAAGAAGAGTCTCCAGTAAATCCACCAACATTCAGAGATACAGCTGTATTTGTCACAGAGCCTCTTCAAAGTGCTGGTTGTCGTACTTCATATCACAAGTCTTGAAAAAGTTACAACCTGTAAGAGGGAGAAAAAAGCAATTAAGTACATTTTCCTACTTATTTGATAAATGTACGTTAGTAAAGAACCCCCTTTCCAGCTTGTGCACACGAACATTAAGTTTCTTGATGGCTAACTACCTGCTTTCTGAAGACCACCCAAGTGACGGACCATCTCTTTATTATGTACATTGTAAATGAGGTAATCATGCAAAGCTTTACTGAACGACGCTAAATACCAGCCACTCGTATCGCATTAAAAAAGCGGGTTCAGCAGGGCTCACTTTCCCTTCAAACTTGCTTCCAGTACCGCAGGGGCGCAGCTCTCCCGAAAGGACCGGGGCGCCTGGAGCCAGCAGCCGCTCCGGGGCCGAAGGCTACTCCCCTCGCCGGTAACGCCGGGCGGACCCCGGGGGCCCGAGGACCCCCGGCCGGACCCGCCGAGGCTGAGGGGGCCGGCGGGACGCGGGGATGGGCCGCCGGGTGCCGCCCGCCGCGGCGAGGCCGGCGGGAGCAGACCCGGGGGGCGGCCGGGCTGCGGATAACTGCGGCGGTGCGCGGCGAGGGACCCGCCGCCGGGGCAGGCTTGCCGCTCGGCCCCCCCCCCCCCTCCCCGCTGGCGCGGCCCCGGTGCCGGGCGGGCTCCGGGGAAGCGGCGCGGCGCTTACCGGGCGGCGGCGCGGAGCCGGCGGAGGGAACGGAGCGGGCCGAGCGCGGAGCAGCATGGGACGGCGGCGCCCTCACCCCGGCGCCGGGCGGAAGGGCGGCCCGCGGCGGGATCCGGCTCTGGGCCGGAGGCGGGGCGGGGCAGCTCCGGCACTGACGTGGCCGCCGCGCCCGCCTCAGCAGGGTCGTCTCGGCTCCTCCCGGCCGCTCCTCGCCGGGGCGACCGGGCCCCGGCCCCACCCCGCCCCGCCCCCCCGCCCCTTCCACAGCCGGGCCCGCCCTCTGCCCGGCATCGGTTGCAGCCGCCGCCGCCGCCGCCGCCGCCCGTTGATGGGGGTGAGACGGAGCGGTCGGCTCTGTAGCGGGTCTCGAAGGCGGCCGCGTCCCCAGGGAGCCCCGTCGGGCTGAGGGGACTGGGAATAAAGAGGTGCAAGTGGCAGGGTGGAGTAGTAGAGCCCGCCCCAAGCTCTCCAGTCTGTTCCCTGTGCCACGAGCCCTGCCCGAAGCTGCCTCGCAGGTCTTCACAGAGAAAAGGCAGCGAAGGGGTCCATCTCCTCAGGGGCGCTTCCCTGAGGCGAGGGCAGCCCGGGGCGGGCGGAGGGGCTGCCGTGGTCTCCCCGCAGACGGTGGCTTTCGCCTCTCCTGACACGCGTCCGCGGGGGCGCAAATGGCCTCAAACGAGCCGGGCCGGGCCGTGGGCAGGGGCGTCCCTCTGGGCAGCGGAGCCGGGGCCACGCGAAGCCTAACTCGGGTGGCCGGATCCCCCCCCGCACCCCGGAGGGCTCGGGGGTGCTGCGCCTCGCTGAGGTCAGGCTGACGGCTAAATCCAGTACGAGGGGTACTGGGAAGTGGTAGGGTGTTTGGGGGGATGGGGTGGGCTTCTTCTGAAGGTTCAAGTATGGTCAAGAACGATTGAACTTGATACCAGTTGTTACTTGCGGAGACAAAGCATCCGGTTTTATGAACAGGGCCTGGAAAGCAGGTTCCTAAATACATACACGTTGCAAGAAGTCTTTGCCAGAGTTTTCTGTTTCAAAGATAATTCTAGATTATATTGCAATGCCTATAATCCAGAATTTCTTGCAGTTTGCCGCTCAATGCACTTGCTTTGTTTGAAATTATGTCAGTTTTATGGTTCACTCTCCGAACTTACTTTTGTTTACATAGGGAAAACCAAACATGAGTCAGATTACTCAGGCAATGTCAGATTGACATAGAAGCACCTAAAGTTTATTGCTGAAAGGGAATTAATTCATACTTTTTGTCTTCCCAGTTTTAGCTATCTGAACAAAAGTTTCCATTGTGAAATGTTTGGGGAAAAGAACTGTTTAGTCAACAAAAATATTATACTCCAGTAGCATGTACCTCAGAAATCAGTTTATAATTTTCATGTTCTTACAAACTTTCAGAAATCAAAACATATGTCAAACTAATGGTGAAAAACATATCTGCCGAAACATTTATATTTCCTTCCTAGTGATTATGTGACAAAGTAGGTTAGCGGATAGTTCCTTTAGTTCTAATTTTCAATTTTCAGGATTTAAATGAGACTTCTTGTAGAAGGACCAACTTTTTCTTGCAACATTTCTTTCTGTGTGCGTATTCAGTGACTTGGAATCTCTCAGATGGGGTGGGGATATTGTCTTGAAGTTCTTAAAAGTTCATTTAGCAGGTGATGACACATAAAGTCTCTCAGGGGTATTAAGGAAAGAGTGCATGCTAAAACATATGAAATGTGTCAGTGCTAAGTTAGTTCAGTGTAACTAACTGTCAAGTGTTCCTTTTTTTTTTTTTTTCAGCCCAAGCTTCACTTAGAGGAATATAAGCAACCACTAGGTAAGTGAAATCAGTTTTCTCTCTGAACTCTCATGAAGCTAGAAGGCAACGCACGATGCATTGTGGAAAAGTATAAAAGCTCTCTTGTTTAGCTAGAGGAATACAATAGTCATTTCTTCATCTCCAGTCATGATTAAAACTTTAATAATAACTTTAACTTAATAAAAATTAATGTTTTTTTAAAACATACATTGTATTTGAAAACAACGCATGTTTAAAAATATTCACTAAAGTATTTGCTTTAATTCTTAATGGTAGTGAGTTCCATGAATTACTCTTCTGTTCTTTTTGTCAGTGGTTTTGAATGCCTAATTTGAGCGTTAAAGGAGATGGGGAACAGGTACTCTTATATATTCTGAAGGATTCTGTTCACTTTAACAGCTAACTATCCTATTATATTACTGCAGTTTTTTTTTCAAGTTGATATTCTGATTTACTTAAAATGTGGGTGTGGTTTTTTTTTTGGCAACTGTTGTTTTTAATCAAAATACATGTCTGTATGTCTAGATGGGAAAATAAGATTATTTCTCTTTCTACACTGTAGTGGTCATATATAAAGAACTGTGCTGTAACATATCTGTATCTCATCAATTAAGGAATATCGATGTTTTGTTTTGCTCTTCTTCTTATTGGTGTGGGCTTGTGTAGGGTCAAGAGGAGCAGGTGAGGCCCCCAAAGTTTTGTGGAATTCTGAGCTGCAGAGTGTTGAACAAGTGCCCGGAAAGAACCAGGAAAAGCTGCTGTAGCTTAAAACGTGCAGCGTACCCTAATGTTAGAGGTTTATGTGAAGGGTGTAATGACTTGTGACCCTGACAACTTCACGTGACTCAAAAGTCACTTAAAAGCAATTTATTGCTGCACTTTGTGATAGGCATTTGTCATCTGCTTACATAAGGATGGTACTGAAGTGTAACTGAATGAGGCCATTTGTGCACACAGTGAATGGCGTTACCTTTTCTCTCCAATTTGAACTATAAGCCACGAGAGCAGACTGAAGTTTGTTCTCATCTAAGGTTGTCTTTAGTAGTCACACAGTTAAACAAGCCCCTGGCTCAGTGCTTATATTGTTGTTTTGTCTATTTCTACCTTTTACTATGTTTGTTTTGAATCAGCTTTAAAAAGTCATGACAGTAACTATAAATAATAATTGTGAAACCCTTCCTTTTGCTGAAATTACCACATCAAATTTGTACTTGGTAAAGATTTCATGAAAACTTTACCCACTGTGCTCAACTTTTGCTTTGTATCCCTCTTTTTCTTCCAACCATGTGCATAACTTTTCCCAGTTTTCTTTGTTTCATGACATGAATTCTGAGAAATTTCTTTAAGCCTTCTTCATTATCATCTCTCAAATCTTTCATACTCATCAGTAGTTGTGTTTTATTATAGTAGCACCTGTATCTACATCTTGTTTGGGGTTTGTTTTAAGGTCTTCATAAAATAAATTCCATCTTATTTTTCCTGTTTTGCTATTTTTGCTTTTGTAAAGGGGATAGGAAGGGAAAATCTAAAATACTGGCTTTTAAATCAGGATTATTTAAAATAAAGGAACCCGACAGAATTATGAAAAAATGTTATTATTGTCCTGAAGAAGAAATAGGAAGGAAGCGGACAATTAGATTTGTCACATGTATTAGAAATAGAAACTTGCTTGGTAAGTTAGTATTGGATATGAATATTTTAATTAATTTTCTGGTTAATATGGTACAGACATAAAAGTACTTCATAATTTAAATTTAGAAAGCCAATCAGAAAGAATGCCATCAGATACAATTTTATAGAATATATAAAATGTTTAATTAAGCAGTAAAGCCATATAAACCATCTGCTTTTGTTTAAATAGTCAAGATGTTACAGAGCCATTCCTTGTAATTTAAAACATCTATGCATTTTTAATTGCTTTAAAATTAGCATTCAGCTTTCCAATGGACTTTTTTTTTTTTATTATTTCTGCAGTGAAATATGCAGTAATTGTTAATGAAGAGGATTTTGGACAGAAATTATCTTAATTTTAGCATATTTTGAACTTTACCAATTTTTGTAATTTAAGATTTTGTTGCTACTAGAAGTTTAAAGAAGATCAAAAGCTAAAGCAGACTGCGACAGTTTGAAGGTTTCTGTGTGATGCATGGTGGATAATTTAGGAGGAACTGGGTTTTACTTTTTTTCATTCATCAGCTGGACCTTATCCTGCAAACTACTTCATCTATGCTTAGTAGCTGAAAGTGTCATAGGATACAGCTCTTTCAGGCCATGCTGCCTGCAACCTTAATTCCTGTTGCAGGCTACTAAAGAACCAATATGAACTCATGTTATGTGGAGCTGGCAGGAGCAGAAAGGGTGTGTCTCTTCAGTCGTTCCTGGTGGCAGAATTCCCGGGGAACCCTTGCACAAAAGAAAGCCACCTGCCAAATCCAAACTAAACCCTAAACATTCAAAGAAGCCCACCAGCAATTCCATAGTCTTGTCAGCAAACTTTCAGTCTTCTGTGCGTTTATAAACAGGCAGAGCTTTATTTGATGGTAATGCTCAAGTGTATTTGGAGATTTTCTGATGCAACTGAAAAGCTGTTTGCAAGGTGCTTATCAGGACAGTTTCTGACGGTTTAGAAAAGATGAGGAGATAAAATGAGGTATGACTGTGGGGGCAGAAGTTTCCTGTAATTTATAATTCACAGTTTAAGAGTTTCTTTACAGATCTTGAGTGCAAAAAATACTTTCTGTCTGACTTGGTCTACCAGTTGTTGATCTTTTAAACTCCTGATTATGGTGTTATAAAGAGTTTTATCCCTTGTACGTTCCAGGGGTTTGTACCTCACTTTGTTTCCTAATGGCCTCCCAGAAATCTTTATACCTGTTTTAATGCACAGTTTAATATATACGAATATTGTTATAAGAATATGAAGTGTTAACACCGATGCTTTTGTAAGTCTAAATAGGATTAAGTTGTTTTGTAGGGATAAGCTTTGCGTTTCAATATTTACAGGATTTTCAGACATCTTAGCTGAAGAGATGTTCAGAGATGGCTTCACTGTAGTTCGCTAAAAGGTTAAAAATTTTGACAGATATATTCCAAAACTCCCTTCTTCCCCTACTCTGTCATGGCTTAACAGTTTTACCTAATTCAATAATAATTCAAGGACAAGAGTGACTAATTTGTATACAATGTATCCATAAACTTGATTGGGTCTTAAGAGCTCCACATCTCCTAAAGTGAGACTTCACGTACAGGGGGGGCATGCAAATCACCACAGTGTGGCAGATGGTGGAGTTGTCGGAGTATTTCAACATTTGATGTTTTAAATATTGATGATTCAGT